GTTTGCAGTAGTAAGTCAGACAAGGAAGAATAAGAAAATGGCCCAGTTTTCTTCATTTACATGCCATTGTAGTGTTCTGTTATGTTCGGCTAATCAACAATTACAACCATACTTCAGTTTTCATCATTCCCACTGACACACAACTCCAAGCGCACTGAGTACATGCGATTAGAAGAGATGAGGCGCCAAATTCAAGATGATTCCAAACAGCACATACATTTGCAGTCTTCATTTTACCGCTGATCATATTTACTTCTGTGTGTTTTATCACAGTCGGTCGGTGAGCCCAGTGTCACCGGAAGTTGTCATCGCATGTTTCCAAACGCCTTCCTGGTTTGTGACATAACCGTGAATAGAGCCTATTGTAAACACCAAGCTGCAAAATGCACTTACCTCTTGTCATCCAAGTTAGTATAATATTTGGATTTGCCCTAAAAGATTATATAGATTATAGGCTATCCAAATCCAGTTTATTTAAAAGGCACTATTCAAAACAACAAAGTGCTGTACACAAAGATAAATGGCAATTATTGAACACTAAAATACCTCAAAAGTAGTTAAAAGCCAAAGAAAACAAGTGTGTTTTTAAAAAGTGATTTAAAAGCAAGAAGAGAGTCAGCTTGTCTTATGTGAATAGGCAACTCATTCCATAATTTAAGTTATATCTTAATCATAGCTATCCTCTATGTACAACTGCACACACACACAAACACACACACACATCAAAATTGTGACTGAACTAGGACTATAGGAGTAACCCAGGACTTGAAGAAGACTGAACCAAATCTACATCATGTCTAAAATAACTATAGAACTATACTGTAGAACCACTTGTTGAGCCATGTGAGTTTTTGCTGTACCCAAACCTAACCTAATGGCACCACCAGAAACTGTCAGGAGCACTTTACTCAGACTGGGAACGAGGGAGAAGGAAAGATGGAAATTCAAGGTGAAAGTAAAGCAGAAAAAAAAAAAGTAATTCTTGCCACTTTTCTGTACACCCCTGTGAGTGCAAACCCAGGGTAGGAAGGGCAAAATGAAGAGAAATGATTGTAGTTCATATGCAGGATTGACTATTGGCTGGGATGAATACACTCACCTACAGAATCCATAGAAAACTATAGGGCTGTTTTTGCTGTCTTACACATTAAAGGTGCACTGTGTAACTTTTCTATTGGACTGCTAGTGGTACATATGTTGCACAACTAGACTAATGCAATGTGGAAATATTGAAAAGTGAATTTGAGTATTTCTCATGAGAACTGAAAACCTTTGTTGGGAATTTACAGTGGAAAAATACCCATATATTTCAGTCCCTAAAACAGTGTTGCAAGATTTGATAAAAGAGTAAAAATCTGACTATTCTGTTTAACTGAAGCCAGCAGTTTTCAGAATTAACAATTTTGAGATAACTGTTCCCTTTTCCCACAATGTTTCACTTCTCTCTGCATGCATTTGGTTCACCTGATGTGTGATGTTATTCAAAATGTGACAAAAGCAAATCAAATATTTCAAAAATCAACTGGCTTTCTCTTTTCTTCAGCGCTTTGTTAATGCGATAATGCACCCACCCGTGACATGTCGTTCTTTAATCCAACAGGGTACTAGTCTGCAAATAGTGTTTCTAACATCATTTAAGCTTTAAAGAGCCCTTATTACGCTATTTTCTATGTTGTCATGTTGTTTCCTCATAAAAAAAAAACAGACATTGTATTTTATTTCATTCACACGTCATGTGGTAATACTGGAAATGCTCCGCCTGTGTTTTTAAACTCCATACACCTTCACTAGGATACTTCATTTGGATATTCTCAGACATGGAATTGCCAATATCTACTAAACAAAAGGTAAAAAGGAGCTATTAGCTTGAAAACTACCACTACATGACATCACAAGGTGTAACAGAGCATTTTAAGCTTTGGAGATGGCCACATTTATTTTTATACAGCGCCACTTTCAAGGCACTCAAAGCGCTTTACATCAAGGAACCACTCACCCATTCTCACACACTTTCATACACCAGTGTACACAGACACTGGGGGCGAATCGGCGTAAGTGTCTTGCCCAATGACACAACAACCGGATTCATCTGTGGGAACTGGATTCAAAGTGCCAAGTTTTGGATGAGCGGACAACACAGACTAATAATAAAACATGTGTGAATGAAAAAACACAACTGATTATGTTTTTGAGAGTCAATTCGTGTAATATAGGACCTTTAAAGTAAGTGCTAAAGCCTTGTAATTTATTCTTTGTGTAGGAGTGTTTTGAAAATCTATTTTAGTGCACTACAATTATGCTTTAATCTATCCTTGATCAAATCTTTGTCTGTAGTTTCTTTGATATTTTCTTTTTCTTCAAATTAGTATCTGTTTTTTTTGTAAATGAACTCTTTTAATAACATTGTATTATATTAAAAAATAATAGTAATAAAATAAACTCCCACTTCTTTCCACTCCGCTGCTCTCAGTCCCGTGTTTTTTTGGGGGTCGGCATTTTGGTCCCACATTTGTTTCTTGTTGTTTACGGGGGAGGAGAGGTTTGGCAGCGGGATAAGGAGGTGAGAAACACACGGGGAGAGTAAAGAGCTGACAAAGTCTTCTATAGCACCCCGCAATAACACACAATAACACAAGGCAGGACAAAAGCTGTGGAGAAGGGTAGGCGAGTCGCAATCTGTCACCTGTTCGGCGCAACGCGGTGTAAAGGCGCCCAAATAAAGCACCGCTGGAGCTGTCACAGTCAAAGTCAAGCACTGAGAGGTTTGGGCTGGAACGACTGAGGAACAGCCCACAGACAAGTCTTTAAAAGTTTGATAATTGTCCGTTTTGTAAGTCTTACTCATAATAGTGGATGTAAGGGTGGGCGATATTGAAAATGAATGTATTTTTTTGGTGATAATTGCATGATATTTTAACAATGCATCACAAATGTGCTAAAATGTGCCTGTCTTGGTTTAGGTTGAAGTATTGCACAAAAAGTGTATTGTAATGCAAATTCTAATATAATTTCTGTGCATTTTATTTTTAATTATACCTTTTTGCTTTCATTTTTAATAATTGTGTTTATGGATGATATACACAATTTAGCATTTCTAACTGAAAGTGATGCTTACATGCCTTTTTGTAGATACAATTTAGAGGTATCATACAGTAGCCTACTGGATTTACATTGTACAAATTGAAGATGTAAACTACGACAATAGTTATGTTGTACTCAATCCTGATTTAGTCCAATTGACAGCTACTCGGGATCCTGTTTTGCTTTAGTCTTGGTCCTCTAAACTAGAAAGCATTTTGGTCTGTGTGCTTTGTAAGAAATCTGCACACTGGTCTAGTTCACCTTTACATTTGAGTTTTGTTTAATTATCTGAACTGACTGAGACCGTACTGCCACCCCTCACCTGGAGAGGGAGATGTGCCCTCCACGAACCAGTGTATCAGCATGTTGGCTGAAATAAGAAGAAATTACAACAGATTTTTAATAACGGTTCATGAAAACTAAAGTCTGGAGCAGCGACAGTCGAAAAGGACACTCCAAATAGATTAAATTCAAATTGGCAGGTAATTTGTTTGAAATGTTTAGCACCACATGGATAAATGCATTTTTGTAAACTGTCCACATTTCAATTTTCCTTCACATACTCTTGTTAGGAGTTTGTGTTTTTATGCTATTTAGTTTGGTCTTGTGTACTTTATCTTTGTGCTGCAAGTGTTCTGCACTGAGACCTCTGATTTCCAATGGAGCAGATGTGCGCTTGTTTGGTGCAAATCTGGTTTGATGATGCGTTCACATCTCTGCAAACTTAGCATTCTTAGCAGGAAGCGCACCAGAGTTGAGATGAAGTCCTTGCTACAACAATTTGCTGAATGTCTCTCACTACCATCTCCCTCATTTCCTTCAGTATAGCTATTCTCATTTTATAGTAAAGTCTACTAGCAAAAAGATCATGAGTACTGTTTAGTCACCTGATGGTTTATGATAAATATAATGAATTATGTCTTTGGCTGAAACATCTGAATATGGACAGTGCATACAGTGACTTTCCAATAGTGTCTATTAGCAAAAAGGTCTTAGGTTATGTTTTGTTGCTTTATTCATACCCGTAGGTAAATTTGTTTGTTGATTTGAGAGGCTGGTTCCACATTTCACATCTCATTTATTCACACTATACACAATAGACACATATAAAAATCACAATTACAATAAAGTGTTACAGTGCTCCAGTGCAGAATGGTTTTGTTCAACAAATAATTATTTCATTCATCACGCTTGGCTAAAAATCACAATAAATATATACACACAGTAAATATATAAAAAAGTACAGGGTAATACAATCTAAGTCTTGGTTATGGTGCAGTCTTCCGCCACCACGTTCCAAATAGGAAGTGAGCATATGGGCACTTCTGACTCCATCGAGTCCAATTCACTTTACATTGAAAAACTGTCTCCCTTCTTTCTGTAAATTCTGCAGTGAGCCTTGTCATTTTGGTCTTAAAATGTTTGTATTAACCCACTCTAAATTCCTATTCTTAACATGGAACTCCGCTCCAAATTCGCTGCTATAACCACTAGCCTCATGAGCTTCATTTGACTGTAGCTGAACGCTGTGAGTGACGTCACACTCACTTAGTACACTTCTTCATACAGTAGATGTGAGAGATGTAAGGAATTTTGTCAAAACATCTGAACATGGACAGTCAAGTCGCCATTTTCCATAGAATCATCATCTATCTTTCTATCTTTCTATCTTGCTCCCCCCATAGTCTTGTAGAAAGCTGTAAATACATGAGCACAACCCATAAAAGCTATACCGGTGACAGCAGACCCACAGCCCTGTCCTCTTCTCCAGTCTTGATGAGCTTTCAAGTGCTTGTCTGTGTATTGTCCCCAGCACTATGCAGACACTTTCAAGTCTCGTGTCCTCTCGTCTCTAACCCTCTCCCCTCTCTCTTCTCTCCTTTCCCTTTCTTTCCCCCTTCCTCCCTTTGTGTGCGCAGCCATCAACCTGCTGGGTCTGACATGGCAGCTGAAGCCATCCGACGGCCCCATGCTCAACAACGGACTGGGAGCGGGCCTGCCTGTCAACAGCGATGTGGCCACGCTGCCCTCCGGAGGCAGAGGTAAGAAGTGACGCCAGCACAGACACGAGACAAGACAATGGATGAGACAGTCTGCTGTACTTGCTGACATGGCCCAGTTTACCGTGCATATGCAAGCAGTGCAGTGCAGCATCTAGTATTTGTGTGATTGAATTGTGGGTGAATGGTGACCTAGAAGGGAGAGATTGGTCAACAGTTTCTTTAAAACAGGGAGTGTGTGCATTTCGCTAGAGGTTCTACAGTATTTGATATTTGCAGAGGACGTGCCTTTTTAATACTTAAAATAAATTGTACCCTTCGGAGTATGCTGTACAACCAATCAAATTGCAATTTTTGAATCATTTGTAGTTAATCTTGTAGTCCTAGTGCACAACATGGGGCTAACCATCATAAATATGAATCACTATAATATCATCGTGTGCACGCTGTCTGTCTCCATGGCAATAGCAAACTAAATGTTTTTCTACAGTTCCAATTAAAATAGTTGCAGTAAATAAGCCTGTTGCGCAGATTGAATATATTCAAGTCCAAATTAATTTCACCAGCAAGCTAAGGGGAGCGAGCGAACAGAGAAGAGGAGAGCATTCAGGGACAAACTAGCGGGATTGGTTAAAAAAAACAAGATGTTTTAAATTCTGCTCCCGCTGTGAAACATACTAACCACTCTGATAGAGGATTTTTCACCCAAACAGACTCAGCCCTACTCAAATATTTTCATAATTCATGACGCAGCAGTAGCAGAACGATCAGTATGCGATGTTTAACCACAGTGCTGGCTGGCGTGGAGTTGCTGTCTTTAGGGTCCCAGTGTGGTTTTCCGTCTCCTCTCTGTCTCTGCACACTCTCTCTGCTTGTGTATTGTGGTATAGGTACGTGTGGGCCGCTGCAGCTCAGTCTATTAATGAGAGCTGTGTTTCTCCGTCTGGGGGAGATGGGCTGTTGTTCTTCTCACTGTTACTTTTATTCCCTTTTTTTTGGCTCACATCGCACACACTTCCTCTTCTGTTTGGGTTCTGCTCTGCTCCAAGGCTGAAAGCGTAGCTGGATGCTGCTCGGTCTTGCTCATTTTAGCTCAAACAAACATACAGTTGCACAATTAATTATGTGACTTGAATTTAAAATGTGGATCCAGATTTTTTAATATTCTTACTTTTAGATCATATTTATTTTAGATATTTTACATTCTTATATTACAAGTGGTTTTCAAAGGTGCACTGTGTAATAATACTGGAGCCTTTTTCATGATGATGTTATTGCCATTTCCTGGAATATTCCACTTACTTACTGTAAGCAAGGTCATCTCTCCACAGATCTGGTTTGTAACTTGGCCTCGTGGGGTCACATACTTGTCCACATGGAGATAGCCAAGTTTAATGCCAAATTCCAGGCAATCTCCACCAGAAAAGTTACACGGTGCAGCTTTAAATGTTCATTATTTTAAACCAAAGTATCACTGTCTTACTCACACAAATGCTGATTTAAAGGTGCACTGTGCAACTTTTCTGGTGGAGAGTTCACTGCTTACTTGTCTCCATGGAGATGGTATGACATTCAACATATCCAGCTAGCATATATTCATTACATGTGTTTCTATTGCTCAATAATATTATAATTCCTTCTGTGAAAGGGGCGACTCTCCACAGATCTGAACTGTAATGAAGCGTATTGCTGTAACCTGCTTGTCTCCCTTGTGGTAGGTTTAATCTATACTGTGGAACATTCTAGACAAAGCAATACAATTTCCGCAGGTGGCAGACCCTCTACTAGAAATATTACACTGTGCATCTTTAAAAACATCTTAACAACTATTGCCAATATTTCTATATTGATCCACTATAAGCATTTGAAGCCAAACTTTAAACACAGTTTGTGGAGGTAATGGGCCCAATCCTCTGCAATTCATTATGTTTGAATTCTATCGCAGACTATTTGCAGTAAACTATGATGATTAACTATTGACTCGGGACAATCAATGCATATAATCACAGTTTATGCAGTTTCTTTTCCCCTGGCGCCAGGTCCGTGGGCAGGAAGGAACAGCAGTATAGACACTGGCAGCGTGGAGGTCGGCAGGAGAGTGACCCAGGAAGTGCCCCCCGGAGTCTTTTGGAGGTCTCTGCTTCACCTGAGCCAACCACAATTCCTCAAGTTCAACATATCGCTGGGCAAAGACGCACTGTTTGGGGTCTACATCCGTAAAGGCCTGCCTCCATCACACGCACAGGTAAACACAATTTGGATTCTTACAATTAAATATAGATAGTTATATAGATATTTCAAGTTAAATTCAATTTTATATGTAGCCTCAACCAGTAATAACTAATACCAGTCTTGCTCCTATACCACCTTTCACTGCAGGATTTCAGATGACAGATCACAACATTTTATAGGCCTAAATATATTACTTTTATTAAAGGGCCATATTACTCTATTTTCTGATCTATGTTGTAATGTTGTTTCATCATCAAAACATGCATCTAGATTTGTATTTTGTTTAATTCATTCATTTATTCAACCCTGGCTGTGTTCTTCTCTCAAACTGAAAACTCTGTTCCACCTTGTGACATAAAGGAAGAGCTCCCCTATGATTTTAAACTCCATACACGCTCACTAGAATTATGTGGATAATTTCAGCCCTGGAATTGCTAATCTCAGAACTAAAGTTAAAATGTAGCTCTTAACTTGAAAACCACTGCTTAATGACATCATAAGTTGGAGCAGAGCATTTTGAGCAATGGAGATGTAGACAGGTGTAGACATAAAGGTTTATTCAAACATGTGTGAATGAAACAAAACACAACTTCAGGTTTTATTTAAACTGCACTTTACCAGATTTTTACTGTCTTAAAAACTTTTAAAACAGATCTAGATCATTTTAAACAGTTTGCAGTGGACCAAACGTATTTCTCACTTATCTTATTCATTCAGATATTTTTGCTATTACAGTAGAGCTAACAACAACTAGCATGCACATAATTCCTGATACCCTGACAATAAAGTGCTTAAGAATTAGAGGCAGATAGTACACAGACTTATTTTGACCTCATGAGCTGCTTATTCAGAATACCTGCACTGGAGCAAGACACATTTTCAAATACATGGGAAAAAATCTGTTATAGAACTTTTAATTTCAGATTTTAATGATTAAATAGTGAGTTCTAATCAGAAAGTCCATATCTGTTTTGCTGCACGTCTAATGGTCAACTAATCATTGTAACTTAATTGTCTGTTTACTTATCCTATTAGTATTGTTCTAAGTCCATTAATAATTTTATCATCTGCATCCCAGTATTTACTCATTTGAGCCACAAAACACGCAAAAACACTGAATATGAAACATGTTAAAATCCATTTACGATTCATTGTGCGGCATATCTGAAAAAAGCTAATTTTATCTTGGATTTTCACTTAATTAACTTTCACAGTAATGTAACTTTTACTGCCTCATATTAATTAGAAACGACTCAATTAACACCAGATTTGATTTATAGAGCAAGATAATTGCATCCCGATAACAGTTTTAGCTCTTACTCAAGTTTAGGTCTGAGACACTTCTAAGTTATATTTTCTGTGCCATTATAAAATCATTCCTTCCCCAATAAAAAAAGCTACAAATGTGAATTAATTTTGAGCTTGTTGATTGGTCTGAACTGCGTGGAATGGGAGGGGCTGAGGTGGGAGGCAGGTGTAGAGTAAGGTAAGATAGTTCAAAAAAGTTTCCAAACTATTATTGTCTTTTAATCAACCAACCACTCTGAATTATGTTAGATAAACTTCAACACAGTCTTGCCGAAATTACAAATTAAGAATAGCTCTTCATATCAAAGAGCAAATAAAGCAAAGACCAAATAAAGGATAATAAATAAATAAATAACAAACGTATGCGTATGAAATAAAATTTAAAAAACATGTAACCATGTAAAACCATACTTAAATTTTTAATCACCATGTTGTCTCTATCCTATTGCCACGCTATACTGTGCTATGACTGAAAATTTTACACAGACATATTCTACAAGCAGCTTTTCCAGATTCAGGAAGTGCGCTGTCAGCATGCTAGTTGGTTTTAGCTTCACTGTGATGGTAAAACATTGCTCTGCCCTCATTAATCTGGGAAGCATGTATGCAAACTCATTGTAGTGAATAATTAGGATGCTAGGAATTAATTAGAAAAGTAAGGAGAAACTTCTACAAAACATTTAAAATAAACTTTATTTATTTATTTAATCACTAACAATCAGGAATAGCACTTTTTACTTAAACTCTAATTCAAAATCTTGTCTTGTTCTCTCGCAGTACGACTATATGGAGCGTCTGGATGGCAAGGAGAAGTGGAGCGTGGTGGAGTCCCCCAGAGAGAGGAGGAGTATCCAGACGGTTGTCCTGAACGAGGCTGTGTTCGTGCAGTACCTGGACGCTGGAGCCTGGCATTTAGCTTTTTACAATGACGGCAGAGAACGAGAAACGGTTTCCTTCAGTACCAATGTCATGGGTAAGGCTACACTTCTTCATACTATTTGCATCATTCACCTTATTATTCAGGGATGCCCATTTTTCTCTCTACATGCTCCTAAACTGTGCTTTTTCGTGCCGGTACTTCCAGTTCATTTCAATGGCAAATTGAAGAAAAATTTAGCATCTTAAATATGATATAAAGTAGGTTGATTTGTGGAACATTTTCAATGTTCATTTGCACCAGTAGGTCACATTGCTCCCATTCTCTGGGGGGGGGCTTTAGAACAGCTTTATAATCCATATAGAATTTCCTGTCAAGAATGAAAGCCCTGTACAAAAATAATAAATATGACAGGTTTTTGTGTTTTTTCTAATTGTTATTTAGTTTTGTGGGACAATGCCTTTTGTTAATTTTAATCATACATAAGATCAGTGGCAGTTTGTGGGAAAAAAGTTGAAAATAAAAGCAAGAAAATACAGGAAGTAGTGCTAAGTTAAATGGAATACAGCTACATCTTGTCTGTTATCACCCCCAAAAATTCCATCCAAAATGCAGGGACAATTTACAAACACAAGGAAGGCAATTTAAACCTTCATTTAACAAAATATTTATCATCATTTTACATCAGTTAAGTGGCAGTTTAGAAAAGAAAAGTACAAAAATACAGGAAGTAACACTGTGTTTACCTCTAACTATGTTATTAACGCAACAAATCCATCGAAAATGCAGGGATAATTTACGCCAAGAAACAGTTTAAACCTTAATTTAACAAAATAGGTTTTACCATGTTGTTTTTATTAGTTTAATCATAACTATTGTGCAATTTAGATTTAGTTTTGTCTCTTGACGTTATGGTTGCTTGGTGATAGTTATGGAATTACCTCTAATTACTGTATGTCCTATCTGCTGCCTGTGTCCAATCAGGAAGTAAAATTATAAACTGAAAACTCGAAAACTTGAAAAAAGAGGGGTTTTTTTTGTATAAAAGTCATATGCACTTTAAAGTATTGATGCATAAAAGATAAAAGTATAGCGAAGGATAAGCTGGAATAAAACATGAAGGCTTAAAAGATGGTGTTACACAAGAGAGAGTTGAAAATGTTATTATGAGCTGATTTTCAAACTTCTTCAGACTGTGTCACGACAAATGTGGTTTCATTTTAAAACAGCATTTAAGACGAGGCCCATCTGGAGATAATCTATGAAATCTGTGCACTTGAACTATAACTAATGTTTAAGACATAGTTAGAAAAATTATCTGGATGACTGTCAATGTATGCCTTGAGCCTCAGAAGCAGGACTTGTATGGCAAAATGTCTTAACAGTATATAGCCAGACTATTACTAAAAAGAATAGCCATAGACCAAGAATGCTAAATAGTGCAAAGTAAAAATATAAGATAAAAGAACATCTGTCTGTCCCACAATGTTTAAAAGGTGCATTATGTAACTTTTTGGTCTGGGTCTGTCACCTACTTGTTTCTATGGATATTAGGGATGGGCATTCGATGAAATTTTCTTAATCGATCGTTGGAAGAATTAACGATCGATTATCGATTAATCATTAACGTTTTTAATCTGCATAAATAAATTCAACTTTACGACATATAAACCGTAACTGCTCTAGAGCCACATCAGCCCGTTTGAGATTATAATGTGTTTAATGCAGCTTTGCGCAACTCTCACAGAAACGAAACTTAAAACCGCATGGCAAATTTGCATAAACTAAGAGAAGAAAAAAAAACTGCTCTTGTGCGCTGATGCGGTCAACTTCTGTCAGATTAAAAGACATGACTCAGGTGAATACAGGTTAGTGTGACCATATTTGCGTTTGTCAAAACCAGGACACCGTACGGGGGTGGGAGGTGGGGACTTATCATCGACATTGCTCTACTCTCACCTGGCAAAGCTTTTTCCCACTGGACACCGAAACATATGTGCTGCTTTGTACACTGTGCACATGGCCTCACACTTGTCCCGACCGGAACGGAAAGCGTGGAATTTCTTGTACAAGTCATCGTTAAATACGCATTTGCACTTCGGCACTTTTCAAACGGACTGAGTCCTAAGCTCCTTCTGAGTGCAAAGAGCTACATGTACGGACCCCGGTTTGGTCACGCTACGCACAGCAACCTACATTCGGTTTGTCGATTAAAATTAACGTAATCGATGAAATTCTTAATGATCAATTATCGATTAATCGACTAATCATGCCCATCCCAAATGGATACATCATTGCTCTGCCTGGATTGTTACACAACATGACATTAAGCTGCTCTACACAATGCGACTTTAAGAGTAGCAATAGAATAGAAATAGGCCCTCAAAAATCAAGATTATAAATATTAGAAGATAGATTTATTAATTGCAAAAACTGTGAGTATAACGTCTAACCTTGCTGCAGTTTAGTACACAACGGAAATGTATGTAAAATTAATATGCTTTCTGACACCTACAGTCTATGCTTCACTTCAGTACTCAACAGAAATATATGTTAAAATAATATGCTTTCTGACACCTACAATTTATGCTGAAGAATATTGATAACACCATTGAACTATGAAGGAAGAGTTTGTTTATTTAAGACGTATGCATTAAAACACACGAAACTGTTGCTCTCTTATATCGTAAAGTGTACACAAATCAATGTACTTTGTCTTGTTTTCAAACTTTTCTCCAATTCACGCTGCCACCCCAAACAGCCCAGCAGCCAGAGCACCAAGCTTGTTAAATTGGCAGCAAGTCCTGAAACAGTGTCCTAAATAATTTGAAGTGTTTTGGAAGCACAAGCGTACAAAACAAGGGCCGATGGATGGAGAGACTCAAGCTGAGAGAAGAATCCTCCACTGTCGATATGTCTAGTCGGCGATGTACGGCAAGAGGCAGGGGACAGAATTAGAGAGGGGTTATTGAGAAAAGAAGAGAGCCAGAGGGGGGACTTAATGGTGGGCCAAGGCTAGAATGGGCTGGAGTGGTTTGAAGGATGGGACAAGGAGCCACAGAGGCAGCCCGAAGAGGGGGTCATGTCAGGGCTAAGAGGAAGACAAGGAGGAAGATTTAGGGACAGTGTTTGAGGAAGAAGAGAGACTGTCCCCATAGAGTTTTTCTCAAATAAGATGGATTGGTGTGAGGAAATGTGCTAGGCCTGTCACAATAACAAATTTTGTAGCACAATATATTGCTATACTTTAGCGATATAATGCGAAAAATGATAATATTGAGACTGCTTCATGCCACTGATACAATAACAATAAAGAAAGATAATCTCAGTATACACCTCATGAAAAAGCCTAAGCTGCAACAAATAGATAGCAGAATGAACCAATAATTAGCCATAGAAGTTAGTTATTCAACCCTCTACTGCTCTGCTCAAATCTTGTATTAGGACCAAAAAAATCTCAAATCTACCCCAAATCTCCCCACTTTTACTGTATATTTTAAGCCCCAACACATATTGTTCCAGCTTTCGTATGTTGAACAGTAAGTCAGTATATTAGTACTCAAAAATCTGTCAAAATGTTTTAGCATGACTTTGGTAAACTATGAAGGCGCACCGCTTGATGGACTGTCATAGTCAGGAGCCTCACAGAGTAAGTCCGACAGAAGCTGACTGCATCAGAACACAAAGAGCAAGATGTTTTTTCAGTGTTTATAGTTTATGTAAATTAGCCATGTGGCTTTAAGTTTTGTTTCTGTAAAACGTAAACAAATGTGTGCAAAGCTGCATTACACACATTGTTACTCAATCAATATTTGAGTCCTCCTCGTAGGAAATTAAAAAAGGGAATGCTGAGCGAGTTACGCCACGATCTGCCAATGGAACATGGATGCCTGGGCTAAAGTAGTGGTCTCAAGCGCAGTCCGTTTTTTTTTGCTTAATGCACCTTATCATCTGATGCGTGTTATAGTCTGAAAAATACGGTAATTATAAAAACTAATCGTATCTTGATAATTGTAAGGTTATCTTGACTATACAGACTCTAAAACACATTTGAAAATACCTTTTATAATAAAGACAGTGGTATTACTAAATCAAAATGACAAAAAAGAATAAGCTATTCCTCATTTTCACCAATGTTACACTCAATTTAAAAATGTTATTGATCAAGAGGACTTGAGTCACCATATTTCAGCCTTTATTTTGGTTGATACTAATCGGAAAATGAATTGCTGACCAGTCAACTAAAATAACTGCTGCTCTAGTCAACACGATTCCCACAAGACGAGATTGGGTTTATGAGAATGAGACAAGGTGAGATTTTGGCATCGTTTGTACAAAATAAATTCTGCAGCTCGATTCTCAATTTTGGCCTCACATGTTTTTTATTTAATACTTTAGTAGCTTTTTGGGCAACAGGCTCACCAGCTCACAACCCTCTTTTGTCCATGCACATGGAAAGAAAATCTCACAAAATGATTTTTCATGTGGCTTCAGAATCAGAAGAAGATACACAAAAAATACAAAGTTGAGACTCAGCAAAACAATCAAAGAGTAACAGTGCACAAGTAATAATGTTAGAAAATTGTGTTACAAATTTTTTTACAGACATTAATTTTTGAATATGTTGATGAAAGCAGTACACGTCTAAAATGTTGAGGCAAATTATAGACTTTAAACTGTGTATGTACCAAACCAGCTTTTTCAGTTCCAGTACAGATTCTGATACTATGGATTTCAGTATCTGCTCATACCCGATATCAGTAGATATCAGTGCAGAGACTGAAAGCAGCATTCATTTCCTTTAAACAAAGAACGACTATATAAACAGAAGTTCAAACATTATGAGACTTTCTGTGCCAGCTACTACCAGTAAATAGTCTTACTACATTATTCATATCCATATGTCCAACCAAGATATCGGCTGAATTGATATTTGGCAGCCAATATCTGATAAAGCGAATGTTTCAGTATTGGCGCCGATATCCAATAACAGTATCAGTATCAGTGCATTCCTGCTTAAAACCAACACATTTTGAAAAGTAGCATCTGTTACAGTTGCATTTTCTGTATTTCATTGTGGTTAAATTGGTTAAATAAGGGTACCTGTATCACTGTTACATTTTAATTTGAAGTACAACATCTCTAAAATGTTAATACAATTTTAATCAGATCCAAAATTCAATTGGGGAAGCATTTTGCCAGTGATAATAGGCTTGTTTCAATTAAAACAAAAAGGTATAAAAGGACAAGCTGTATAATTTCGGAAATTGCAATTGTTTTTGTTACAGTGTCCCAATAGTTTTAACTTTTCACAAATAAAGCACAATTCAGCGAGTGGTCGTCAAGGAAACCAGCTAAAACATACCCGGCAGCCTCTTCCGAAGTCTCAGTTTTATCGATTTGAAAAGTTGTGGAGTGGACGTTTTGTGACATTTCTAAAAATTGTGCATCTTAAAATATATTGTGGTCGTAACCTTGAGAGTAGAACAAGAGACAGAGATATTTCCTATAGCATAAAACTGCTCTCGTAAGCTGAACGAGGAGGCACTTTAAGATGTGAAGTCTGCAAAGCACTGCCAGGCATAATGATGATAGTGACCTTAGTGAGAGACGATACAAAGCAGAAATGATTGACCCTGACAATGAGGGCGAAAGATCAACAAAGGGAAAGTTGAGTCGAGGTAAACGCAGGGATTTCTTAAGCGGCTTGCAATGCCTGATGGGTAATTCATAGTTTATCGAAAAGTCATTGAGACATAATGGCGTCTGCTCACACTGTATTCAATTCAATGTATGGAATCTCAAATCAAGGGCGTTTGGCGTTTTGAAGTGCCAGACTGGGAGCGCCCGATTTGTTGCATCTTTAAGAATGAATGGCACCAATGGATTTAATCGAATGCTTTGATGCCTGCCTTCAAAACGGAAAAAAAAAAAAAAAACTCTCTCTCTCTCACCCTCCTCCATCTTTTTTTTTTCACTTTGTCTTCTTCATCTTCACAGATTCGGTGCAAGAGTGCCCGCGCAATTGCCATGGAAACGGAGAGTGCAATTCTGGAGTGTGCCACTGTTTTCCCGGATTCCACGGAATGGACTGCTCCAAAGGTACGAGGTCATCTTTGTCCTGAAGCATCACATGACATTACAGCAGAGGAAATTCTTCTTTTGTGAATATTTTTGGAGAGTGTAGAAAAGATGGTAAGAATAAAACCCTGGAAATTATAAATATTTCACCAGAAAAGAGCAAATATCCTTTTTACATTTAGAGTTTCAAATACAAGTTGGTTTCAAAGTTTCAAGAGTTTGATGTCAAAATATGAGATAGAGGCCCCTAAAACTGGGCAATTCAGCTCTTCTGGAAAAAATTGCAAGAAGAAAATTCTAAAAATGCTGAACCTCATCACTTTTGTTAGGGATTGTGTCCACAATCCTGTCATCCTAATCTTGGTCCTTTCAACTGATACCAATGATGGCATTTGTGATTGAAAAGTCCACCACTCTTTGACACTTATTGTGAAAAGATGACTATGCCAAAGTTCATTATTGTTGGAAGGTATTGAAGGCATTGGTCATTCATTTTTGGCTCAATGTGTTTAGCCTTATGAAGACAGATAATAATAACCACGAATTATCACAAAACAACATCACGGTGTAACAACAAATTCCACCTCTGAGTTCTGACCTGTCTTCCATCTAAATTTTAAACGACAAAATATTATCAAACCAACCACAGATTTGGAGCAGAAGAAACAAATTTCCCACCAATCCCAAACCAGGAAAAACAGAGAAGACATTGGGTGTAAAACAAATGATTATGCTAATTCAGCCATTTCCGGGGCCGATGCAATGATCCCAGAGATCGCCTTTAATAATAATTAACACTGTACATTTAATAGAAAATGTTATGTTTTTTTTCCTTAGAAACACAAAAATGGACATAGACAGCAGAGGTTTTTTTCCTAAAATATTCAATTTTGACATCTTAATTTCAAAAGGCTGCAACTTTAAAGTGATAAGACACAGAGATTTTCTGTAAAGAGAAATATTAAGGATGACCCAAAGTTTATGTAGGGCTTAAATTTACCCATCTCATTAATATAAATATAAATATACCCATATAAAATAATCTAAAAAAAAACTTACTTAAAGGGATAATATTCATATAAAATAGGAAATATAACCAAATATAGTATGTAAAACAAAATTTTCTTTCTTGCTTGTTGTGTGGACAATCTTTGGCGGGCATCTGGGCTAATCACTTCACACTCACATATATAATTTTCCTTAGCAATCGACAAAATCAACAGTGCCATTTTCAGTTCATGTCTAAATATTATTACGTTCCTCCCATCACAATATTTAATTCACTTTTCGTGATATTTTCAATTTTGTATTATATAGAGCATATAGCCCATACGTGTCTCCTGTCAGATTTAAAGGCTGCCTCTGTCTGCCTCATGTAATTACACTACAGCGGTCCCATTTTGGCTGGGAGCGGCTGGCTGTAGTGGGGATTAGGCAGACTAAGATGGCGTCTGGCCCTAGGTGGAGAAGCCCAGATGAGATGACTGATGATGAATGACGGCCTCCCTCTCTCTCTCTCTTTCTCTCTCTCTTTCTCCCTTCTCTTTCCACACACACACTTGAGAGAGCGCTTGATGAATAGTTAAGTTATCTGTAATTACTCTTTATGTCTTGGGCACACTCTTGGACCTTAACCACTCAATTCAAGCAAGGTGAAGGCGTGGCAGAGTTTTTAATTTTAAACATATATCAATTTGAATACAATTTATAACAATGTCATACAATATGCCAGGGTATATGTGCAGGGTACGCCATAAGTGAAAAAATGATTAAAAAAAAAAGAAAGAAACAGAACATAATTATATAATAATATGGTGCCCATGTTAACAATAACATTTGTGAACATTTTGGCAGAATTGGACGTCAATGTATAGAGAGTGAGGTGTGGGAGGGTCTTATTTTCTGATTAAACCTTGTTCTTGTTTTGTATAATATTAAAATAAAAATAAAAAAGTATAATAACAAAAAATAAATAAATAAATTATAGAAAAACAGTACAACTATTTTAAAAAAACAACAACAACAAACACAATTTGTTAGAGATTTCTGCTTATCCGATGAGGGCTGTGGCAGAAGTTACCCAAGTGTGGCCTTTATGAATCTCTGAAAATCTTATTGAGTTTAATGATTTAATTTCTTTCTTTTATTCCTAATTGTGGTTGTGTCTTCCCCTCCAGCGGCATGTCCAGTCCTGTGCAGTGGGAACGGTCAGTACGACAAAGGCTCATGTGTTTGCTACAGCGGCTGGAAGGGCCCTGAGTGTGACGTCCCCATCACTCAGTGCATAGACCCCCTCTGCAGTGGTCACGGGACATGTACTGACGGCAACTGTGTCTGCTCCATTGGATACAAGGGGACCAACTGTGCAGAGGGTAAGAGAGGTGGGGTTAGATAGACTATAGAATATTATGCATTTCATTTTTAGCTACTTCTACCAAAATCATAGTATAGTTTGGTTTGGTTACAGTTTTTCGGTTGGACACACAAGCAAGAAAATATTTTGTGTGCCCAAGCAACATGGATTTGATTTGGATAAGTGTATTTAGGGAGGAGTACGGTATATTAATTCATTTTTCCATATGAATGTTATATGAATGAATTTTTCATACTACTGCCAAAACTGACCAATTTTCAAGGTAGATCTAGACTCTCCAACAGTGAAGATCTTGTTAGAGTTGTAAAAAAAACAGATTCTCAGATACTAATCAATACTAAATGGGCTGAAAAGTGTAGATACTAAAAAATATTTTTGAAAATCTGCAAAATTGTGAAATCAAGGATTGAGAAGATCTTCCCCTGTTTGACAGAGCATCGGTCACTGCTCTAAATTGAATCAGATTTTTTTTTATTGTTCATTGTGTGCACAAATAGATAGATTGTATTTTTTGGCCATATCTAAGCAGAACTAGCCCTAAACAGAACTAGTATAAGCCCATATTATAAGACACTGTAAATAAATGCTGTCGTGATCTGTTTTTTAGTATCCCTGATGTATTGAAATAAGAAGGTTCAAGCTTTTTTCTAAGGCAGGACCAACAAAACAGGATCAAAACATATTTAGAGCTAATGTATGCTTAAATGCAGTATTTCTATCAGTCAAGGCACTATAAAGTGTTTATCACAGTCTTGTAATGCTTCTAGTTTGTCATGTTGCTTTCATGTCAATACTGTTATTTTAAGATGCACTAATTTTGCACATCCATCAAATACATGGACAGCTCTTTGCTTGAGTGACTGTCAGCTACGTCTATAGAGCTCTCTTATTGAACCCATCGCAGATTTTATTAAGCTTCGAAATCGCTCATATTGATCTTAGTGAAGAAGGATCAGCACCATTTTGGTCGGTCAACATTAAGAGGAGCAAATTAGAAAGGCAAAGTGCAGGGCCGGGAGGTGAGGAAGAGGGTTGAATCATGGTGTGATGGTGAAAAAAAAAAACAATTTAAGGGAACAAAGGATCACACAGAAAGCAGAAGACACAAGAACCGTGCTACAAGGTCAGCACTTTTCACATTTCACACATTTTTTCTCCTCTTACTGGAACTGGTCTCAAATCTTATATTCATCATCTCAAAGTCCCTCAAACAATCTACCTGGAGTGCTCATGACATGAAAATCGATAAGTGTGATCTGCCATTTCTGCCAGGCAAACAGAAAATCCAGGGCGTCTGAGGTTAGGTGTGAATGTATGTGTGTGTGCGGGGGGAGGAGTGTGCAGTGGGGTCAATCATGCTCAGTGAAGGGGAGGAGATGGGGGCTCGTCACACAAAAAGGACAAGAAAGAGAGAGGAAGAGAGAGATGATGAGAGAGAGATGGAGAGAGAATGAGAGATGGAGAGAGAGACAGATGAGAGAGGGAGAAGGGAGAAAGAGACAGAGAGAGATGCAGACAGGGCAATGAAGAGAGAAAGAGGGAAAGAGAGATGGAGAAAGAGGGGGAAGAGATGAAGAGAGAGAGAAGGAGAGAGAGGCAGAGAGGGCAATGAGAGAGGGAGAGAGAGGGCGGAGTGATATGGATGAAGAGAGAGAGAGAGAGATGAAGGGAGAGAGGGGGAGATAGATGAGAGAGGGAGAGAGACAGAGGAGGCAGAGAGGGGAATGAAGAGAGAAAGAGGGAAAGAGAGATGGAGAGAGGGGAGAGATGAAGAGTGAGAGAGAGAGAGACAGAGAGAGGCAGAGAGGGCAATGAAGGGGGGAGAGATGGAGAGAGAGGGGGGAGAGAGACAGAGATGAAGAAAGAGAGATGAAGGGAGAGAGGGGGAGAGAGATGAGAGACAGAGAGGGCAATGAAGAGAGAAAGGGAAAGTGATGGAGAGAGAGGAGGGAGCGATGAAGAGAGAGAGAGACAGAGAGAGGCAGAGAGGGCAATGAAGAGAGGGAAAGAGAGAGATGGAGAGAGAGGGGGGACAGAGAGAGAGATGAAGAGAGAGAGAGGAACGAGAGACAAGACAGAAAGATGGAGAGAAAAAGGGAGGTAGAGAGAAAGAGAGAGATGAAGAGAGGGAGCGAGAGAAAGACACAGAGCGAGAGAGACGACGGGAGAGAGGGAGGGAGGGCGGATGCGTGGTGGGTGCAGTGCCGCGAGGAGGTAATTTGTCAAATTGGTTTTCACTCACCACTCGGACTCGGAACTGCCTGTCAACCTGGCAGAGTGACAGTGTCCGACTCTTCTGTGCATTACAATAAACGCCGCATCTCACTGACAGCAAATAACACAGCATCTTGCCTCATTCAGATAGCAGCGACCGTGGCGACAGTGGCGTTCATTACTGCGGGGAGTAATTTAGTGAATATGCCAGTGTGATTTTGTGTCGTTTCATTAGCACTTGTGTGTGAAGCCATTAATAGTACAATGCCGGGCTAATAAATTGTGATGTCATGCAGATTGGACGGGGAAGCAGCAGAAGTCGCCAGCCAAAAGTGATTATTGTAAATGGGGCAAAATCCAGCATAAAGTGTCAGGCCAAATTATGTAAACAGAAGCTGTAGTTATTATAGCCTGCAGTATCATATGCAAGTCTACGCAAACATAATGGATACAATTTGGGTGCACAGTGGCAGAGTGGTTAGCTTATTACTAAACTATATAGTACTCAGTGCTTATATTGTGAAATGGTGAATTGGTGAATGAAATAAGAGGGCCATAATTGTCAAACACAACCAACCAACCAACCAAGTGGCTCAGTGTAAAGCCAACAACAATAAGCAAAGATGTAAGATCATTACTTAAAGGTAGTATATTACACAGAATTGACTCTTATGAGCTTTGAGCCATGTTATAATGTTATTACTGCCTAAAAAACATGCCTGGAGTTATGTTTTCTTTCATTCACACACATTTGAGTTACCCTTTATTATTAGTCTGTCTAGATGTAGCTCAAAATGCTCTGTCCCACCTTGTGATGTCATGAATCAACAGTTAAGTTAACAGTTACGTTTTACCTCTTGTTTAGTAGAGATTAACGATGCCTCAGCAGAAATTATCCAAATGTTTATAGTGAAAGTGTATGGAGTTTAAAAACACCTGTATTACCACATGGCATCACAAAGTGGAACAGAGTGTTTTCTGATTTAGAGAAGAAATCAGTTTAAATATGCAGGATTTGTGTGTTAAACATGTTAGAATCAAACCAAACACAATCCAGTTACGTTTGTGGTGAAGAAACAACATTATATATTGGTGTGATATCATCCCTTTAATTTAATTATGCTGAGACTGAGTGCTAGTGCCTTATTAATACATTTTGGGTTATCTCTTGTTTTTAGCTCAGGAAGTCCTGCCCTCTTAGTTTAATTGGAGAAAGTCGGAGCAAGCAACTTCTTTGTATTTTGTATTTCTTGAATATACTGAGGTACTGACAGCCTGTTTAGTGTACACTGTATAAGACCCAACTACAAAGAAAGTCCATATTGTAGTCAATAGTCTATGCATTTAAATTACATTTCAAAGTCAAGCCACGACTTCAAAAATAGCTGAAGGTAAACACACTGTCACTCACACATCCCTTATTTACAATACTCCAAACCACATGATTTTATTTAAGCCTTATACAATATACCGAGAAGACATCAACCACCCACTGTTCCTGATGAGGGGCCCCAATGGCATTGGAGGATGGATCAAACGAGGACAAACTCCCCTGCGGGGACAATAAAGTGTTCCCGAACCTGTAAAGGACCTGTATTACACAAAACTGACTCTTGTAAGCGGTAACTCTTGTTATAATGTTGTTACTTCATCGAAAACATACATGGTGTTGTGTTTTGTTTCATTCACATATGTTTGAGTAATAGTGCATTATTAGGCTATTTACATCTCCAAACTCAGAATGCTCTGTCCCACCTTATCCAAATGATTCTAGTGAAGGTGGATAGAGTTTAAAAACACAGCACTTCCTGTATTGTGTTTGAGTGTTTTTTGTTTGAGAAAAGATCTGAATTATGAAACAAAACACAACTCCAGGTATGTTTGTGATGGGGAAACAACATTATAACATAGATCAGGAAAGAGCATAATATGAGCCCTTTAACCTTATGTGTGGCTGCATTGTCTTTGATCAGAAGAGGCAATACATTTTCAGAACACAGGGCCTAGCATATGGCTAAATTATAATTGTCTTTACTTTATGCAATCTTTTTACCATTGCTCTGGCTAACTGTGGTCCTAATGCCATGTTATCTCCTCTCTTCTCTCTTTTGTATGTCCCATATTGGTTGGCCTAAGCAGTGGATTGCCTGGACCCCACTTGCTCCAACAATGGCATCTGCGTGAATGGGGAGTGCCACTGTAAGCCTGGCTGGGGAGGTCTGCACTGTGAGCTGCCCAGAGCCCAGTGCCCAGACCAGTGCCACGGACATGGGGCCTTCATCCCCGATACTGGCCTGTGTAGCTGCGATCCCAACTGGATGGGCCCAGACTGCTCCATGGGTAAGTTCAAAATCTGTTACATCTGAAAAAAACGCAAGGCCGTTATAAGAACATATTTTCCATTCCCCAAGGACATATGGCTAATTATTTTATCATTTTATTTTCCTCTATTCGAGTGTTCAAACAGCTTAGTTGGAGTCATAAAAGCCCAAGTTGTTCAGAAATAGAAATAGAGAAAATGTCAGGATAAAATATGGTTGGGTTTATTATGTGGGCGATATAAAATGCTATCTCTTCATAGAGCAGCAGTGAATCTCATTATCACAGCCTCTCTAGATAACTTTAAACTATGTGTAAAATAAGACAATGACGTTTATATGTAACATTGCGGGGTGCTGCAGAAAAGAACAGAAAAGGAAAGAGTTACACAGTTACAGCTTATGGTTTTCTAATTGAATGTAATTAGAAATGTAGAAACACTGTAGGAGACCATTTTGAAATGCGATAAGACAATCTGTACCCACAATCAATTATAAAAGGCTAAATTCCATCTATAACCTGATCACATTGTCATTGTGTCCTTGAGCAAGACACTTCACCCATTTTTCATAAAGGTGCACAATGTAACTTTTTCCATTTTTGTACAGCACCTACTTGTCTCTATGGAGATCTTCTCTTTGCCTGAAAATGTTCTAGGGGTTTAAAAGAAATGACAGGTGTTTAGGCTCATCTCTTCACAGATCTGACCTGTAACTTAGCCCGCTAGTGTTACCTCTCTGGAGAGACGTAGATAGATTGACAAGTTAAATGCCATACTGTGGAATATCCCAGGCAAAGAAATAAACCTCCTCCAGAAAAGTTACATATTTCATCTTTCAAGGGCCTGTATTACAGTATTTTCTGATGTTATAATGTTGTTTCCTCATCATAAACTAGGTTTTTGAGAAAGTAACTACATTCTAACATGGCTTGAAGCTCACAAAAGTCAGTTTTGCATAATATAGACCCTTTAAGTATGAATGTGGACAGGCTGTTGGTGCAGACACTATGGCATATTTGATGAGAAAACTAAAAAGTCACTTGGAATTTCAGGTTACTTTACATAAAACAATAACCTCAAGTTTACATACCCTCCAGTCTACAACATCATATTTCTGTACTGGAATAAATGTCTCTTATTGCACAGCTCCACACAGTTACTTTTAGAAATAAACTGTAAATCCTCAACTTTAAATGGCAGGAGGCACAGCGCTGAACTTACCTCAACTCCTCTCTATAGAAATTGAGAGGCAAAGCTTTAAGTTTAATAAAGAAGGTATTGTTCTCAGACACAGGATTTCACAGTGAGAGTCTGTATCAAAACATCTGTATGTACCAGGATCCCAGCTCACCGGGAGTCCACACAGCTCCTGCTTTTCTGTCACATCTCACTACATGCACTGTCTGCTCAAGTGGAGTAATAGAGACACAGATAAGACAAGCAGGCGTATGCAATTGGAGTTGATTGTAATTGAACATAGGAAAGAGATTTTAGTTGTCATTGGGATGATAGGCAATAGACAAACCTGGGTATCGTTTAAACCTTTGTAGTAAATCACACAAGTATAATGTTATTAAAGGGTCCAGATTATGCTATTTTCTGATCTATGTTATAATGTTGTTTCAAAAACATACCTGGCGTGTTTTTTTTTTTTTTTTATTCACACGTTTATCACACAAACCCTTCATATTTAGGAATTCTTCTCAAACAGAAAACATTCAGTTCCATCTTATGATGTGGTAATACAGGAAGCGCTTCACTGTGTTTTTAAGCCCCATAAACCTTCACTACAATCATTTGGATAATTTCAGATCACACGGTGGAACATTTTGAGCTTTGGAGAAGCAAATAGAGAATTACTCAAACATGTGAATGAAACAAAACACAACTCCAGCTATATTTGTGAGGAGGTCACAACATTCTAACATGGCTTAAAGGTCACAGGAATCAGTATAATCGAATGTAGGACTTTTAAAAGAGATACAAGTATGTCAATGTTTGATACAGGTACAAAAGGTACAAAATCTTATGATCACTAGTCCATTATTAGTGATCAGAACCTATATCAGAACCAGCTAACGTTCTTATTCCTTCTATTCCTATTTTAAGTCATCCCTCAAGCTTATGACTGAATGGACCCAAATGATAATGAACACTACTTTACTACACATTTCAGAAATTCTACGACTACAACCTCAATTACATCACACTGTATTTTGATACAGACCTAAAATTAATGTTCCAAGTCATATTAAGGTACAGCAGCTCTGGCATAGCTTGTTTTAAATGCTTTCACCTGAACGACTCACTGTGGTCTCTGCTTATAATATTTTAAATATGTGGTCCTTGGTTATAAAAAGATTGGATACCCCTGGTCTTTAGGAACTCCTTGCGCACAAAACACAACCTGCCCTGATGAAGACCTAGTGCTGATACTTTATTGATGTCCTAATAAAATTCACAATTTCCAAGTGAGACGGTAAGAGGTGTGCAGGATTTTTCTCTGTTGATGTTCTTGGGCTTCTCCCTCTCCTCCAACGCACTCATTTGGAATTGATGTGCAAAGTTCTCATTCACACACAACACATAACAATTCTGTGTGGGAGTAAAATTAGAACTAAACTTGGACAAACCCAGGACTAAACCAGAACTAACAGAACCAAAGCAAGGTTACGTCTGGACTAAAATGGGCTCTAACCAGGACCAAACCAGGCCAACATCACACTTAGACCTGTCACAATAGCCAATTTTGAAGTATGATGTAGCTATAGAGATACGAAATAATCCGAGTAAAACATTTTTAAATGGACAGTATCATTAAAAGGCCTGAGCTGTAACAAATAAATAGCAGAATGAACCAATAATTAGCCAAACAAGTCATTTATTCTTAGCCTGATTCATCAGCCGGTTTCACTTCGTAGAAACCGTCTGACTTCGCAGTGTTAGGATTCGTTTGCTCTATGATAGGCAGGTACTTTTTTCATTTAATCAATCTCTGCTATTTGGTTGTGAGGTATATAATGCGCCGCTAGCGGGGGCTAGCCTAATTCACTGAACATTCTCTTTGTTCCGGCTCTAAATCCTCAATTTTGGGAATCGTTGCCAACATATATGGCTCTTCGCTGACTGGCTGGTGCCCAAACTTGCACTTCTGGGGTTCTTGCAAACCGTCTAGTGTATTCCGATTCCTGACCTAAATGAAATTAAGGGGTGGTTAATTTATTCTACCATTCACAGCCGAATCTTAGTGTATTAAAACAAAAATAACAAAGTCTTCCCAATTTTGCAAAGAAAAAGTACCCACAATAAATATTGAACCCCAAAATCCAGCTTTCATATATTGAACAATAAGCTGATATATACTAATTATTGTGACAGAAGCTCAGTTGGTAAAGTGAACCACCAACCTTCAGATCAGGTGGGCGGTTTGAATCCAACTCTCGACATAAACATCATTGGTAGAGCAGTCAGATACATTGATCCACAGATTGGTGGTGTAATCTCAGCTCCCACACATGAATGCTGTCCTGTGTCCTTGGGCAAGACACTTAATCCACCTCGCAGCCCAGTGTCTGCATATACCGGTGTATGAATGAAATGTGTTAGAATGGGTGAATGGTTCCTTGATGTAAAGCGGGAATGCCTTTAAGATGAAAAAGTGCTATATAAAAATGTGACCATTTACCAGGCCTAATCACATCTTTACTTTACTTGTCAACTCAACCCACCAACTAACAGCTGCCAAGGTGAAAATATAGAAGCAATTATTTACTTTACCCATCTGTGATCACCCTGTAACACCTGATAGATGCCCGCCATGTCTCCAAAAATATCCTCCGTCATTGTCCACCAACTTCCTGAAGCCACAAGTCCTGTACAATTTGCCAAGAGTCCCTCATCCATGCAATTCAATCAGCGCTGAAAACTCTGTCACCAAAACTTTATAACAGATGCACGCCACTTCCTTAATCAAAGTGACACGCTCATCAGGCCACTGTAAAAAAAAATGTCCCCAATTTCGCTCTCTCTATCAATAACGTTGCCGTGTCAACTCGCAATATCCACACTGTCTGAGTTATTTTAGACGCCGACCACTTCTTCAAACAGCGCATCCGTCAAGAGAACATAATGACTTTCTTCACCTAAAACTCAGCTCATCTTCGCTCATCCTTACGGTCTCACAAACTTTGATCCATGTCTTTGCCAACGTTTTCACTGTACATCATCTTGAAAGAGGGGTCTTTAAGGAACACTATATGCTCAATTTGCTTTTTCCATCAACAATAGCATAGTTTTATGATATTTGATAGAAAAAAATGACTTTGTACATGAGTTAAAATTACTTGTATTAAAGGTGCAGTATGTAACTTTTCGGGTGGGGGGGGAAATGATCACATCCTTGTAGTCGTGCTGCTTTGCCTGGAATGCTTCACAAACTTATGTATCTTGTATTTTCTTGTCAATTACAGGAGGTTTTACTTCTTGAAAAAAAAGTTACATTCTTTCTGTGATTGGGCTCGCCTCTACACAGATTTTAACTGAAATTTTCCACCTGCTTACCATGGAGATTGATGCATTTATATGCTGTGTAACATTTAAGGCAAAGTACTAACATATTGATGGTGACAAGCAGGTATAGTCAACCCGCATAGTGCATCTTTAACATAATCAAACATCTTTAAGTAATTCTGAACTGTTTTTACTACTGCTTTTGTACTAATAATAACTTGGCCTTAAATAAGAAGCAAATGTTCCAATGAACTCATTTTAAATGTACAAAATGAAAATCAGAAGTTGAATGGTAAAATGAACCATCACTGTTTTATTTATTTTTTATTTTAGTTATTATTATTAGTAGTAGTAGTAGTAGTAGTATCATTATTTAATATTATTATTATATTTTTATATTTATTTATTTATTTATTTATTAATTTTTTCAATACATTTATTGATTGTGCAGTGTTAAGTTTGCCATTGAGTTTATCTGCATATTGGTCTGTGCTATTTCTCTGAGTAACAAGATATAGACAAGGCTATTACTGTTGCGTTGGATCAATAGGAGTTACTTGAATAAATGAGAAATCATAGAATATTCATCTCTTTTAAACTCATCTTTGGTCTCCATTGTTACACCCTAGAGCTACTTATTTTGGTGCATTCAGTCCCCTCCCTGTATCGAACCTGTTCTCTCACTGCCCAATGAAATACAGTTAAATCTCATATAAATTTCATCTTTGCCACAGTTTTTAATGTGTGACTAATGATGTGTTACAGTGTTGGTGTGATTAATATTGACTTTTATAGGCATCATTAATGTTCTGCGTATATTCCTCCTCCTATTGTGTTTTGCCTTTGGGTTATCTATGTACAATTGCCCCAGTAAATTTATAAGCTGCCCTCCAAAACCCATTAGCAAGCGGCTACTGCAAAATGGTTGTGTTTGCATATTTTTTTATTGCTGCAAATGAAAGAAAGTAAGAAATTAAAAGTGCACGGTGGAGTTTTAAGGTACATCTTGTAATCATTTATAGTAGCCCTTCAGGGACAGTATTGGCTATAAACAACCCTAAATGCAGATCTCTTTTGAAGTACTAAATTCACTCGTGATGGAAATTATTTTGATTTAAGAAGCAATGAGGCAGGTGTTTATCGAAACTGTTCCACAGTGCCTGTTTAAAGGTCCTACATTACACAAAACTGACTCTTGTGAGCTTTAAGCCGTCTTAGATTGTTGTTACTTCATCAAAAACATACCCAGAGTTGTGTTTTATTACATTCACACATGTTTGAATAACCCTTTATTATTATTCTGTCTGCATCTTGGGTATGTTTGCAATGAGGTAACATTATAACATACTTAACTTTAAATAAATGTATGAAGCTGTTGTAGGCCATAGGATGAGAAAGACATCAATTTTTCCTTACTCTGCCTTGTGACATTAAGATGAGACAATTTTCAGCAACATTACAGTTGTTATGGTATAAATATTATTGTTTGCAGTCAATACAGTACATTGCAGTGATTTTTAAGCATGTAAGATTCATCTATAGAATGATTAAAGTGCACTCCCTGACTTTTCTCATAAAGGTTTCCAAGGAGATGCATGGAATGATCCAAACTATGGTATTTAACTCATCTATTTTCAAAGACAAGTAGGCAGAGTTACAGATCAGAGACCAGTCTGCTCACAGTAAAAATATAAGTTTTTCCAAGGTATTTTCTAAGCAGTATAATTATGAAAAAAATGCAGAATAGATCAGTTTAATGCCATACTATGGCGCATCTCAGGCAACGCAATTATATCTCCATGGACACAAGCAGGCAGCTGACCCTTCACCAGGTATACCTTTAATTCAACAGTATGCAACTTTGCCAGTTTACAACATGTTTACCATTTGGCCACACTTTTCATCTATTTACTACAAAATAGAAAATTTACACACAGAAAATGCAAATCCTTGTTCTCAAACCATGTAAAACTCATTTCTCTTCTCTTGTCTACAGAGGTGTGCTCGGTGGACTGCGGCACCCATGGCGTGTGCATGGGAGGGGCCTGCCGCTGTGAGGAGGGCTGGACCGGAGCGGGCTGCGACCAGCGAGTGTGCAACCCCCTCTGCATCAAACACGGCACCTGTAAGGACGGGAAGTGCCAGTGTCACCAGGGTTGGAACGGAGAACACTGCACCATTGGTAAGATATTCAGAACATGTGTCTGTGAACGCTTGGATAAGAGCGAGTGCGGTTGTCAACACACAAAAAAGAAAGAAAGAAAAAAAAAAAAACACCAAGCACCAAAACTAAAGTGGTAGCTATTTTCCACTTTGTTAGAGGAATATGGAAATGAGATGTTGGCGCAGAGACGAGCGACCTTAGGGAGCTGAGCAGGGGGCTGGAGTGGGAGGTAAGTCAACAAGAAAAAGTCGCCTCAGAAGTGGGGTTTGAGAGGATAACAAAAGAGCAGGTTTAGCCCGATTTTAGGCTCCTCTTAACTGCAGACCCCATGAGTTTTCCTTTTTTGTGGCTTTTGAAAAGACAACAAAGTTTAAAGTGATAAAAGGTACAAACTCCTCCTCACCTCACTGTGATCAGACTATAGCTCTCACTCTGTTGAATGTATGTGTGCGCGAGTCGACGTTTCAGTCACTGTCTCCTACTGGGTGTCACATTGGACGGTTGAGAGATTGCGTTTGATTCACCCACCTTGTTTTTGGAGACGCACCCAGTCTCGTTCCTCTGTCACCTCAAAAGCACGCACCTATACCAACCTATACAGCACATAAAAATGCACAGGGGAGGTATTCTGATCTCCCCAGCTCCCCCATTAGAAACTAGGGCAACTTTGACTGCAACAGCATATGGGATGAAAGCCACGTCAAAAGCACACTCCACACCACGGCACCAGACATACAGAGTTAGCTTATCTCAACCTGCCTGTTGTTCATTTCAGCTATGCATGATGTTGCTTGCACATTATTTGGTAACACTTTATTAGAACTACCGCTTAATTAGTTTTAATAAAGCACAAACAAAAACTTCATTTGTAACGGACACATAGTTTATTAAGAATGATTAAAGCTTTATAATTACTTACCCTACCCTAACCCTAGTGCTTTAAAAGAATAATCAAGTAATCGTGGCTAGTCGACTATAAAAAATAATAGTATATTTTGATCATTGTAATCATTGCAAGGACTGTACAGTCTCTTTTTGTAAATATTATCTCTTTAGAAGCCTTCAGTCACTGAATAAGCAACTTTATTCAGTTGCTTATTTATTTTAAAAGCCTCAGTGTTTAATAGAAAAAAAGTATGGGAAAATGTATAGCTGACTATTTGACTAGTAGATAATGATAGTTGCTCCCCTATTACTATTACTAATCCTTACTATTTCCTAATAAACTATGTGTTCATTATGAGTTAAGTTTTTCTTCATGCTTTATTAAGGCTGTAAACTGTGTAGTTATTATAAAGTGTTACCCATTACTTTGAACCAAACAATAAACTCTCCAGATTTCTTACCTCTTTTGCACGTTTTCTCCCACTGCAGACCATGGGAGCATGGTTGACAAAGCAGGTACCGTATCTGACTCTGTGATCTTGTTTCTTTAGCCTGTGGTGGTAGAAGCTAGCTGCTGCATATGTGGGTTTTGGCCTGGCTTGGCTCTGTAGACTCTGTGGTGCTATCTGTCCATAGACTATAGGGGGCGCCATCCTCAATGAGAACTCCCCTGAATGTAGCGCATGTTGTTATTGGGTGTGCTACATTGGGGGTTAGCTGTCATTGAGTTTCGATGTGGTGGGGTACCAGTAGAGCCTTTAGTGTGGTCCTAGCAGTGTGTGTGTGACGTGTGCATGCGTGTGAGCGCGCACTGCGTAACTTTTCTGGTGGAGGGTACGCCACCTGCTTGTTTCCATGGAGATGTTATTGCTATGTCCGTAATGTTCCACAGTATGGCATTACACATATCTATCTAGCTTTTATTCCATACCATTTTTATTGCTCAAAAAAGAACTTGAAAAACATGGATTCTTACTGTGAGTGGGGTCGTCTCTCCACAGATCTGACACTGTAACTTCGCCTGGTGGCAGCACTTGCTTGTCTCCACGGAGATAGAGAAGTTTAATGCCATAGTGCGAAACATTCTTGCCGAAAGTCTCTATAGGGACAAGCAGGTGGCGTACTCTCCTCCAGAAAAGTTACACAGCGTACCTTTAACTAATCACCAAAATTAAACACTTGAATCTACTTGGGCATTCGGGACATGCATAGTGTAAAACTGCTCCACACAAGGAGAAAATGATGAAAGCAGTAAAGAAGTTGGGAGGTAATTGGGGAATTTCATAGGCCACTGATGCGACGCTGCAATATGCTGTCAAAATAAGAAGCGCTTTGAGACTGTGTTTATATGTTTAGGTGTACTCACTGATGTTGAAGAGGGAACAACTTGAATCTGAAGTGTGTGTGAATGTGACTTAGAGTAGCCCCTCACTAGATCCCTATGTATTTTACCCATTCCCCTCTGCTAGATTTTACAGTGTTGCACAAAAACACACATTGCATACAAACTAGTCAAAAAATATTCTTACTAAATACAAACTATAGACTATGGAAATGTTCTTGTTGAAATGAGGGTTAAAGGTGCATTATGTAACTTTTCAGGTGGAAGGTTCGCCATCTGCTAGTCTACATGGAGATTTTATTGTACTGATTATTATGTACTAGCCAGGCTGGTGCCACCTAGTGCCTCCACTTAACTTCATTTCTCTCCAGCGACTAGGTCAGGAATCGGAATACACTAGACTGATCGCAAAAACCTCGGAAGTGCAAGTTCGGGCTCCTGCCAGTCAGTGAAGAGCCATTCTGAATTTCATTATACTGTATAATGACAATAAAGGCTTTCTATTTCTTTTATTCTATTCTGTACATTCTGTGTTGTTAACGATTCCCAAGATCGAGGATTTAAAGCCGGAAAAAAGGGAATGTTTGGTGAATTTTATCAGGGGGAAAGACTTCATTGTTTTTCTTCCTACGGGATTTGGGAAAAGCTCAATATACGAGTTAGCCCCGTTAGCGGCGCATTACATACATCAAGACCAAATAACTGGGATTGGTTAAATAAAAAAGTACCCACCTACCGTCGAGCAAACAAATTCTAATGCTGTGAGGTCAGACGGTTTCCACGAAGTGAAACCGGCTGATGAATCAGGCTAATTATGTACTGTAGTAACCTTAAAATCTGTCTAGCGTTTAGGGTGAAGGAGACGGCAGATCCATCACTAGAAAAGTTACACAATGCACCTTTGAATAAGCATTATAGAGACAATGAATATAATCTTTACCATAGTCAGGTGTAGTAAATAAAGACAGAAATTGCCTTGATTTTGCCATAAAATAGCTGAATGATTAACAGTGACCATCCAGGCGTTGGTTTAGGAAGTAAATACACCATTTATTTTTCCTATAGACTTGAAAAAAAAAAGTATATTAAAAGTTCAAAAGCTTGCTCAGGGCTAATCAGCTACATAGTAACTAATGACCATAAGACCTATAATTTTATTTAAAATCTGTTTCTGAAATTTTGTAAACCATTAAGTTATTAAAACATTTCATTTTAAATGGCATTTTTAGACTTAAAACAAGCACATTATGGATATTAGTTACCACATAGTTGGTTAGTTTCTGTGATGCCTTTGAATTCTTAATATTTAAATTTTAAAAGTCTATGTGAAAAATGAATGGAAAATGTAGAGGAAGATGACTTCAAAGTAGATGAGACTGCTGAACTCCATTAGCCCACTTTTTAGTGTATAATATAATAATATAACACATTTGAGGCAATAATTGGCAATATTGACTGTCAATAAACTGGCAATAATTAGAAGAATGTTCATATGACAATTATGAGATTTCTATGTAAAATTGCATCATCAATGTTGCCAGATAAGATAGTGTCCACAATTTTGCAAAGATTTTCTTCTTCACACCCTTTCACTCAAAAATACCAAGATCTAAAGCATTTCGTTGTTAAAGACAGACACGTTTGGATCAATAAACAGGACAAACAGCGCTGCAATTGGCCACTTGAGACCATTTACCTGAGCTGACATTCAAGTCGCCTTCTTTACGAAGACATTTACTTTTGTTTTGATTTGTTTTGGGGCCAAATAACGATCTTTCATTCCTTTTTTATGTTGGGAGATTTTGCGTCAGATTATCCAGACCATTAAACCAGATCAGTTAAGGTTAAAATATTGGAGTAAACAGGGATTCTTGCTGGTCTCTTGCTGAATTTTCTCACACATATAAGAAAGAATAACCCCGTAGCATCATTCATATTGTCCAGTCATCTACCACATAAAGGTACACTGTGTAACTTTTCTGCTAAAGGGTCTGCCACCTGCTTGTTTCCTTGGGTATGTCATTGCCTTGACTCGAATGTCCCACAGTATGGCTTTGTCCTCCCATCAATCTTGGACATATAATTATGTCTTTATTGTAAAAACAAAAAAATCTTACTGTGAACGGGATTGCCTCTTCACAGATCTGGAAAATTCAAGGCAAGGCAATAACATCTCCATGGTGACCTGCAGGAGGTGGACCCTTTATAAGAAAAGTTACTTAGTGTCACCTTTAATGTGTCAGAATGTTTAATTTAATGACCGTTAATGACACTGCTCTCATTGTAGGAACATCCTTGGACATATGTGTAAAAATCACCGGATTAAACAGTGAAAGGTGTACAATACTAAAACAGACACGTAGGTCAATGTATAACAATCAGTGCTGTTTTATGGCATGTTATTATTAGCCATGATACACCGTGATGAGTGATTTTATTCTGAAAAAGTGCAGCGTAATCTGGTCCATCTCGGATTTATAGAAGTAACCTTTATATTATGACCTTTAGAGGAGACAGGACTTTGATACAGAGGAAACTGAGAGAATAGTGCAACTTCAGTTCCTTTTAAAGTAATACAACGTGACTGTACAGGTCTTTCTGGGTGATAACGCTCTGAGAAGTATAACTTTTGTTTGTATTGTTGTCATAAAACTAGAAGATTTAGGGTTCAAATCCAATCAGTTTCAGAGTTGAACTTCAGTGTGTTTATCTATAGTTAAAAATGTCTGGCTAGATTATACTTTCTTTTGGCAATTACCTCAAAATTATGTGTTTTTAAGAACAAATTTCCTTACAAATAACAACGTTTATGTAGCAACGATTTATGTAGAATTGGCAATAACATTTAGCATAAGAATTCTGCTACTTATGATTAACTAGAAAGTACTGTTTGTGCCTATCCTAAACCTGTGTAAGTAAAGAGAGAGTAGCATCAGGCAGGGCATCAGGTTTAAAACATATACTGTACCTAATCAGAAAACAATTCATTGTATCCTAATAGGCCTCATATCATTTTTGTACATATGTCTGCAAATGGTTTCGCCAAAATCATCTTCAATTTTTTAAATTTTTTTGTAGTTGTAGTAGTATTTTGCTGTATTTTTGTAGTATCCACTCCTAGCTGTTTTCACTATTTTCAAATATAAAAAAATACATATTTCAAGGCCCAAATCTGCTATAGTTTCAGTTCTCCCTCTTTCCATCCATTTGGTCTTTCTTCAAGTATCTTTTTTTGCATTCGTACAGCCCCAGACGTACGCGAGAAGACTGTGAGTGCTGACCCATAACCCAAGGCAATTTTCGCTCCTTTTTAAAGGGATTTCATCAGAGTCCAACTACATTAGCTGGGAGGGTGGACTTAATAGTTTCTGAAATCCCACTTTATTCTAGTTAGTATGAGAGGGTATCGACTAGGCTCCCTGGCTTTAAAGAGAGGAGAGGCTCACGTTGGGCCTGACCGGGCAGTTGGATCAATGCTTGCTATGGATTGTCCTGTCCCTTTGCTTCATAAGTATTTGGCGCCTTTTTAAAACGGCAACTCCATTTAACAGGCAATCACTGCTAACTGCTTTGTAGCCCCAGCTCGATAATCAGGGACAATCTTATCCACGCTTAGCTGTTAAAAGCTGCTACGTCGCCCTGATGCTGAAAGTGGTAATAATTAAAGTTTAAAAACTATTAAGCAAGTATTCCAGATGAGCTGTGAAAACGGGGTTAAACTTTGGAATCAAGTACGGTAGTTTTGTTTTTTTCAAGTGCAGTTAGGTACGTTTATGCAGTAGTTGTCATTGCAGTATATTATATTATATCACTACCACTTCTCCTAGGTTATATACAATCTAGCATAGTTGGAGCTACTAACACTTGTGTAACTTTGAGTTGGAAGTAGAAGTACAACAAGTAAAATAGTTCTTGTAGTGAAATGGAAGTAAGTATCAGTCTTTACTATTTTTGACAGAATTATATTGTGATTAAGTGAAAGCAATATTTAAATAAACTGTTCTCTAAATCTATAACTTTTAGTACTACTACTGCTGCTACTACTACTACTGCTGCTACTACTACTACTAGTACTACTATTATTCATGGGGTTCAGGCAAATAAAAAATGTAATATTGCTCAGTTGTTACGGCAATGGAGGTCTGTTGTCTTAGCTTGAAACCCATAGACTGATAATTGTTTTTTGCAGTAACAGGACTCTCACTAAACTGATTTTTTTGGCTACAGTACCTCTTGTTTATAGGCTCCATCTTGGTGCATCCGTCATTTATTGAAGGGGAAATCAAAGTGACAAGTTTGTTTTAGGCGCTTTGTTGAGCCAGAGAAAACACTGTCACAGTTTGTCACTGTGCCTTTGTCCTGGTCCTTGATTGATTATAATGTGGCAAACAGCCTTGTGTTCCAACTGGAAAGGGGCAGTTTAAAGAGATACCAGACATGATAAGACAGATTAAAGGAAAAAATAAATGACCAACTTTGGCTAAGTTCATATTTAAAAATAGTTTAAAAAAAAGTCTTTGCAAATGTTTAGACAGTATTTAATTTAAATCCAGTTTCAGTTTGTGTAGACCACATTCCTGATTTGCAGTGGCATTGTCTGTCTTTGTATCCCTTCTTATTTTTCTTCAAGGCCATTGACGACTGTACTTTGAAGGACAAATATTTTCTAAGAAGCTAGGGTATTTCTACTTCATATTTATTCTCAATGCAAGCTGATCCAAATTGAAATTTCAGGCATTTGTCCATAAAGAAAAATTACCCACCTGGATATGGTTGATTTGTGAAAAAGCATGTTCCCTTGTTATTTGCCTTAATTTATTTCATTTTCCTGTAAAATAACACTTAGAAAACATTATAAATTTCCTCTTTTTGATTTGATCATTTGATATTATATTTATTAAGCTCAAAACTTCATTTCTTACCTTCAACAACAAGAAAGCAACCTCTGCATTTTTTCTCAAATTATTTAATCTTTAGGTATAAAAGCTAGCTCTATAAATGTTCAGGTTGTTGCTGTCTGTAATACCATCATACCTTATCAGAAAATTCAATATTACTCTGAAAATCACATTTTCAGACGGCCAACATTGATCTCTAAATTATCCAGCAATTTCACATATAACAGCAGTAAACAAAACTGCTTCATGCTAAAAAATACATAAACCTATATTGCACATTTAATGCATCAACACATTTACATTCAGGCAGTGCATGCACTAAATATGTCTGATATGAAAACTACTACCAGTAGTTTCTAATTTGTGATATCATGCTTAAACCACAACAATATAGATAAGTATGGACCATATACTGTATAAAGAAGTGGACTAAGGGATTGTGACATCATCCATAGCATTCAGCTCCAGCTCCAGTGAATGCAGAGCTACATTCCACATTAGGAATAGAAATTTATTTACAGACAAAATAGTGAAATAAAAACACCAGGATCATGTTAAATTGGTTAATGCAAACACTTTTAGACCTAAGTGATAAGGCTCACTGCAGCAGTTATAGAGAGAGAGGTGATTTTCAATGTAAAGGCAATTGGAGCCAGAGTCGATAGAGCCAGAAGCGCCCCTATGCTCACTTACTATTTGTAAAGCGGCAGCTAACAGGTTAGCTACATCCATTTATACATTTTGTTTAGTCTATATCATAGCTGGACTAAGACAAAGACTAAAGCAGGACCTAAATGAATTTTAATCAGAAATAAAACGGGTCTTGACTAGGACTTCTTGTACCAGTTTGAGATCTCATGTGCTCAAGTTTGTGTGAATGTGTTTGGCAAATAGTTTTACTTTATAATATATCATACAGTTTTAATCATTACTTAGCTTTTTACTTTCTACATAACTGTTCATTTCCATATTGGCTTAAATCATCTTGCTTCTTGCTGCCTTAAGTCAGTTAGCTGACTAAAGGTGGGCTCACATAAGCCAGTTACTGAATTTACTTGTTTGGCTGCAGGGTCCCAGGATGGTGTGGGGCTTTTTGCATAAACTAAAGTGAAGGTTTATTAGTTCATAGGCACGCACAACACGCGCACACACACACACACAGGCACACGCACACACATTTCTGTACTGGCACAGACCGCTGAACATAATCTCATTCTCTCATGAGAAAGCATTACTCTCGGGCCATCAGAATCCCATTACCGACACTGAATCATAAGTAAGAGAGCGCGAGAGTTATGATCCGCGAGGCACTATCCAGTAAGTGATCTATTCTCTGTTCACATACACACACACGTACGCACACACAAACGCGCACACAGACACACAGAAATGTATAGACGGTCAGCTGTGCATGAAAATTAATCCACTGAATAAAATTGATTCCTAAGCGATCAATACTTAAGCAGCCATTGACTCTCCAGCCTCATTGGTTACAAATGAGCATGTACTTGAGTATGTGGCGAGCATAGTGTTGAGTTGAAGGCAAAACAAAAATCACGTTGCTTCTGTGTCCTCTCCTCCTCCTCCTCCCCTCTCCCCCCTCTGTGTCTCCCGTGTCCCGCAGATGGATGTCCCAACCTGTGCAACGGAAATGGGCAGTGCACCATGGGGCAGCAGAGTTGGCACTGCGAATGCCAGACGGGGTGGAGGGGTCCGGGCTGCAGTGTCGCCATGGAGACATCCTGTGCCGACAACAAGGACAATGAAGGAGGTGAGTTTGGTAGTTTGTGAAGTTGGTACAGATAAAAGTTTAAATTAAATTAAAGTAAGTTTTTTTTGGTTTTGTTTGTTTTTTTCACATTCACTTGGAGAGAAATTTAATCTAAAAATTGAATTCAGAGTGCCACAACAAACATACATTTACATTATTGCCTTTTTCTAAACATAATTAGGGCTCTGGAAACATTAATCCTTCATTTTTCGACCATTGTGAATATAGCTTCATTACAGATGACAAATTACCCTACGTGGACCTTAGCTTGCATACTTGTACCTTACCTTACTTCAATTACACACTCTTGTTGCCAAATCACATTTTCTGAACTATTTTTACTACGGTATTTTTCTAAATTACATTAGCTATTTTATGACATACAGGAGTAGTCTATAAAGTAAAAGATTTCCAAACTTTCTTGCCCTCACCCCATGACAAAGACAAGGCATCTCAGTCTGGCAGCAGAAGCAGTGGATCATTATTTTCCCTTAGCTGAGCACAAAAATCAGATGTGATATTTAATTCATTCATTTAAAAGTTTAAAATGAATCGACATATTCAGGGTGACTTGCCGGGCAGTTCTGCTTGCACTCATTTTAGCCCTTATTTGGAATCTTCAGATGGACTCACCGATTGTATGGACCCGGACTGCTGTATCCAAAGTCCCTGTCAGAACAGCCCCCTGTGCAGAGGGTCCCGGGACCCCCTCCTGGTCATCCAGCAGAGCCCCGTGTTACAGCCTCGGGTCAGGTCCTTCTACGACCGCGTTAAGATGCTGGTGGGACGAGACAGCACGCACATCATACCAGGGGAGAATCCATTCAACTCCAGGTAAGACTCTAATCTGATGCATACTTGATTGGGGAAAAAGAGCCAGTTTTCCCAATTGCTTACATGGTATTCTCATCAGAAATATCCAACAGAAAAATCCACAATGAAGGCACAAGGAAGCATTAGCCAATCTGGTTAGCACTCTCACTGTTAGTCAACGGTCACATTTTTATATATCCTTTAGCATGCCTTCCCACACCTTTTGTACGTAAAAAATATCAAATGTTACATGCAATTAAAACAACCAAACAATTTGAACACACTTGCACACCAACAACACACCTCAATCTGTCTTTACAACTAAAACCTATTTACTGTTTCTTGGACAGACCGTATAACTACATTGTCCAACCACATTAAGTCCTCTCAGTATGATGCTGCTTGTTGTTGAATCATAGCCCACAGAGCACTCAGCATCTCTAATTGTCCACGACTCAGTGTCACATGTGATGATCTGCACGGAGTGTCTCTTCAGTCAGGGCCTCTTCTGGAGCTCTCTGTCCCGGTTGTTGTACGCATTGAAATTGGTTAATAAGAAAGGCACTAGGAAGCAATATCCAGTGTACTTTCAGGCCAGTCTGGTTAGCACTCCCACCTCACAGTGAATAGGTTAATTTTCTACATCATGGGGGACCATTCAATGGTGCTCCTGTATGTGCACTAAGCTACTCCTCCAGCTAGGCTGCAGAGGTTAGCTCTATCTATTTATAAATTCAGTCTATGATTTAAAGGTGCCCTGCGTAACTTTCCAGGTTGGGGGTCTGCCACCATGGAGATGTTATTAGTTTGCCTGTAGTGTTCCACAATATGGTATTAAACTTATATGAAATACATAATTGCTCAAAAATGCCTTTAAAAACATGCATTCTGACTGTGAGTGGGGTCACCGCTTCACAGATCTCACCTGTAAATTAGGCTAATGGCATTGCTCGTCTCTGTGTAGATAATAAGTTTAATGCCATACTTTGAAACATTTCAGGAAAGTTACGCAATGAACCTTTAAACAAACTTGTATACCAACAGCATACCACAATCTATTTTTACAGTTAAAGCACAGAACATGTATTCAGTCTGGGTCTCTCCTGAAGCTCCATGTCCCTGTAGTTGGACGCATTGAAAGTCATGGACCCCATCGCATTGTCACGGATTGTTTACGTGATTGACATGCGCTAATCCGTGTGGCGCCGTGGTTGATTGTCTGTAATTAATGAATAGTGGAAGACCAGACCAGTAATTGAGCTTGCAAATTAGATGATTGAAAGATGGGGAGATGAGTCAAAACTTATGATTGATGCGTGAAATGTCACTTTTTGAAACTGACTTTGGCCGTACTCCAGAGGTGGTATACCAGAAATTTGCATCTATGTAAATAAGTGCTGTGAAAGGACCAAAAATATCGAATTACAAGTCAAAATAAATTCAGACAAGCAGCAATTTGAGAGTAACAAATTTCTCTGTGGGCACAAGAAACTATGCCTTAAACCACAGATTTTCAGTGTGCGTGTGAACACGAGTGTGCCCAGAGATGTTGCCAGATGTGCCTTGAAAAGAAATCTAATTTGAGTTAACAGATTCACACATGAATTTCATTGAATAATTTAGCTTTTCGGAGTGTTCTAAGCAAACTTCTCATCCAAAAAAGAAAATCATTGCCAGAGTCAAAGAATCAGACATGACATGGACATATTTGGCTATATTACTAGATTATGTTTTTTTTTTTTTTTTTAAGGTGCGATTTGGTAATACAATATTTTGGAAGGTTGTGTGCAGTGGAATATTTTAACCAATGTGTCCCGTGACTCAAAAAAGATAAATAAACACTGCCTTATACTTACTTTCATACGGTTTGGCCAGGAAAGGCATTTGGTTTAAAATACAGTCACTGCTCTACTGGTTGCCAAAAAGGGGAAACATGCAAGGCATAGATTGGATTAGAATTGTTCTGAAAATGTCTTTTAGTCTCATCTGCTCTATTATGACTCACATATAAAAAAAAATCTTCTATGCACATTTGAAGTAAAAGTACTTGTAATGTACTACTTCCACCTCTTATACTGTGTCTATCTCCCTTTCCTCTTTTGCAGTTTGGCGTCCCTGATCCGTGGGCAGGTTCTGACCACAGATGGGACTCCTCTGGTCGGGGTGAACGTGTCTTTTGTCAACTATCCTCAATATGGATACACACTCACACGCCAGGACGGAATGTATGTACAAAACAGAAAATACCCAGAATGCTTCACTAGATTTATGGCAAAAAAACAGCCTTGTGGAGATTATAGAGGGGATGATGTTGCCAAAATTGGATTAGGGTTAGATTACATAAAATTAGTTAAGACTTTAATCCATTGTAGACAGTTTAGCATAGATACTAACAAATATTCTGAAATGTAATCAATGAACGTGCTATGCCACCATAATGTACAAATAATTACTATTACTGAATGTCATTTTTTAACAATTATGCTTGTCTGATGCACTTTATTTTTTGCAATATTTTAATTTTTTCCTTTGCAGTGTTTTTGCTCATTTTGGCAGGGTGACATCTAATGATAAACTATGCTAATATTTAAATGGCTTTATTCCAGGTGCTGAGTGAAAGAGCATATACATCTGACTCTTTCTGACCTTGTTTTGAATGTTATTTTGTAATATTTAATTACTTTTCAGGAGCTGTTTCCAGTTTCACAGACTTGAATGTACTAATATTTGACCCTGAGTGCTATTGGTCTTTTTGAATGTAATAATTAGGCAAAATATGGGTCATTACCTGTGAGAAATTAGTGTATTTATTTGTATCTGTGTCAATTTTGCATTTATAATCCTAGCAACTGTTCTGCATGTTCTATTGTGCATATTGTCCAAATAACAATCCTTCCACTGGAAATGTCACCATCTGCCCCTCATTTGCATCCTCTTCTCACAAACCCTCTGTAGGTTTGATCTGCTCGCTAACGGTGGTGCATCGCTAACTTTGAGGTTCGAGCGTGCCCCCTTCCTGAGCCAGGAGCGCACCGTGTGGTTGCCATGGAGTCAGTTTTATGCGCTGGATACGCTGATGCTAAAGACCGAGGAGAACACCATCCCGGGCTGTGATCTTAGCGGATTTGTGCGGCCAGACCCTCTCGTCATTGCGTCGCCTTTGTCCTCCTTCTTCAGCTCCAAACCCGGAGAGAAGCCCATCATCCCAGAGACTCAGGTGTGCACGCAAACCTTTGGCAACAGGCTAATCTCTGTCTGCTCTTCTTGCCATTACCCAACTTGAGTCATTTACCAAATTTGCATCACTCATGCTATTGCGAATTGTTAGCTTGACAATGGTGACCAGATTTATAGAATTAAAAACTAGGACACACCAAGTTTGAGACAGTTGGGATTAATAAAATTATGAAGATGTAACATTGTCCATTCTTGACTCACTAAACTAGGATTAATAACAGATCAAGTACTGGCAGTTTTCACATTCTTGGATGTAATGATGTCATACTCTCAGATGATAGCCAGATTTACCAATTAATTACATTGAAAAATCTAAAAGGTAAATTCACAAATTAAATCTGATCATTTTTATTAGCAAATAGCTGTTAGAACTTGCTATATTGCCTCAAAAATATGCATTTTAACAATATCCATTTTAGTGTGATGACATCTGAAGCCTTGCAATTTTTGTCACGTGTTTTTTTAAGTGAGGCTCTGTCCTTTCTTTTCCACCTTCTCTCTCTCGTTTACGTCTCCTTCATTCCTGTCATTGTTTGTTCATCTTTGTCCTTCACATCAGTGGAGGTGTGACCCCCATTACCCCTCCCTCTAATCCGGTCTAATCCCAGCTCCTCTGCTCTTTGTCTGCAGGTGCTGCACGAGCAGATTGAGGTACCTGGCACCACTCTGAAGCTGTGCTACCTCAGCTCTCGCACTCAGGGCTACCGCTCCCTGCTCAAGGTGACCATGACTCCTGCCGTGGTGCCCATGGGCCTGCTCAAAGTTCACCTGATGGTGGCAGTAGAGGGCCACCTGTTCCAGAAGTGGTTCCACGCTTCTCCCAACCTGGCCTACACATATATATGGGACAAGACGGACGCGTATGGGCAGAGGGTGTATGGCCTTTCTGAAGCTGTGGGTGAGTGTGTGGAGAGAGGAGAGTGCACAGGGAGGAGGGGCATTTGTAGCCCTAGTCCTGATTAGAGTGCACTGGCTATGACAGAGAGGGCTGCTAATTAGAGGGCTTGAAGGAGAGATAATGCAGCAGAAGTCAGCCCCACTCTGCGGCACGGCCCGGTTAAGGGCTTTTTTCATATGTCTATTTTTCATTAGGGCTGCTTGTGGTTCAGGCAGCCAGCCGTAACAGTGGTGAAGGGTTATTAGCCATCAGGGCGAGTTAGCCGTTAGCTGCAGCGGTGCAGTGCTATTACAGTGTGTTGTCACAGTGGCTCGCAGATGCTGTCAGCCAAATGCTCCGTCAGACCACAGATGCACTGGACATCTGGGACTTCTGCGCGGACTCTAGTCATGAGGGACAGAGCTTTAGAAAATTAGACTCCTCATTTCTCTGGAGAAACTGTAATTTCACATTTCCTCATGAATAAAAGCGTACACATGCTTTGTATTATGTTAACTTTGTTCAACATGAAGAGATAGCTGCGGTGCATTACTGTTTGCAGTGAAGCTGAAAAGGTGCTGGCAGCAGCATTCTCTGTATCTCACAGCGGCTCATGGGGGAGTTATGTGTTAACACGCTTTTCCTTTTAATAGAGAACAAAACGGCTCACATTCAAACAGAATCTATGTCTGAATTTACACAAATAAATGAGGAAATTCTATCTATCTGTATCTAACTGTGTGCCCTCCCAAATATTAATAAACATGCGCACATTTGAGATTATGGTTTTAATGAGCTTTCAATGTAACTGCCAACATGGTCTATGCACCCAGCGGCCCTAAAGGTACTCTGCCTAATTAACAAGGCCTATAATTGATTTAACAGAAAACGTATGAGTGTTACGCAGGTGTTAGTGCAGGTTTCAGGTGCTAACTATCTGCTCTGTGTATTGCACCTTTCACTGTTTTCAGTTTAGTTAAGAGATTCCGTTGTGAGTAAGTTTCTTATACATGTACTTCCACTTCTATAGTCTGTGTTGTTTCCATAGTGTCTGTGGGTTATGAGTATGAGTCGTGTGCCAGTCTGGTCCTGTGGGAGAAGAGGATCGCTTTGCTCCAGGGCTTCGAGCTGGATCCCACCAACCTGGGCGGGTGGTCCCTGGACAAGCACCACATCCTCAACACTCGCAGTGGTATGGGAGTCATAAAGATACTAAATATTATTATGTTGTGAACTGTTGTCTAATCAGTTGCAATAACATAATCTTGATATTTAGAACACAATGGGGAGCAGATGGAGGGATTTCTTAATCACTATTTCCTATTTTGGATTTGGCTGTAGGATTCAGTACCTCAACTCTCGTTTCATGAAAGGAACAGTTTCTATTTGATTCGCAAGCACCACAAGTATAGCTTTCACTATATATTACACTATATTCTAATTTATGTTATAATATTTTTCCTCATCAAAAACATACCTGGAGTTGTGTTTTGTTTCATTCACATACAAACCCTGCGTATTTAGGCTGAGTTCTTCTGTCAAACAGAAAACACTTTTCTGTAGGAAAAAGTGGATCAGAGCATTTGGAGCTTTGGAGATGTCAACAGACTAACAATAATGGGTTACTCAGCCATTTGTGAATGAAACAAAACAACAGTTTTTGATGAGGTAACTTTATAATGTGGCTGAAAGCTCATAAGAGACAATTTTAAAAAATTATATAGGAACTTTAGATGCATATGTACTATTTCTATTCAAATGTACATTAAGCTACGAGCTATATTATAATAATTGTTTTATTTATTTTAACACATATCTATCCAAGATTAGTTAATTTTAAAATGACTGAATTTCTATCATTTAAATTCAACCTGAAGTAAATGTACACTGTACATTCTATACTGTGCAAAATACCCTCCATCAAATGCATTTTCCCCCATATTGCATTCAAACACTATCATTGTTACTATATAGGTTATTTTAAGAGAAAATTCCTCTTATTTCTCACAAAACAGATCATTACCAGACCTCTTAAGTGAACATGTGCAGTTCCATGAATCACGTAGAAGTGGCAATGTTATTGTCCATAAATGTACTTTCCATGATTTTAAGTCACGGCCACAAAGGCTGTAAATGACTATCTGCCGTCTCTGATGGAAATGGTACAAAAAGAACCAGCTGCAATTATTCACAAGTGGAAATGCCATGTAACTTAAAGGTTGTATGGAGGATTTTTTTTTGTTTCAAGTTGTCAATGATAGCATTATAGAGGTGCAGTAGCCTTGTAATTATGATGACCAAAAAAAAGAGAATAAAAATTCATCAACTCTGGACGTGGTGGGGCTAAACATTTGCCAATAGATAACGACACTGCCTCGTTATCTGTTAGCTGACAGGCTGTCAATCAAATCTCCCTACGTTTCTAGCGTAACTGACTTGCCTGCACGCCGACGGTACGTGGTTTACGTACGCCTGTCACGCAGTCCACAGACGCAAGCCGCACAGACGCTGTTTACTCCACCAACGCAACAGTTCTTAGCGGCTTTTTTTGACCTATATCTTCCTCGCAGTTAGCACAAAGTTTATTGCAATGGCAGACAAGAATCCAGGAGCAGTTAGCCGCAAAAGAAAGTCCGTTTTTGAGGTCGCTGAAAGAAGAAGACAAGGGGAAAAGCAGCGAAGCCAAACTAAGGTGATTCTTGTAGATTCATTCCAGCGATGGCGCGACTGAAGCAGACGCAGGGTCTAAAGACTGACGCACTGGTCGCCAAATTACTCCTGGACAGGTAACTTCTGCTTATTATGAAAACTTACTTTATTTCCAAGAGCTAGTCAAAACGTTTTTCAGGACACGAAAGCGATATCCTATGTCTGAAAACGTAATTTTCAAGCAAAGAAAGAGTCCGCTTGCTGCTGCGTGTTGTAGCTAGTTCATTCGCACGGAATCTCCGCGCAACCTTCTCTGCACCCCTTTCCTGCTCCTGTCCCCGCTGCCCGTTCCGCTCTTCCCCCCTGCTCCTCACTTCTCCGGGCACGGAATCTCCGCGCACCGCTCCCCTCTCCTCTCTCCTCTCCTCTCTCCTCTCCCTGCTCCGCTCTTCTCCCTGCTCCTCACTTCTCGTCCGCGAACGAAATGTCCGCCTTGCCTAACCAACACTGTAGTTGTTTACAAGTCATGTGCAGCGCACCGGCTGTAAACAAACCTGTTTCTGGCGTAAAGAGGAGGCGGGAGGAGGCGTTTCTACGTAGGGAGCTGTAGGGGAGGGGGGGTGGTTTCACGCATGCGCAGCATTTGAAAAAGGACAAACAGTCGCTGGATTTCTCGTTCCTTGGAAAATCCTCTATACAACCTTTAAGGCTCAACACTGTAGCGGAATAGGAAATAATTTTATAGAGATGCACATTGCACATATTTTGAACTCTAATTTGTCTGTTTATTACAATTTCACAAAATTCTTCCTAACCCCCTGTACTTTGTGTAGGTATTCTGCACAAGGGAAGCGGAGAGAACGTTTTTGTGACAGAGCAGCCCCCTGTCATCGTCAGTGTGATGGGGAATGGGCGCCGCCGCAGCATCTCCTGTCCCAGCTGCAATGGACTCGCTGATGGGAACAAACTTTTGGCCCCAGTTGCCTTGGCAATGGGCACTGATGGGAGTCTGTATGTGGGGGACCTGAACTTTGTGAGAAGAGTGTACCCATCTATGAACACCACGGGCATCCTTGAGCTCAGGTAAGAGATAGGGGTATGTGCCTATAGACTTGAAGTGGGTAGCCAATTCTGGATACCATTATATATTGTTTCATAAATTATTATATATTTTGTAAATAAAAGGTCATGTTAATGAGCCATAATTTTATAAAAATTGCTCATGCTGACATTATACTATAAGTTAATCTATTCCTTTATTGACTTTTGGAGCAATTTTCATGGTCTTTTTATTTGGACCAAACAAAAAGTGTGTTCCAGTTAATTTTAGTTTATTTAAAGCTGCTATCTGTAAGTTTATTTAATTTTTTTCACCAGTAGATGGCAGATGTGAAACCTCCCCCTCCCCTTACCTGGCCTTTGTTCAGACTCACCTTTGCTCCCGGATGTTCTTCTGTCAGGCCAAAGCTGGCACACTATCAGACTGAAGTAATGTAGCTAGCATGTAGTGGTGAAGTGTGAGAATACAACAGCCAACCTGAAAACAAATGATAGCTTTAAGTCTATTTTTAAATAAATGGAACCACAGCAAATGGAAATAGACAAATAAAGTAAAAGATATAAATAATTTTGAACTAGGTAGAGGCATTGCAGACAGACTTGTTCTTTTAGCCAGCCTTAGTATACAAGAACTCAGAACATAATGATACACATATTCTGTATATTATTGAAGTAGACCAAAGGATAGTGAAAGTGTTGTTTGTCATAAATAACACAAAGAAAATTGCATATTTCATGTTAAAAGAGGTGAGACACAAGGGATGAGACACAGAGGCAGAATTACACACTGTTCTAGATACATTTCCCAGAGGTGCTTTTACCTATGTTTTAAAATGTGATGCTCACTCGTAGCCAGCTGTGCATTTCTCTGTAGGGGGCTCTCCACACCACTGTGAAATAACTCTGCTATTGTTCTGCTTTTGTCTCACTCTCACGCTTCAAGGAACAAGGACTTTCGGCACAGGTAAAATGGCACACTTAGTTTTTAGATTTTTTTTTTTTTTTTTTTTGCATTTTGCTATAATAGGTGAGGATAGAACTGGATAAAGTGAATGGTAAAACGTGAAAAAGTATGACCTGGGGCATAGTAAAAGCTTGCAGTTACTAGCAGTTATGAATAGTTTTTGGGAGTACAAATATCCAGTACATAGATAATATATAATAAGAAATATAATAAGAAAACTTTTACTATTTTTAAACAATTTTTCAGTAACTTTTGTGGCTAAATGAATGATTAGTATTGGTAGTAGTACTAGTAGCAGTAGTAGTAGTAGTAGTAGTGTTGTCTTTTTCTTAAATTGTATTTTCTTTTCTATAAAACATAATAAAACTGCATTCTTTATCTTTATTTTAATATCTCTTTACTCATTTGTTTTCCATTTTTCTTGGTTCTCTTACCTGATTTACCTTTTAATTAAATCATATTATCTTTGTCCTCATCAGATAAGCACTATATAAATTAAATGATAGTGAGTCATATTGTGTCCAATTAAGTTATAAAAAAAAAAAAAATTAATTAATTAAACCAAACTTTATTTCAATTTTCATAGTAACAACCCAACCCACAAGTACTTCATGGCGGTGGACCCTGTATCTGGAGCGCTCTTCATTTCGGACACAAACTCGCGGCGGATCTACCGTGTGCGGTCGTTAGCCGGCGGGCGGTTGCTGTCTGACAACGCGGAGGTGGTGGCCGGGACAGGGGAGCAGTGTCTGCCCTTTGACGAGCGCTGTGGGGACGGAGGGAAGGCCACTGAAGCTACACTGATGAGTCCCAAAGGTGAGCGGTGGAGACAGGCTTAATTTAGTTTGATTAGGACATGAAAGAAGATTTGGCAGTGCTGGTAATACTCCAGATGGGGGGGCAAGAGCTAGTGTTCCGTATTGATAAGAAATATGCAAAAGTTAAACCATCAAATGTCAAACCAAATCATTAAAGGTCCCATATTATTCAAAATTGACTCTTGTAAGTTTTAAGACATGTTATAATGTTGTTACCTCTTTAAAAACATACCTGGAGTTGTGTTTTGTTTCATTCACACATGTTTGAGTAGTCCTTTATAATTAGTCTGTCTCAAAATGCTCTGCTCCAGCTTGTGATGTTATGAAGCAGTAGTTTTCAAGTTAACAGCTACCTTTTATTTTTAGTTCAGCTGAAATGGGGAATTCCAGGGCTGAAATTATCCAAACGATTCTAGTGAAGGTGCATGGAGTTTAAAAATGCGTTCTGTATTACCACATGACATCACAAGAGATGAACTCAGACTAAATATGCAATGTTTGTGTGTTAAACGTGTGAATAAAATAAAACTGGAGACAAATAGGAAGTGAGCATGGGCAACTTTGGAATAGGCTACATAAGAACCAGCATAAAAAACACAGATTTCAGTGTTATTTCCTGGCCCTATTTTGATTGATTATTTGAGATAATGATTACTGCAGACAAAAGTCAGTAGAGTTCTTGAGTAATCTCGCATATCAACTTTTTAACAAACTTCTTCTTCCAGCTTCACTTGCGAACATATGACAATGGTACCACGTGAATGTATTCCACCCACTAACAGGTCCCATAATGAAGTGACAATCTCTGTTAATTACTTTACCTGCCAGTGCACATAATGTTATGCTTCACTGGAGATTATATATGTATGTACTCTATGCTTTAAAATGCACAACCTCCATGTGTAACCACTGTAAGACTGTCAGAACATATGACGCCTTTGACAGTTTGGTGCCAGTAAGATCCATGAACCACTAAAATAATCCCATTAACAAATTCAACATTAACCTGGTTTATGACCTGCTTCTGTCTTACCCCTGCTTTGAAGAGATAGTGTAGAGTTTAGTAAGTCTATTTTAATAGATTTTAGTACTAGTAGTAGTGGTTTCAGTGAATCTTTCATTTTGATTCTTGGACAGCCCAGCAGGAACATATTGTATTTCAGACACATATGAGATCAGCTGATATGGGTTCAATAACCAGGGAAACTTAGCTGTGTCGATATTTTTGAGCAGATCATGGAGGGTTGATTTTGATTATTTTCCCCAAATTCTGTATTTTAAATTAACTACAACCTCACCAACAGGCCTGTTTTACCACAAAGCCTTAAGAGAGCTGAGAAGTCATGCTTTTGTGCAGTTATATCTTTGCACTACAAGCATTCAAATAAAACTTTATGTGATTTCTTCAGGCAACAGATCAGGGGAAAAAATAAATAAATGGCCTGTGCTGGAGATTTAAGGCCGATAGCAGATATGCTAAAAGGGGCAAATATTGTCCAACTGATATATTGGCCCATTATAGTAAGTGTGTAAGTAACACTAGAAGTGGTCCTTGTGTCCTTTATCATAGTTGACTAAAGAAATGATTGATAATTTTGATAATAAGCTCTGTACAAAGTTTAGTCGACTAAAAGGTACTATTAAAAAACTAAATTTCAGTATCTCCATGTATGACTTGTCTGACCCAAACTGACCTCACAAGACCACAAGCTCAGGCAATAACAAATACTACAGATGCATTTTGTGAGTGTGAATTCACTCCCAAATCTCCAGCTAGCTCAAATCTATGCCTTCCCCTTTTGTTGTATTCAGTAATTGGTTGACCAGTAAAAACGTTGGTTGGCTAAGACATTGGTAGCCCAAGAGACTCTATTTCTTTTATTATTTTTAGCGTCAGCTCTGTAGCCTCTCCCTCTCACTTACTCAGTGCCCTTGCCTGTTTCTCATATCTGTTGTTCAAGTTATTTGAGGCCACAGTTTTGCCATTTGAACAAACTTACCGTAGTGTTATAGACCGCCAAATCTGACACTGCATCGGCGGTAAAGACAGGAAACAAATGAAAAGTTTAAAGATGAGGGCAAGACAAAGTGTAGTTTGGGAGGAAGTAGTGATGCGCAACGGATCATTTTCCACTTTTGTAAAAACAAATCTTTCTAAAGGATATGCCTGCGCTCTGCAATTGCCCTGTGGGACAACTAAACCCCGGCATATTTCTGAGTCATCCCAAAATCCAGCGCCAGTCCATCACTTTGTTCTTCTCCATCCGATGAAACATAGAGCAATTCGGCTGTCATTGATGCTATTCGTTTCCAAGATGGTGCAATGAGCGAACTTTAATTGACTTGGAAAGAGTACTGGTACAGTCCCTGCAGTGTTGTTGAGTTATGATTTGGGACACAGTATATCTTCTGTGTTTTGGCAGGTATTGCTGTGGATAAGAATGGCTTGATGTACTTTGTTGATGCGACCATGATCCGAAAGGTGGACCAGAACGGAATCATCTCCACATTGCTCGGAGCCAATGATCTGACCGCCGTGAGGCCGCTGAGCTGTGACACAAGCATGGACGTCAGTCAGGTAAGCAGTTTGTGTATGTGAACTAATGGGTGTGGTGTCTTTACATTTTATATTAGGTAAAGTTCAATTGGTAGAGTGTTCGTTGGTGGTTCCAGTCCCACTCTTGACGGAATTATAATTGAGAGAGCGGTCAGATTCACTGACCCACCGGAGTTTCAATATTATCATTTATCATCTGTATTTACTTCAGCAATATATCGTAATAATATCATATTCCAAATTGTGTTATCATGACAGGCCTAGATGTGCGTTTAGGTGCATTCTTAGTTACTGTAAGCAGAACCACACAAAGCCTTAATCATTGTGTAAATTATAAAAAAAGTAATTGTGCATTTAATGAAATAAATAAATAAATAGCTGTTTTATCACAATATTCTTTTCTTGAACATTTGTCATCATTTTAGGCTGTTATGGAATTTTTTGTTAAAATAATAGTCAAATTTCAAATTATATCCAGCTGGTACCATTTAAATTAACCATAGATTTTGTACTGTAAGATATTAATTTACTCACTAAAATAATTCATTCATATATATTGCATTTTATGGGTCAACTGAAAAAAGTCCCTTGAACTGGTTGTCTGAGCATAGGTCAGAGCACTAACTTAGACTGAGACACACTATATTGTTTCACAGGGGAAATAATTTGGACACAGCAGCTCACACATCACAATATAATAATAATATAACAACTTGGTATTATGTCAGAATTGGACCAATACCTTTTGATACCATCAGAGCCTTCCTTAAAAACTGAGTCCACCTCAGACATTGGCAGCGGACAGTGTAGAAGGAGATGGAGGAGAGACGAGACCAAGCAAAGGTGTAATAGATGATGATAAAATAGGCCTCTGAGTGCTGAGCTATGACAATTGTGTGGACAGCGGCCAGCCCAGGGTCACAGACAGACTGATTTAAGGGGAGATTAGAGACTCCATGGATAAATGAATAGCTGAAAAGCAAATTAGCGCCGCACTCACTTAAAAAATGAAGTAGACACTTGTACGAACCTTGGCAACCTCTCAATACCGTGTCTTAAGGCATTGTTTTATGCCTTATTTAAACAAGTGGAAGTAACAAATCACAAATAATGACACGAGCTGAGTCGATTTTGGCAGTGATTGTAATTTTAGTGCATTTAAAAGGATGCTAAAATCGACCATAGAGAAACAGTCCAAGTTGTACCTGTTCTAACACCCACAGCCAGGCTCCAGTCATACTCATAAAGAGAAGAAGCTGATAGCACACTGATTAATTGAATACTGGTTACACTCATGCCATTTGTAAATCACATTGTTTTAAACCAGGTTCACATGAAAGCATCTTGTGTAATTTTAAACACGATTTACCTCTCTAGTTCAGGAAGGCGTGGCCTTAGTAGCACTTCTCATTAACATCATGTGTTGGGTTGCAACTCAAAAAAAATCTCATTTGGTCCAACTGTCAGTGTTTCTTTCGGTTTAATCTGTCTCAAAAACATTTGTATCAGGTTTTGTCCATAGTTGCACGGTAGTAAGCTCAGTCAGTACTAGTGTTGTCATCATACTAAAATTTCAAACTTGGTTTTGATTGGTAATTACAGGGCTGCAATCATCCAGATAATTCTATTGAAGTGTTTGGGTGAAGAACTCAGCCCAAATATGCAGGATTTATGTCTTAAATATATCTGAATGAAACAAAACACAACTCTGTCTATGTTGAAAAGGATTTTAGATTAGAGGGGACCATCATACCCTCCCGTATTAATAACGTGGATCACTGAGTACATGTATTCATCCCCTTTGTCCTTATTTGCCTCACAGGTTCGCCTTGAGTGGCCCACAGACTTGGCAGTAAACCCTATGGACAACTCCCTCTATGTGCTGGAAAACAATGTGATCCTACGCATCACTGAAAACCACCAGGTCGGTAACCGCCAGCGACCAGAGAGCCTTAAGGGTGGACACTTGCAACAGGGGTTTGACAGACCAAGTCCCAATTAGGCTTCTTACAGCAATTTATAGCTGTAAAAAAGTTCAAATTTTAACAAGTTTCTTCATGAAGAACCATCATATTAGAAGTTTTACAGTGGTCATGTTATTACTGATTAATTAGGTCTTAGCTTTTAGAAACTTTGTTCGTTATAGAAGTATCTACATATATCTACTTTTCAAAGTTAAGGAAGTTGTTTTACTTGAATACTGATTTTTGCGTCTTTTGGTTCTGATGAAGATGTCTGGTGGTATATGATGCTAATATTAGTAGCAGTGGTAAAGTCTGTGCTTCTAAAAACATCACAAAATTCTTTAAACTTCTTTTTCTTTTTAAGTATTTCTTGGTAGAGTACTCATCACTCTTTGGATGATATCTTGTAGTATTCATGTTGGTGTACTAATTGCATAGCCAGCATTTAAAAGTATTCACAAGTATTTACAACAACAACAACTACTACTACTACTACTACTAGTTTTAGTTTTAGTTTTAGTTTTAGTCTTGGGTACTTATGCCCCTTTGATGATTTCACTACAAGAGATTACCACCCATTGTAGTAGTTGTAAAGTAGCAGTAAAAACAGTTGTAAGTACTTAAAAGAGCACTGTGTATACTTAGTGTATACTTGCTATCTATCGATCTAGTATATTTAATTGTATTGCTCAAAAATACATTGAAATCTATACATTCTCTTTGTGAGCAGGGTCACACAAAGATATGTTAGCACAGTGTGGAACATTCTAGGCAAAGCAATAACATCTTTGTGGAGACAAGCAGTTGGCAGACACTCCACCAGCAAATTTAGTGCACCTTTTTTACAACTACTTCTACTACTAATACAAAGTCCAGCCATACTTGATTTTGTTGTAACCTTATACAAACTTTATTCATAATAGGAGTATCTAAATATTCTAAAACTTTTTAAACTAACTTTGTTTTTATTCTTACCCTGAAAGGTGAGCATCATCGCTGGGCGCCCGATGCACTGCCAGGTCCCGGGGATAGACTACAGCCTGAGTAAATTGGCGATCCACGCTGCTTTGGAGAGCGCTACAGCCATAGCGTTGTCTCACACTGGCATCCTCTACATCGCAGAGACGGACGAGAAGAAAATCAACCGAGTTCGACAGGTACACGATAAACAAGATAACTGTTGTAGGGCCTTTTAAAATGAATTGTCTTCGTACAGCTGGCCAGGTTGTGTGGGCGAATTGTAGAAAGCCTAATATTGTTTCAGTTCTCCAGGCGCCATGTTCAGGGAAGTTGCTTTTACAGTTTCCAGACTTTGTTTTGATAACTCCCTTGTATTAATTTTGCCTTTGGTAGGAACGCTGTCCAAAAATGTCTTTTTTTTTATCCCTCTCTCTAAACTACAAGAAAGCCAAGCTGTTGGATTTAATCAATATTGTTGATATGGTGGCAGAGTGGTTAGCACGTCACTCTGCTATATTGTCACAGCCGTCATATGCTGGATGTTAGGGATCTGTCAGTGTGGAGTTTTCTTAACAAAGTATACTACATTGTAATAGTGTTAGTAGTGTAGTAGTAATAGTAAAACCTGCTAGGCACAATATTTCTGCTGGGGGAGACAGTAGCTCAGTTGTTTATCCACTGATCCAAAGGTTGGCGGTGAGATTCCAGCTCCTACAGCTGCTGTTAGTGCTGTTGTTTTGCCCTTGGGCAAAACACTAACCTCACCCTCTGTGTATGTGTACATTGGTGTATGAATATATGTGTGTAAATGATGCATTATATAAAAATGTGACCATTAAAAGGTTAAGAAGTGGTGACATTGGATTTCCTAGGTGGTAGTAGTAGTTGTAGTAATAAGTAGTAGTAAGTAGTAAGTAGATAAGTTTGTAAGCTAATATAATAATAATAATAATAATATAATATAATATAATAAAATATAAGACTGTAGTCTTGGCAGTAACAACAATACTGTTCTTACTATAGGAATCCTTGTGTGATAATATCTTGTGGTGTCTATTTCCATATGTAGAAGTAGTCTTTTTTTCTCTTTCTTTTATTTAGCAGTAGGGATATCAAAATTAGGCTGTTTTCTTTCTATACAATTAATATAATGTTATAATAACTGAAATCATGTGCAGTGTTATAGACTAGTATGAAGTTAAACGTCCCAACTAATTTCATTTTTTTCACACACAAAAGTTTTGTAATCTTATTTATATAATATTCATAATTGAACTTTAATTAAAGCAAGATATATTTACTCTGCAATATCTTTTTTTTAATCTTTTATTCTTAACTCTTCTGTTTAGGTGAGCACTAACGGCGAGATCTCACTGCTGGCTGGCGCTGCCTCTGACTGCGACTGCAAGAACGACGTCAACTGCAACTGTTTCTATGGTGACGAGGGTTACGCCCCTGACGCTGGTCTGAACTCCCCCACGTCTCTGGCCGTGTCCCCCGATGGCACCCTCTTCATCGCGGACCTCAACAACATTCGAATCAGGGCGGTGAAAGCTAACCGCCCTGGACCTGCTGTATCTAGCATAGGCTTCGTTGGCATCGCTCAGTACGAAGTCGCCTCGCCAAGGGAACAAGAGTTATATGTTTTCAATGGGGAAGGCCAGCACATACAAACTGTTAGCTTAGTGACTGGTGAACCGCTGTATAACTTTACATATGGACCAGATGGAGAACTAAGCATGCTTTCAGACAACTGTAACAACACTGTGAAGATTAGGAGAGATGGGGCAGGGCAAGGGGGCGGAGCTGGCCTGCTTAGACTAGTCTTGCTCCCTGAAAACCAAGTGGTGACCCTGGGATTGGACCCAACTGGGGGGCTACGGAGCGTGTCAGCCTTGGGACAAGAAGTGGCTTTGATGGGGTACAGCGGAAACACGGGGCTCCTAGCAACCAAAGCAGATGAGACAGGATGGACAACATTTTACCAGTAAGTTTATAAGACTGAAAAGTGTCTGTTTTTGTGCATATCTAATATTTGTTGTCATATCTAGAGGCGATAAATAGCTCAAGTTAAATCTAAATGAGTTCTGTTTATTTGGGTTCATTGTGGCTTCTCTCTGTATTGGTTTTGACAGTGTACTTCTGCCCCCTAGTGGTAGCTTTTGTAACTGAATGCATGAATTTTTCTACTCTATGACCATATAAAATCTAATTTTGTCTGCTGCACCTTTACCAAAGAAATCATACATTTGTAAGCATAGGTCTGTTTTTAATTACAAATTAAGTTAACAAAAAAATAGAATAATGTGGTGAAATTTGTATGAAATTCTCCTTGCTATGAATCACAAAAACTTTCAAAAATCACAATGTCACATGTGAGTTGCCACGACAATTTTATAAAAGGTCAGTAGCAGATAAAAGAATAAGCTTTTATGGATGGAGTTATTTTTATATTGACCAAATCACAATTGCATACCAGACATAGTTTGTATTTGTATGTATTAAGGCAAGATGCGTCAAATCTTAAACATTAGCGTCGTAGCATCAGTACAGGTTAAGTGACAAATGATTTTATAAATGGCTTGCAGTTTTGGACTATGAAAAATCTTGGTTTGATTCAGAATTTAAAGGTGCACTGTGTAATCTCTGGAGAGTTGCCCCTATTCACAGAGAGAATTATTTGATAAATAGATAAAAAGTTGCTTAGTGCCCTTTAATGCCACATCAGATGTTAGCTTTTCTAAACAGTAAAAAAGCAGTAGTGACCAGCTAAACATCTTTTTCTTTCCTTAGGTGAACCAATGTTCCACTGTCTTATCTCTACAAGTCCAGACTCATTACACCCCTGTACTGTTCATTCTCACCTCTGTGTCCCTCTCCTCCTCTTCAGATACGACAGTGAGGGGCGTCTGACCAACATGACGTACCCCACGGGGATGGTGACGAGTCTGCACCGCGAGATCGAACGCTCCATAAACATCGACATTGAGAGCTCCAGTCGGGATGATGACGTCACTGTCATCACAAACTTGTCCTCTGTGGAGGCCTCCTACACTGTGGTGCAAGGTACAACACAACACATATTTAAACTCTACATTTGGCTTTTTAATTGTCACCAGGACTACAAATCTAGACTTGATTTTAGCAGGTCTAAGCAAACCTAAACTAAATTAAAACTAACAGGAAAGTAAGAAAAGTCCAATATCAGTGTTTTTTTTTTTTGTTTGTTTGTTTGTTTTGTTGTTGTTTTTTAAATTAATGAAGACTTGAAGTGCAAAAAAAAAAAAACACCTGAAAAAATGTACACTGTTAAAAGTTCTATATTACGCAAAATTTACTCTCTACACCTCCTTTACTTCAGTAGAAATTGGCAATTCCAATGCTGAAATCCAAATGATTCTAGTGAAAATGTCTGTCGTTTAAAAACACAGTAGAGCACAGGCTTTATTACCACATGACACAAGGTGAAACAGAGTGTTACCAGTTTGAGAGAACAAAACAGCCCAATAAATATGAAGGATTTATGTGTTAAACATGTGTGAATGAAACAAAACACAACTCCAGGTTGTGTGTGTTGAGAACAACATTATAGCATAGATCTGAAAATAGCACAATAAAATAAGTGTGTTTTAAAAATATCGTGATGCAGTATTTCATGTATCCATGGAGCTAGGTGTAGTGAAACAACTAAGCATTTCTTTCAAATTATTTTTATTTTATTTTTATTCTAATGGCATGGCAATCATTTATGGTCAAGTTTGAATTTCTGATACCACCAAAGCAGTCCATGATGCTCAATGATCTCTGGCCTGATTTGTAATTGAAAACCTTGTTATTTTTAACAAATTTTCAGAGAACCTCCAAGAGACTACCCTCTTATCCAACTTTTTGCTTCTTACAAACAAAAATTACCAACACATATTCGCTAATCCCAGCCAGGACTCTTCTACTTTGAACAGCATCACTAAGAATCATTAGCGTAGTTAGAGCCCTCCTCACTCTTCCCAATTTCTTGTTGTTTTTCCAGAGCTTTCAAGGGCCATCCCATTGACTTGCATTAATTACCTCCCAAAATGGCTAACCTTGGAAACTATAATTGGATGCTTTGCCATACGAACCTGCATTTTGTCCTCATTGAGAGCCGAGCCTGAGTGGTGATTGTGTTTTTGGGGGTTATAATGAAACAAACAGTGCAGCTCTCCACCTCCTCCCATGATCCCTCAGCTTATTTGGTCTGTTTAGAGAGCAACAAGAAGCTGCTGGGTAATTGTGTCCGCTGCATTGTCCGGAAAAGCAAAAGACTGAGTAAAGATAGTGAATGGTAAGAAGGCGGAATCGTGAGCTTAATTACATGGATTTGAGAGTTAATTAATGCTTTATCTTAAGATTAGTGAGATTAGAGTAGGATAAGGAAACAAAGTAGGACACTGTGTTTCATAGTTTGTGTATTGCTGCTTATATACTGAACAGTATAACCTGCCTTTTGTGTTTTTATTTATTTATTTTAATCACATTACATAATTGTAGTTATCTAAATCTACATAACCCTGACTGTCTTTGTGTAGTGACTTTTTAGACTAGCCAATTTATCTAAAATTAATGCGTAGTATAATCTATTGCTAAAGGCACTGTACTTGATTTTGTTAAAAAAACGTGAAAAATACACAAAAAAACTAAACACTTTGCAGTTGTTCAAAGTGTATGTGGCCCAAAGTTATTACTGCAAAGTCACTACCTTATGTATAAGCTCTTTTGACAACTTTCAGAGATAAAAGTGGAGTTTTGCCATTGTGGTAAAGCTAAAAAACAACTAGCATGCTAACATCCACTTCTTGATTATCAGCTGGGGCAAGGCATACAGTATCTTGCTCAAACACATGGGAAAAAAATTAAGTACAGGAGCTTTGAGAGATGCATGATTTAAACTATAAACTAGGTTATGATTTAGGTTATTGTGTTTAAAAATCTGTTTTGCTAGTTAAATTGGGGCGGACTTGATGTGGTCCTTTAAGGTTCTCCCACTGCTGCGCTAACCAGCCGCTCTCTCTCACTGTCTTCATTAACTTCTGCACACTGAATCCTCTATAGCCCCGCGGCGCTCTATCTCTCCTTTGCACGCTCTTTCTGTACTGCTCTCCTTTTTTCTCTTCTTTTCTCGCTTCTCTCTGTATACCTATCTATCTGTCTCCTTTTCTCTCCTTTTCTAGTGCTCTCTCTCTCTGCCTCCTCTTCCCTCTCTGTCTCTTTCTCTATTTCCCTCTCTCCCTCCTCCTCCTCTTTCTCTAAAAACGCCTGTGTTTTCATTATGAGCATTCACAGACATACAGTATTTATTCTGAAGTTCCTGGCCTAGTGGAATAAGACTACACACGTGTCTATTTTCAGATCTAACACTTTCGCTGTTGAGTTTCATAAGTATCATTTGAAACAATTACACTGCAGTTGGGGCCATTTAATTTGGCTCAAGAGTGTTACTTTTGTCTTTTAGATGGCAATTCTAGGCAGTATGTTTCCCTTATGTATTTCTTAGCAATTATTTAGACAACTGATAACAATTTATACAAAAACAAATATTAAGTCCTTTAAATCCCTATCCTTTATTTGTTTGTAAGCCCTAATTTTTAAAGGTCAATTTTATATTACTGAAAACAATACCAAAATAAAAGTCAGTCTATACTGTTTCTTGTGTAGCTATATATTTTTTGGCTATTTTATCCATCAGTCTATATTGAACACATTGTTAAATATGTTTTGATTTACAGGATTATGAAATTCATGGTGTTTCTTTGAAAGAGAAACCCCATCTCCTATACCCTTTTTGTAAATTACATTACCCATAGTACAAACATACCATGATTTGTGTTTTGTTTCATTCACACATGTTTAACACACCGATCCTGCATATTTATGGTGTGTTTTTTTCTCAAACAAAAATTCACTAGAATTGTTTGGATAATTTCAGCCCTGGAATTGCCGATCTCTACTGATCAAAAGCAAAAAAGTAGCTGTTAACTTGAAAACTACTGCTTCAAGGTTGAAGAGAACATTTTGAGCTCTGGAGATGCAGACATACTAATAAAACAGTAATACTTAAACATGTGGGAATGAAAGTAAACACAACTCCAGGTATGTTTTTGATTGGGTAACAACTTTCTAACATGATCTATAGCTCACAAGAGTTAATTTTACGAAATATAGGACCTTTAATTACAAAATGTTCTCTTATCCATCTGACAAGCTGATAAACTCTTGTATCTTGATCAAACCTTCTCCAGACGTCACAGCCCAAGCATCAGACAGCAGTACTGAAACACTAAATGACATAGATTGTAAAAGGAGATGTCTGTTCCTCCTGTCTCTGTTTTCGATGTGATTTTGGCTCATTTGCGTCATGAGGCCTTGAGGAAACAGATGTGACAGTGCAGCACTATAAATATTTTACAAACTTGATCTACTTCTTGTAATTACTCGGTCTAGGCTTTTCCATTTGAAGTGTTTGGATAGAGAGGAAGTAAGATCTCACACAAAGTTGGTGTAGTGAAACTTTTTCACATCTTTTTCTTCTAAGAACAAAGTGCATTGACAGCCTGAGGTTTTAAGGTCAGGTTTAGGTCATTATATGTGCAGTTTTACTTCTAATTTAAGGTTTGGTAGTAGGGAGAGCTGAGGAAAACTATTATGGATAAGCTGGATATCCAACTGGGGGTTTCAAACTGGTGGATTTCACAAATTTTACATTTTTGAAGGTTACCAAACCTAATTATTTTCTTCATAATAACTTGAACAAAAAAACACTATAAAAGCAAATCAAAGCAAAACCATGAAATCATGAAATAGCAGTAAATAATTAAAATAAATAAAAATAAATAAAAGGCACAGAGGACCATACAACTCACACAAAGCCAGAGAATAAAAAAGGTTTTAGAATGGGTGGTCTACGAGTGAGGTAGTGTCATAGACTAGCCCTATTATTTTGCATTATAGAGTGAATATAAGTCTGCAGTATAAACAGCCATTATCACTGCTGTCTCATCGTCTCTATCTGTGCCCAGTCACGTCTCGAATCTGGGGCTGGATCCAAGTCGGGCTGAGCTGTTTTTTTCTTCACTGAAATTAGATCAAACAAATGTACTGTCCGAACTGAGAGCTCCCCCGCTGGTTCTTTGGCAGAGGTGCTCACAAGTGGGTACAGTGGTAGCCAAAGCAGAGGCAGAGACTTTTATTGTTATTACAGAAAAATATTCCTGAAGTTGAGATGAAAAGTAGTCAGAAAAAACACAAGGAAAATTAAACGTGTTATAAAATTTAATTAGTTTTGTAAACTTTTATTTTGAATAATAACAGATGCACAATACACAAATGTAAGACAGAAACATTCACTTTGTAGTGAATTTTTTTGAAGTTTCTTTTTGCAAATATTAATAGTAATATAATATAAAACATATAGTCACCAAAATGTATATTATTGTTCAGATAAAATTGTAAATACTGAAATAGACTTTTAAAAAAACTAAGTTGATACAATACAAATTCTATAAATAATACTCAAGTACAGATTTAAAAAATGTGGCTCATTGTCCACCTCGTATTCTGGTGTAACATTTTGCACTATCAACAATTTGAATTCACTTTTTAATAACAGTGCACGAAAGTTTGCTAATAATAATTGTTTTACTGTCTAAACACTGAAGCTGTTAATTAAAGGTGCATTGTGCAACTTTTCTGGTGGAGGACCTACATACTTGTCTCCATGGAGATATTATTGCTTTGCCTGGAATGTTCTATGACATTAAACAGATCCATCTAGCATTTACTCATTACGGGTGTCTCTATTGCTAAAAAATACAATAATTCCTTCTGTGAATACTCTCCACAGAATTATAATGTAACATAATGCTGTAACCTGTTTGTCTCCTTGGAGATAGATAGGTTTAATCTATATTGTGGATAATAACATCACCATGGAGACAAGGAGATGAGGTATCCTCCACTAGAAATGTTACGAAGTACACCTTTAAAGTACACTCTTTCTGGTTCAGGAAACACATATTTAATTTGGCTGTGCCTTTTCTTTCTCTGCCTTATTTCAGACCAAGTTCGTAACAGCTACCAGCTCTGTAACAACGGCACACTGAGGGTCATGTATGCCAATGGGATGGGCATCAGCTTCCACACGGAGCCTCATATTTTGGCCGGATCCGTCAGTCCCACCATCGGGCGTCGGAATATCACACTGCCCACAGACAACGGGCTTAACTCCATCGAATGGCGCCTGCGGAAAGAGCAGACCAAAGGCAAGGTGACGGTGTTCGGGAGGAAGCTGAGGGTGAGTTTCAACCTTTTATAATGAGGCTCTGATGACTCTACACAAGGTCAAGATTAGCATGTGTGAATATTTATAGTGAGGCGTGCTTGTGATGGAGAGGAGATAGTGAAAATTTGTGTTGGCAAACTATATTTAGTAAAACAAATCAAAAGGGGAAAGGTTTTCAGAGGTTAATGCAGTCACTCTCTAACCAGGTTCTTGGTTTGAATGCTACAGCCTACACTGCATGCTGTAAATGAATTCTATTCCAGTATTTTTTGAATGTGCCATTATTGCGAGTTTCAGAATTTTAAAATTAGGGTTAGGACAAGCTGTGCTATGGAAAGATTTTGTGTAGTTTTTGTAGTTTTTCTTTTTTTTTTCTTTTTTTCTGGCCATCAAAATCTTTATGCAATTCATATGTGCATATGTGTGTGTATTACAGAAATATAATTTATTCTAAATATTTATTCTAAATATTCAATATTCATTCTAATCCTGGTCAAAATGAAAAGCTAATTACTGTATGAAAATAGATCTTTGTTGATGCTCATTAATATGCACTGTCCCTAATAAATAAATTAAATATCATAGAAATAATAATAGTTAATTTATAGTCCCATATCTAGTAAAAGAAATACAAATATAGATCAAATATTATAGCGAAGTGTACAGTATAGTGCTTTCCAGTCTCACACTCATATGTCCTCCTCCACAGGCTCACGGGCGTAACCTCCTCTCCATTGACTTTGACCGTAACACTCGCACAGAGAAGATTTACGATGACCACCGAAAGTTCACGCTGCGCATCATGTACGACGCCCAGGGCCGCCCCGCCATGTGGCTCCCCAGCAGCAGCCTGGCCGTGGTCAATGTGTCCTACTCCAGCACGGGGCATCTGGTGGGTCTGCAGAGGGGCAGTATGAGCGAGAGGACTGAGTTTGACACACAGGGGCGCATCCTCTCTCGCTCCTTTGTGGACGGGAAGATCTGGAGCTACAGTTATCTGGACAAGGTGAGTGGATTCATTAGGCCTGTTATGAAAATTAATGTACCTACTTGCCATGCAATAAATGAGAGGCAAACCATTTTATTGTGGGTTTCAAGCATAGACTGTATAAAGAAGTGGAGTGTGACGTCACCCATACTGTTCAGCTCCAGTAAAATGTAGCTCACCGAGGCTAGCAGCGGACAAAATATCAAAATAAAAACACCAGGATCATGTAGATCAGGTTATGAACATTTTAAGACCTGAGTCGATGGAGCCGGCAGCGTGCCCATTCTCACTTCCTATTTTGAACGCGGTGGCTAGTGGGTTAGCTTTGCAGTTAGCTTTGCAGTATAGCATTAATGAATGTTGCATTTATTTCAGTATGGGTGTTTTAATTGCTCAAAAATAACGTGAAAAATATGTATTGTTATGTGATCCCCCCAGAGATCTGATCTGTAACTTGGCCTGGTGGTGCCATCTGCTTGGAGAAGTTTAATGCCATACTGTGGAATGTTTCAGGCAAAGCAATAACATCTCCATTGAGACAAGCAGGTGGCGGACCCTCAACCAAAACAGTTACATAGTTCACTTTTAAAGTCTTCTGTTGTGCTTTTTATTATGTTTTTGTTTTGTTTTTTATCCTGCTGTTGAGTTATTGTCAGTTGTATAAAGTGGTCTTCAAATTATAGTTTATCACAATATTTTCTCACACTAACAGATTTTATTTTTTTTTATCCAGACAAGCCTAATCTGGCTCTAAATCCTCTTAATCAGGGCACAGGAGAGGAAGGAGTAATAATTTGGACTGTTGTTATTGTTAATCCAATAATACATTTTTAATGGAAATTCAAATTCGCCAGCTCAGAGCAAATGACCTCTGGTGCAGGTCTAATGGAAAGAAGTCATCCGTTGATTATGCTGTAATTCTTTATTAATTTGGTAACACTATTTAAATAGAAGGACTGGCAGAGCAGAAACTTTTTAGTACCTGCCCTATATCCCACTGGCAAAGAATGGTGGGGTGCCCAAATTTGGCATTGAATTAAGATTCATTATTTTTAATTATAATGATTAATTTATTCAGTTGTGGTAGTAGCTTAGTCACTAACTCAACCCCAATGCCCACAATGTCCTTTGAAAAGATTGTAAAGCATTATGAACAAAGTGTCGATTCTAATGCATTACCACAATTATTCAAATTGTAATAGTGATAATGCAGTGATCATGAAGACCCAACATTGTAGCATTATTACAATAAAACAGTACTTCTTTTGACTTAAAAACTTACCGACAGTGACAGTTTTTACAGTTTTTACAGTTAACAATTTTCTGGTGAATGGTCCGCCACCAGCTTGTCTCCTTGGAAATTTGATAGAATTCCTACAATGTTCCACAGTATGGCATTGAAAGTTATGTATCCCTGTGGAGACAAGCAGGTGACATCACATGGCTAAGTTACAGGTCAGAAGCAAGCCTGTTTATAATAAGAAAATATGTTTTTCAAGGTACTTTTGAACAATGAAAACACCTCTAATGGAAGGTAGACTAGGTAAATAAATTTAATGTCATATTGTGGAACATTTCAAGCAAAGTAATAATATAGGTGGCGTACCCTCCGAAAGTTACATACTGCACCTTTAATAATGTAGATATAACTTTATTGTTTATATAGAACAATGTATCTCAACTTCACAAATATTAACTCATATAACTTTGTCATTAACACCTCTCTGTCCCCTTTCTGTTACAGTCTATGGTGCTGCTGCTCCAGAGCCAGCGTCAGTATATATTTGAGTTTGATTCCTCGGGTCGGGTCACAGCTGTCACCATGCCCAGCGTCGCCCGCCATACCATGTTCACCCACGTCTCCGTTGGTTACATCCGCAACACCTACAACCCCCCAGAAAGCAACGCCTCCATCATCCACGACTTCTGCGAGGACGGAAGACCCCAAGCCGTGCAGTACCTGGGCACCGGGAGAAGAGTCCTGTACAAATACGGAAAACTGGCAAAGCTGTCTGAAATAGTCTACGATAGCACTGTAGTGACTTTTGGCTATGATGAAACAGCTGGTGTACTCAAGATGGTTAATCTGCAAAGTGGGGGATTCTCCTGTACCATACGCTATCGGAAAATGGGGCCTCTAATAGACAAGCAGATCTACAGGTTCAGCGAGGAGGGGATGGTGAACGCGAGGTTCGACTACACGTACCATGACAACAGTTTCCGCATCGCGAGCATGAAGCCAGTCATAAGTGAGACGCCTCTGCCTGTGGACCTCTACAGATATGATGAAATCTCCGGCAAGGTATGAGAATAATATAATTTTTCAAATGCAAATTTTTAAGACAAGAAGACACAGAGAAATTGGAAAAAAAAAATTAAGTAAAAGATACAATATTTTGGGCTTCGGTCTACTGTAGCAGCAGATTCATGTATCCTATCAATCAGACATTTATATCATTGTGGGGTTTTTATTCTCAGAAGTCCATTGGCATAATTGTGGCATACTCTGAACCAGAAGAGTTAATTAAAAATGTGACCACAAAATCTGAACCTTCAAAATACTGTTTAATTTTTTGTTAGTACATTGTTAGATTAAACTGCACCAGTATTTACTTGTAGCATCTTGTCTTAAGTTTTAAACACATGAAAATATTATTATTTTCAATTCAGACTTTTCAATTTTTTGTGTTTCTACTCACAGGTGGAGCACTTTGGTAAATTTGGCGTGATCTACTATGACATCAACCAGATCATCACCACGGCTGTCATGACGCTGAGTAAACATTTCGACACCCATGGGCGCATCAAGGAGGTGCAGTACGAGATATTCCGCTCACTCATGTACTGGATGACGGTGCAGTATGACAGCATGGGGCGGGTGGTCAAGAGAGAGCTGAAGATCGGACCCTACGCCAACACAACTCAGTACAGATACGACTACGATGGAGACGGACAGCTCAGCGGGGTCAAGGTGAGAATTCTGAGTTCCAATGATGGTCAGCCAACAGCTATACTTATCCAAATGGGCAATATTACTTTTCACAGTTGCTAAACATAGATTGTGACAGATTGCAAAGCAATCTTAGACAAACAGGCACTAAAGCAAAACCAGTATGTCCATACTCTGTGGTGGCAAGCTCCTATTGTAGCCACAGCTGACCTGAGACAGACTGGTAGAAGCAAGGCTGCCAATCTGTGCCATCGGCCCGTTCAACCACCACCAGTCATTCACACACACACGTGCGCGCACTACTGTCATGCTAGGCAATGCGGGCTTAAGGACACAATGACAGAACTTGGTCGGAGCAGAACTCGATCCTCAGACCTTTGTAGCCACTGTTGCACCATCTGCGTAATATTGTGTAATATTATCTTGTTTTTCATACACAATTTCTGGTTCTAGAGGGTGTTTAAATGTACAACGCGTGCCATGTGCTGGTTTGTTTGTCTAAGGTTGTGACATCAATTGTAAAATGGGCTATTCAATTTGCAGCTCTGTGGCCTTGTCAACAATAACCATAAAATCCCTCACAGCCACATGCAAAATCAAACCGGCATAGTTAGTAGACATAATAGCATATACGCAAGAGGAGCATAAAATGAATGAAATCACTGTATTTGCGGGATAAGTATCTAATAGCATATCAGAAACTAACTAACAAATATATTTTTTATTCATTATACAAAATATTCAGACAATGATTGAGCAAATTGAACATGTAGGCTTTCTTGCAGTATCACAATTTCAGTATTTTATGTGATTAAAGATCCTAAATTAAATCTCTCCATGACCCACTTCCATGTCTAGACTTCTCATTTGGGAACACAAAATTTGTATTAGAATGAAAAAAATGATTTAAAACCAGCCCAAAATAGAGCCTTAAAGGTGCACTGTGTAACTTTTGGTGGAGGGTCTATCAAATGCTTCTCTCTGTAGAGATGTTATTTCTTTGTCTGGAATGTTTGACAGTATGGTACTAAACCTTCCCATCTTCATGGAAACCAAACCAGACCAAATTACAGGTCAGATCCATGGAGAGGCAACTACCTGTAATTGAATAAATGTAAAGTAAATCTCTTTTAATGTCATACTGTGGAACATTCCAAGCAGAGCAATGACATATCCATAGAAATAAGCAGGTGACAGATCAAAAAGTTACACACTGCACCTTTAAATGACTCACTTACTAACATTTTCATATATATTTGTATTTTTTCTTATAGGTGAATGACTGGTCAACATGGCGCTACAGCTACGACCTGAATGGGAACCTCCACTTGCTCAACCCTGGAAACACCGCTCGGATCTTGCCTCTTCGCTACGACCTCCGCGATCGCATCACACGCTTGGGGGACGTGCAGTACAAACTGGACGAGGACGGTTACCTGAGCCAGCGGGGGTCCGATGTTTTCGACTATAACTCTAAAGGCCAGCTGCTGAGGGCCTATAACAGGGGGCCAGGAGGGTGGAGTGTGGTGTACCACTATGATGGACTGGGGCGCAGGGTGTCCACCCGAAACAGCATGGGACAGCACCTGCAGTTCTTCTATGCCGATCTGAACCATCCCACCAGAGTCACCCACATCTTCAACCATTCAAGCTCTGACATTTCATCGCTTTACTATGATCTACAGGTGAGGATTGTTATTTAAAGGGGCGGTACTCTGCAGAATCTTTCTGCCATTTATTCTACCATTTTATATTTATTAATCGTTCCGGGCCCTGTATGAAGGCTCCTTACAGTTAGCAGCAGTACAGTTATTTAACATTTTTCTTTATTAAATAATTCCATAAATCTTGCTCTATATATTTGATGTTTGTTTGTTTTGATGGTTTGTTTTTTCTTACGACTTTCTACATTTTAGATACACACAGAAGACATCAAATATATGAAGCAAGATATATGGAATCATTTAGTAAAGAAAAAAGTTACATTTTTAAATCTTTCTTTTGCTACATAATTCCTTACATCTTAATTATATATTTGATGTCTACTGCATGTATCATAAATAACATATAGGGAAAAAAAACATCAGTCAATAACCAAGCTTTTGACTGGTAGCATATAGTAAGCACTGATTGTAATTCTTGACTATCTTTATTAGTAAAAACAAAACAAAAAAAGTTGTATTACTAAAACTATATTTTTTTTCCACAGGGCCACCTCTTTGCGATGGAAGTGAGCAGTGGAGAGGAGTACTACATTGCTTCAGACAACACTGGCACTCCGCTGGCCGTCTTCAGCAGCAACGGTCAAATGATCAAACAGGTAATCAATAAACCTCAGTGACAGTGTCCCATTGAGTCTAACGCACAATAACAACTGATTCAAAATGAGAAAAAGCCTCCTCCACCTGTCTTCATGCCATAGTGTCCTTTCAGCAGACAGTAAATCCTTATCTGCCCCGAGGAAACAGCTCTGACACGGACCGCAAGTGTGACCTTTAGACTGGGAAAAAGTTTTAGTGAGGGGTGAAGAATGAGGGGAACTAAGGATGCTTCAAGGGGCCCATTTTACTCTGATGCCTTTGTTATAATGTTGCTTCCTCATCAAAAATATACCTGGAGTTGTATTTTCTGTCATTCATACACGTTTAACACGCAAACCCTGCATATCTAGACCGAGTTCTTCTGACAAACTGAGCCAGCCTGTGATGTCATGCGTCAACACAAGAAGTACTCCTGTGTACTCCACCTTCACTAGAATCATTTGGATAATTTCAACCCTGGAATTGCCAATTTCTACTGAACTACATTGTGCACAATTATTACGCAAGTGGGTATTTTGACCATATCATGATTTTTATGCATATTCTCCAACTCCAAACTTTCTTTGAACTCTTATTGGATTTAAGCATATTTGGTGATGTGTATCTGTGCAGTGAGGGAAGGTATGGCCTACAGAAGACCAACACCCTATATCAAGGTGTCATTATTAGGCAGCTTCTTTACTCAGGAAAAATGGGCCAAAAAAGACATTTAATTTACTCTGAAAAGTGAAAAAATGTAAAAAGTCTTTCAGAGGGATGTAGCACTCTTGAAATTGCAAAGATACTGGGACGTGATCACAGACCCATCGTTTGGTTGCATATAGCAAAGAGAAAAAGAGATGCATCTTAAGTGCAAGAGATTTGAGAAGAATCAAACATGAAGCTACCAGGAACCCATTATGCTCCAGTGCTGACATATTTCAGAACTGCAACCAACCTGGAGAGCCCAGAAGTACAACATGTTCGGTACATGGCCAAGGTGAGGAAGACTGAAACCCGACCACCACTGAACAAGAAACGTAAGCTGAAACGTCAAGACCGGGTCAAGAAATATCTGAAGACAGATTTTTGAGAGGTTTTATGGACTGATGAGATGAGAGTGACTCTTGACGGATCAGATGGATGGGCTCGTGCCTGGATCTGTAATGGGCACAGAGCTCCACTTCAACTCAGACGCAAGCAAGGTGGAGGCGGCTTACTGGTAAGGGCTGGTATTATTAAAGATGAGTTTGATGAACCTGTTCAGGCTGAAGATGGACTCAAAATGAACTCCAAAACCTGCTGCCAGTTTTTAGAAGACACTTTCTTTAAGCAATGGTACAGGAAAAATGTTGCGTCTTTCAAGAGGACCATGACTTTTTTATGCAGAACAATGCTCCATCACATGCATCAAAGTACTCCAACGTGTGGCTAGCAAGTAAAGGCCTTAAAGATTCCTGACCTGATAAAAACTTGGGAACTTGTGGGCCCTTCTTATTCTTCATTTACGGTGAAGGAAAACAGTACACCTCTCTGAACAGTGTCTGGGAGGCTGTGGTTGCTGCTGCACAAAAAAGTTGATCGTCAGCAAGTCAAGAAACTGACAGACTCCATGAATGGAAGAATTTTGTCTGTTATTGAGAAGAAGGGTGGCTATATTGGTCACTCATTTTTTTTTTAATTTTATTATTATTATTATGATCATTATTTTGTGTGTGTGTGTGTGTGTGTAAATTTTGAGTTGTTTATTTTCATCTGTCAGAATAGTAAACAAGTGAGAAGGGAAAATTTTACTTTCTTAAATATTCAGGTTTGAGGTTTATTAACACTTTGGATTTACCAAAAGCACTTGTTGAATTATAAAATATATCCTCATAAATACAACTTGGCTATGGACAAATTGTAAAGGTAAAAGGTAGCTATTAATTTGAAAACTTCTACTACATGACATCACAAAATGGAACAGAACATTTTCAGCTTTGGAGACATAGACAGACTAATAATGCAGGATTACTGATATGTGTGAATGAAACAAATATGAATTTAATGAGGTAACACTATTCTGACATGGCTTACATTTCACAAGAGTCAGTTTTGTGTAATATAGGGCCTTTAAAGCCATTCTGTTGAACATTCCAGACAAATCAATAACATAAACAGTTCCCTCTTTTAGAAAAGTTACATAGTTAATGCACATTTAAAGTTACCTGCTGGACATGTTTTTGGTTCAAAACCTTTTCTTAAGAACATACATCTTTTACACAGCTTTGTATGTAAGAAAATTATCTATAAGTCAACCTCTCTGTGTTTTCCTGTCCCAGGTGCAGTACACAGCCTATGGGGAGGTCTACCTGGACTCTAACCCAGAGTTCCAACTGGTGGTGGGCTTCCATGGGGGCCTGTATGACCCCCTGACCAAACTGGTTCACTTCACTCAGAGGGACTACGATGTCCTGGCTGGACGCTGGACCTCTCCGGACTACAGCATCTGGCCCAAGATTGGCAAAGACCCCTCTCCCTTCAACTTGTACATGTTCAAGAACAACAATCCACTCAGCGACATGTTGGATGTCAAGAACTACGTTACAGGTACGGAAAGTAAATAAATAAAACAACTTACCACTGATCCAGCTTTTCAAGTACGGGTACCGATATCAGTACTTTGAGTTTAAGTATCTGCTGATACCCAATATCAACCAATACCATTGTAAGAATGGAAAATGGCACATATTTCCCTAAAATGCATTTAACTCATTGCACAAGAGATCAAACTGTGTTATGTAACTGGTATTTATCCTTCAGATCAGTAATGAACTGCTTTGTACAAATAAAAGTTCAAACATGGAGAGAAGTTCTAGGACAAAATCAACCTCTAAATTGTCTTATTACATCCAATTAAAGGCCCAACCAGGATATCCCTACTTGGAGGCTTCAGTAAAAAAAAAAGCAACATTCCACATATAGGCTAAGATGCACAATTCTATTATCATTTTATGGTTCCTGTCCTGAATGTATTATAAATGTGCATTATTATGTACACAAATATTGAGTGTTGAATTTTTTTCAAACTTTGTACTCAAAACACAAGTTAGATTACATTAATAAAAAAACATATAAATGCATTTGTTGACTGTACCCTGCTCTCCTCACTTACATCACTGCTTATAAATGAAGAACAAATATTATGAATGAGTTAGAGTTTGAATCCTTCGTGAGTGACAGATTTACTTAGAGCAGCTGTGTCCCTTTTCAGTGATATAAATAGCGTTTGGCGTGTGTTTAACTCTCTTTCCCCTCTCTCTGCTGTCTGCCGCTGTAGATGTGAAGAGCTGGCTCGTCATGTTTGGTTTCCAGCTCAGTAACATAATCCCCGGGTTCCCTAGACACACGCTCTACTTCGTGGAGCCACCGTTTGAACTACTGGCAACGCAGCACTGTGAGAACGGACAGGTACGACCCCCAGGATCACCATAGGCATGGCCCATTCAGCTGTACACAAGGAAGCTCATTATAGGAGTTTGACTTCGTGATATGGTTTTGTAACTATACTCAACGTAATTCATCGACATGTCCACATTTATTTTTTTATTTTTTTTTCTGTAAGAGTATTTTATTGGTAATTATCGGTAATATCTTATTGGACTAATATATTTTCCCAGAGTAAATTGCAAACCTCACTCAATATTATAAAATACAACCAAAATACACAAAAATATTTCTGTCTCCAACACAAACTTGACTTCTTTTTTCCAACCCAACTTGCACACAACTTTTCATTTCAGATTTTTTTCTATATTGAGGAATGTTGTGATAAAAAAAAAAAGTATGCTGTTGGAATTATATACAGTTGTCATCTAGTCATTAATATAAAAACACATGCTAACAATTCAAACAATTATCAAATCAGATTTACTCAATATCTGGCGACTCGCTGCTCAAAACCAAATTTAAATGCCAATGATAATGAACTAAATTTATATAGCACCTTTCAAGACACCCAAAGTGCTTTACAATGTATTATTCCTTCACTCCACACTCAGTGGTAGTAAGCTACCATTGATTCCACAGCTGCCCTGCATATCTAGCTTCTGAGATCAGATGAGATTGGGCATTCTCATTGTACATTAAATATCTCTATTGCCTCTTCATATGAAAAATATTACTGTTGGTGACTGTCTAATTCCCTGTTGTCTTCTTGCAGCTCATCACAGGAGTGCAGCAGGCGGCCGAGCGTCACAATCAGGCCTTCATGGCTCTGGAGGGGCGTCTGCTGAACAAGGAGCGGCGTCGGAGAAAAGACAAACCGGGACACTGGTTTGGCACCAGCACCCCCATCGTCGGGAGGGGGGTCATGCTTGCCCTGAAGGAGGACAGGGTGGTAGCTGCTGTGTCCGCCCTGGCCTCAGAGGACAGCAGGAAAATTGCTCTGGTTCTGAACGGTGCTCAGTATCTCGACGGGACCCACTACACCCAGGATGGGAAAGATTGTCATTATTTTGTGAAAGTGGGGTCCGCTGACAGTGACTTGTTGGCTTTGGGGTTGACTAATGGGCGAAAGAGTCTGGAGAGTGGGGTAAACGTGACGGTGAGCGGGCGGTCGAGGAGGGGGGTGACAGTGGAGTTTGCTGTGCCCTCTCTGGTACTGAGCGTGCGGTACGGGTTAGCGGTAGATGTGGTGGATGAAGAGAAGGTGAGACTTTTGGAGCTGGCCCGACAGAGGGCGTTGGCCGGGGCCTGGGCCAAAGAGCAGCAGAGGGCACGAGACGGTAAAGGGGGCAGTCGACTGTGGACGGAGGGCGAGAGGCAGCAACTGCTCACCGCGGGGAAAGTCCAAGGCTATGAGGGGTACTATGTCCTCCCCGTGGAGCAGTACCCCGAACTGGCCGACAGCAGCAACAACATCCAGTTCCTCCGACAGAACGAGATGGGCCGCAGGTAACAGCCCACCTGAATGTGTCCCCCTCCTGTGTCCCAGCCTCCTCAGCCCTGCTCCTCTCCAAATAACCACTGGGGTTTCCTAAGGAACGTTGCAGGGACTTTTCAAGAATGACTTATGAGTAAAAAAAAAAAAAAAACATATTCTTGTTCATTTTACTGCCACAGGCAAAAAATTTAAACTTGAGTCGAGCTGTTCTTTTTGTTTTTCTTCTTTTGAACTACTGAAAAGCACTGAAGAACTTTGAGAACTGTTGCTTAATGAGTACGATTCCCCTTTTTACAAAAGATATTGATATTTTCGCCCATATTTTTTGGGTCCCACTGATCGCAGTCCTGTCCGCTGCAGCTGACACACAGTGAGATTGCACTGCGCTAGCCTCTGCGATGAAGGCTCGTCTCTCATAGACTCTGAAGGGACCAAAATGGAGAACGAGCCACTCCAGAGCGCAGCCCGTTTTAGCCTCACGTCACCATAATGACAAAAACACTGTCAAAAAGTCCCACGTCCCTGTCTCAGGCCTCTCATCACCCCACACGACCAGTCCCACCCAGTGAGCCAGAAGAGAACGGCATCTTTCAACGTGCGGTTTGACGGACTTTGGAGAAATGAACTTTTTAAAAAAACAAAAGTGAAAAAAAGATGACTATATTTGTGGACAGTGGTATCTCTCTCACAGCATCGTTTCTTTTGGAATCGGGGCGCGGAGGAGGAGTCATATTAACTACTTATGTGTCCGATACACTGATTTCAGGATGTTGCGTAAACTGTAGATGCCGTAGTTTTGTACGTTTCAGTCGCGGTAGATTCGTGAGACTTTTCACACAAGGCACTTCTGTACAGAGCGATCACCACTCAACTCACGGTGAACCAGAAAACATGAAAAAGTTAGTATTTATTTGATAATTTCATTTATTTATTTATTCTTAGTACTATATGACAATCATGAATGAGTCACCAGTTATAGTCAAGATTACTGTTTATTTTCTTTTGTAAGATATGTAAGATTTTGTTTTGTATTATTATTAAGTTTTTTTGCTGCCAGGGCAAATAATAGTCACGCTCAAAAAGAATAATTTATGTAACAAAGTGTTTTAAAAAGCGGTTTATACTTTAAATAAAGTCTTTAAAACTGTGAAATGCGTTTTTTCGAGCTATATTTCGATGTACAGTGTATAGGTCTACCTTTATGCAGCACAGTAGAATATTGTTGAGAATATCAACTTTTATATTTCTAAGAGGAAGTGGCTTGTATGTGCAAAATCTTTAGCTGGTCTTACTACTACTAGACTTTTGTGGCACTACTCTCCGTATCTTTACAATATCGAGCCCCCAGTTTGATGTTTTTTTGATTGTTTTTTCGTTTTTTGGAAGCAGCAAAGAGATTTTCGTGTCCTAGAATCCGACAGCAGTAGCAGTAATGGATCCTTCTCACTGTGAAGAGACTCTGTGAGTGCTGGATGTCATAATAATAATAATAATGTACCAAATCAGTATTATCGAAAAAGGGTGATCGCGAAGCATTCACTGAAAACTAGAGACTCTTCTGAGAAAAAACTTATCAATAAAACATCATTGTTTACTTGGGCTGCGTGTGCTTCACTTCATCTTTTCTCTGGGTTTTTTGGAGTTTATTGACGGCTTTTCATCATAAGAACTTTTAGGTTTTGATCACAGCAGCAGGCCTGTATACTGCAGCATAGATCGATAATGTGTTATTATTTGATATGAACAAGATGGAAAGCTACATCAGAGTTTGCTATCACATTTATAAACACGCTATGGTTAAGTTAAAGGTATAATTAATATTTTATATAGATAATTCTTTCATCTGCATTTGACCCATGCGTCAATACAGCTGAGGCAACCTGGATGACTGTGGTGAAGAAATTGGAAGCCTTCTCCAGATCTTGATCCATGTTCAAGAACATTCAAAAGAAACCTTCCCAGACACAGAGAGACACCTCATAAAAAATCCACACACATGTAATCTTATATTATGTCTCGCTGTTTAACTGTTGGCAAGGCACTTCACCCATTATGCCTTTATGAATTTGTGTTCTTGCCAAGGCTGTGTTTCAAGTCAATACAGAGGTGCAAGCACGGAGTTGCAGAGGAGTCCCTGAAGAAAAGGTTTTACTAGCATATAGATAAAAGCACTGTAAAAGACGTATACCTTCTTCAATTACATTTACATTGGTGAGTCCTTAGACAATCTGTTGCCCACCTGTTTTTCAGCAACCAGAGTAAATTTGCTTAAGTACATCAACTCGTAAAACAGTCTGAATTGCTATCTGCTACCTTCAAACCCTATAGATGCTGTTAACTGAAATCAACATGGTTCAGTCCAAGGTAAAGAAAATTGTACCGAGCTCATCTTAACACATTATCAGGTCTAAAATATCATGTTTATATAAGGGCTTTGTATTAATATGAGATTCATCAGTGGTAGCAGGTAAGTCTAATGAGCTCATAAGCAAAATGTGTAGATTCATTTAGAGGTACGGTAAAGAAAAGTACTGACATCTGGTGGCAGAACATTAATGTAAATGATCAAACCCTTAACAAATAGTGAGAGAAAATACTGTAGATCAGAACATATTACATTATTATACATTTTATATGAATATTTAAAATTTGTAAAAGACGTTTTGCTATATAAAAAACTCTTTATACTCTTTAAAGTTATACCCATACCCAGAGTTTTGATTCATCCACATGTTTGAGTAACCATTTATTACTGTCTACATCTCTAGCCCAAAATGCTCTGTTCCACCTTGTGATGTCATGAAGGGGTAGACAAGTTAAAAGCTACCTTTCAACTTTAATTCACTAGCGAGTGGAAATTCCAGGACAGAAACTCTTCAAATGATTCTAGTGAAAATGTATGGAGTTTAAAAACACAGAGGAGCACTTCCTGTATTACCACATGTCATCACAAGGTGGAGTGTTTTCAGTTTGAGAGAAGAGATCAGCTTAGATAAGTACGGTTTGTGTGTTAAAAAGTTACTACATACAGTAATTACAGTCATGTGAAAAATACCATTGTAGGTATTTGGATAGATTATGAATTTCTGTTTATTTGTTATTGTATTTAGTCATTTTCTGTTTCCTTGGTATTAAATTAATCTTTATTCCGCACTCATGGTCAACAGTGGCTTCCGCGTAGGTCTAAAACGAACTGTAAACACTATCCCACACAACCGGTCCCTCTATAAATAGTTAAATAGTTGGCATCAATCTTTAAATCCCCCTCCTGAAATGTCACGTCTACATTATAATACAGTACAGTAAATACACACACCACAAACACAAGATAACGTGGGAATTCAATATTTTAATGCAAGATTTTTACTTAAAAGCAAAAAGGCATTTACATTACATTTGGTTTCTTCAGTTTTCACATTACCTTAGACTAGGTATTAAATATTATTTCCCATTAAATAAAAATAGCATTCATACACATGTAATTATTTTAAGATCACATTGAAATGAAACAAATGACCAACAGTCTACATAAATCAGTGACATCTTTAAAAATGCATTTGATTTCCGTTTGTGATTTCACCTGAACAATCATTGGCAAATATAGCCACTGTGCAAAAGAATAGGTGTTATAACAGTGGTCTGTGGCTCATTACTCGCCAAGGATTCACAGGATTCTGAAAGAGGCGGACTTGGATCAGGTTTAGTCAAGGGGAGCAGGTTGAAAGCAGAGCTAGGGTATTGATACTTTGCAGCTGATGTCATCAACAATCTGGGTTCTAACAGGAGGCACTGCTCCGTCTGTAGCGCTCAAGTTATCTGTGCTTTTTTTTAACACAATCCAACCATAAAGAACTGACTTAGTTGGAACTACAACAGGTGAGACCATCTTGTACTGTTAAAAAAGTCTCTCTCAAATTACATTAAAGTCAGTTTTTCATTCACGTTCAGCTTTTTTGTTCAAATTCTAAAATGAAAACATCCTCAAAATTTTGTATTTTCTTTTTCTTGAGTCTTCTAACAGTCTAAAAACTTATCAGGCTGTGTTTACTAATGTGTGCCTTGTGTCAGCGTGGTAACTGTTGAACATTCCTCCACAGACATAAATGCAGTACCCCTCCAGTGTGATAACACTGCAAAGTATCATAGTATTAGATGGACAGAGGGCCAGGCAGGAGTCATATCTTACAGAGGTAAAATCTTCATAAAGTGCCATAGAGCCTGAGTCTAACGTTACTGTGTGTTTGCATTGATGTGTGTCAATGGCATAGATATAATACAACAGTAAACGCTGTGCTGCTATTAGTAAGTCTACGTGGTGGACATACTGGGCCAGGATTAGACCAGGACTAAACCAGGTCTACATCAAGACTTAACCAGGAACCAAGTATGAATGCAGTCTGATATTGAGAAGCGTCATCCCGGAGGTGTAGAGTTTGAAGGAGTCACAGACTTGCCCCTGGACCAAGTCAGTCAAAGTCAGTCCGCGCTGTAGGCTACTCATCAAACTACTCTGGTGTTTTGGGGAGGACACTTCCCAATAGGATTTGTCAATTATTTATAGATAACCATAAGAGTGAGAGAGGGAGCAGGGCCGTATGATGGTTTAAGGCAAATGAGAGCAGGAGAACAGGAGAACAGGTGGAGGAGAGGGGGTCTGAGGCACAAATATGGGGGTCTTTGGGGTAATGGGGTTCAACTAAGTCAGAGTTATGTCAGCATGTCCCAAAGGCAGCAGCAGCACAGTGCGGTCCAACAAGCTGTCAGACACGTGTCATCGTCCCGCCTGCGATCCTCCACCACGTAGACTGCAAAAAAGAGAGAGAAAAAACGAAACAGGGTAAAATTAAACACAGGAGACAGGAACAAAGTGCGCCTCGGGTTGACAGCTACAGATGAAGGAGAAAGAGAAGGAGGCCAATTTGAAAACGCAATTATAGATTCCCTTTTCTGAAAATGATATGAAAGCGCAGAGGATTGGCTGGATTACACACTCCAGTCTGGAGCAGGGTTCAAGGGGAGCCGTGGCTGCTGTGATTTCGCTCTAATTATGCTCATCTTTGGAGGTATCGCCATGGTAATGTCATGGTAGCGCCAGGCAGGATCAGGCCCATGGTTATCACACAGAGGTTTCATTAAGGCAGGAATAGATGGGGCTAAAATATTGACTTATAATTATTATGCTACACTGAACACTCAAGTGCCTACAAACTAAAGTTGTAAAAAAAAAAAAAGTACACAGAGACAAATCGATACTAAAATTAGTCTCACAAATAGCCAATTTGAAAAGGTATCGATACTAAAGAAAATACTTAATTAATCCCACAAAGAGCAATTTGTTTGAGCAGTAAAAAAGCACATTGTTGTACAACCAAACATTCAAAACACAGTGGAGCAATTCTGAGCAAAGAGGAGCACTGAGGTCAATAAAGCACCCGATAAAAAACACATTACATCTACATAGAAATTATAGTTAGAAGATGAATGGCAGTTGGGGTAAAATAGTTAGTTTTGGAATAGGGAACTTGGCAACAGCCTGAAAAAGGCAGTATTTAAAAATAACATCATTAATATGATAGTCAGGTATGTGCAAGTTTACTTTGTAGTTATTAAAGGTCCTATATTACACAAAATTCACTCGTGTAAGATTTAGGCCATGTTATAATGCTGTTTCTCCCTCAAAAACATACCTCGAGTTGTGTTGTTTTACTAAAATATGTTTGAATAACCCTTTATTATTAGTCTGTCTACATCTCCAAAGCTCAAAATCCTCTGTTCCACCTTGTGATGTAATGAAGTAGTTTTCAAGTTAACAACTACCTTTTACCTTTTGTTTAGCAGAGATTGCCAATTCTAGAGTTGAAATTATCCAAATGATTGTAGTGATGATGTATTAAAAACTATTTAAAAACTGTGTGGAGCATTTCTTTTATTACCACATGACAGTGTTTTCTGTTTGAGAGAATCACTCAGCCTAAATATGCAGGATTTGTGTGTTAAACATATGTGAAAGAAACAAAACACAACTCTAGGTATGGTTTTGAAGAGGAAAGCGGATGACAACAAAGATCAGAAAACATCTTAATATAGGACGTTTAAGATAAACATGAATCAGTTACACTCATTCCTATTTTTTAACCAGGTTTAAACATTACAGATAAGTAAAATAAGCATCCTATTAAATCACATGTGGCAAAGTTTATTTATTGTTATTGCTTTTATTTTGTACGTTTTTACATTTTGAATCTTCTTACTCATTAATGGTACATTTCAAGGCTCTATCTCCCTATCTTATCTTATACATTAGAAAGTTACACAATTCTACCTCCAGTGGGCAGAGTAAATGAACCACCAACACTAAAGCATTGTAACCTTAATATGCAAAGTTACCAGAACCAGTTACATAATTTATAGATATGTTTAGCAGTGCCATCTTTCTCTAACCCTCATTAAAATGCACTACGGTCAAATATAAAAACATCAGTTCTCCACTTCAATAGTCAAATATCTAAATTGCAAAGTCATTGTGTTACTCTATTCTATCAGAAATCGTTGGCTTAAACAAATACATCTGCCCACCATTGTTCTGTGTGTTTAATTATTGATAATAAGAAGTCAAAGGCTGCTCTGGCTGTTACCAGCAGAGACGGGATCACCAGGGCGACAGTGATAGAAAGAGCGTTAACTGCAGTCCGTTAATGCACAATGGGCCTGAGCTGGTTAATGATTGGCTGATATTTGAGTAATGGGTGACTCAGGTGATGGAGATCGGGCTTTTGATCAGTCAAGAGGGTTAACCTGGATAAAGCTGCGGGAACTCAAAACTAAAAGGATTTGTTAACTAGAAAAACAAAAGTATTTTAACGTGCAAGAGAGTTAACTCCAACTGCACTCAGTGGTCAAAGGTTGAGGTCATAGATGCTTTTTATAAACTGTAACATTAGATATGATTTATTGCAGATTGACTTGGCAGGAGACAATATTACATGTTATCTTGAAATCAAAACAACATAAAACATACCCATAAATGTTAGCATCATAAATACACAAAATCAAATGATAAAATACAAAGAACCCGGCCCCAGATAAGCGGACGAAAATGGATGGATGGATGGAAAATACAAAGAAACAATGACTACGTGTAGCTCCTACTACAGAATAAAATCATTGGGTTAATTCATCAAAAAAGCTTATAGTTTTAGGAGGCCACAGTTGTGATTAAAAGGACAGTATCTTCCCATTGTTGATCTAAACAATGATAGTAATTCTATGTTATTAATATAAATGGCTTAAAAAGGTGCACTATGTAACTTTTCTAGTGAAACATAAACCACTTGCTTGTCTCCATGGAGATGTTATTGCTTTGACTGGAATGTTCACAGTATGGCATTAAACATATTTATCTCCATGGAGACAATAAGGTGACACTACCAGGCCAAGTTATAAATTGAGCAATTATAAAACCAGTAATTAAAAAAAAAATCTTCATTTAAGTTTAATGCCATGCAGTGGAACATTTCAGGCAAAGTAAAAACATCACCATGGAGACAAGCAGCTAGCAGCTCCCCAGCATCAGAAAAGCTGATGCAGATTTAATCCCATTACAGTTGAGCCACCTTTGGGTGCAGCCCCGAGCTCCTCTCCTGTTTACTGCATACAAACATACAGAGCTATGAGGTAATAAGGGGTAAGTTCTTTTATATGAACGGTGTCTGTATGGCGTGTTTCTGAGCTGTGGGCGCTGAAGAGAGTGGGGAATGGAAATCAATTAGTATGACAGCTAACAACTCAAAGCTAAAGGTGAAATGAGCTATGGATATTTTCAGTCAGAATCTGTATCTGATATTTGTCTATCTTATGTGATGATACTTTCCGATAAGCAAGGCCAACAAATTGAAGGAAAGTCGTAGTAAAGTCAGAAATTCACTTTTTAATGTGTGTAAACATAATAAGAAAATCATTGTATCTGGTATTACACATTATATATTATGATTGTGTAAACATATTTCCATTGTAACTCACAGGAAATGACACATAAAAAACTGGGGACTTCCTAACGTTGGAACAATACAATATATAAAAACTTTTTAAAAAGTAAAAATAATACAATACAAAGTAAATACATTCTCTGCTATCAGCAATACTAATATTTACACTGATATTCTGTCCACTGCTAATTATGGAAAGTCTTAGGTAACATTATAGTCACTTGTTTTTCCTCTGCCAGTCCTTAATCCTTGACCTTTCAAACTATTACACGTTTCCATTGTTCAAAGTTCAACATTAATGTCTAGAGCCCGACCGATATGGATTTTGTTGTGGCCGATATGAAACGGATATAATGGGAGTTGGAGCTGCCGATAGCCGATATAATCACCGATATATTTAGTGATGTAAAAATTCACTGTAAATCTTGAATTGTTTAAAAAACTTAGGTTTGGCTCTAGTGGATTCTAAATTGGGTTTATTTAGGCAACATTTATTGTTATTCTGACTCTTTATATCATATTTATGTCATATTTACAGACAGTAGATTGGCCTAATGGCATTTTTGCATCACATTCTAGCTACTAGTGATGGGTATTCCAGTTTTTTTTTGGAAAACCGGCTCTTTTGGCTCAGCTCACTAAAGCAGCTGGCTCTTTCGGCTCCCAAGTGACTCTTGAGATTGTTTTGTTGCAAGCAGGACTAAACCAGAACTGAACCAGGACTGAAAAAGGACTAAACCAGGACTAAAACAGATTTAAACCATGTGTGAAACAGGACTAAACCAGAACTTAACCAGGACTGAGTGTCGGACTCGATTTCTATCTCTCTCCCTCATTCGAGCCCAAGATTAGTCCTGGTTTATTTATTTTATACTGAACTGCCGCCAAATATGCACTTTTTTTTATCCTATGCACACGCAGATTTCTGAAAGTTTCGTTTTTAGCCCCTGCTGCTGTCAAACTACGGGTCTACCTGCGGTTTGAAGAGAAAAAGTGAGAAAAAGAGAAAACACGGCTCCCAATAAGAAACATTCCGGATCTAAGAGCCGTTTCGATCGTGATCGACCCATAACTCCTAGCTAGTAAACTATCGCTATTAGCCTTTAGCCGTAAAAACGTGCGCACCGCGGTAATTAATTATATGCATAAATGTGGATCATTCACACGTCTATTCACAGTTCATTTACATATCAATACTGGTCCAGTAACAAATATACGGCCAATACAGTCACTTTACAATAGACCAATAGAAAACAGCCTGTTTATGTGTGAAAGCTACAGCAGCTAACCGCTAACAAAACCTAAACTAGCTTCAAAGTCGATGTATTTCCAACACTCACCGCTCACACAGGCTCCTCCTCACATCACAAGTCTGCACTAATAAATGTCCTTTTAATCCAGACTCAAACCGATTGTCCGTAAAAAGAATATAATCTCAGTGTCGCGCACCGCTGCGGGTGTAAACAAACACACGCGAGTGAAGTGACGTCACTCTGGTGGTGTGTTCAGGGACAGTACGGACACAGACAAATTACACCGCAGATAAATACTGGTGCGGAGCCACATATTAGGACATTTATCTGTCTGTAAATTGGATTAAATGAACATAATGTAGAGAGTCTAAGCTTTATAACGAGGTATAACATGCCCACGTGAAATATCGGCCCATATCAGCGAGCATATCGGCCGATAGCCGATATGTCTCCAGGTGCCCATATTGGCCGATAATATCGGCCGGCCGATATATCGGTCGGGCTCTATTAATGTCATCAATAAAATAAAGAAGCTTCCACAATTATGGTGACCTATTTAAACTTAAGAGTTTCACTATAATACTGATCTTTCCCTTTCAGTCTGTCTGGAGATGTGAATAGTTGAGTAGTGGAGGTCACTCAGTACATGCACTGATTTCTGACTTCTTGTTTTCACCTACAACCAAATATTAGTTTAATACGGCTACAATATAAAAAGCTATATTTTTGTTAATCTGAACAGTTGGTTTTAATTTGTACATTGCAGTTCAGTTGCGTAACTAGAATTTTAACTAGGGTTAAAATAGACTAATATTCAGTCATTTCTAACTGTTTGCTTGATCAGCTTGATTCTTAAAGGTTCTATATTACACAAAATTGACTCTTGTGAGCTTTACGCCATGTTAGAATGTTGTTATATCATCAAAAAACACCTGGAGTTGTGTTTTGTTTCATTAACATATGTGTGAGTAATCCTGCATTACTAATCTGTCTACATCTCCAAAGCTCAAAATGCTCTGTTCCACTTTGTGATGGCATGAAGCCGTAGTATTAAGTTATCCTTTACATTTTATTGAGTAAAAAATCATCCAAATGATTCTAGTGAAGATGCATGACATTTAAAAACACAGTAAACACTGAACACATGACATCACAAGTTGAAATAGAAAATAAGAAAATCTGTGTTTTCAGTTCGAGAGAAGAACTCAGCCCAAAAATACACATTTAATTTGTGTTTGAATAAAATAAAATAAAACACAACTACAGGTAGATTTTTGAAGAAACAACAATATAACATAGATCAGAAACTAGCACAGTGTGGGTCCTTTAATCAAGTGGTTTTCAATCAATCTCCTGTAAATTGTAACTCTGAAAGAAATTTGGCCATTTGTGTGTGTTAAATGGCAATAATTATAATCATTGCCATTATTATATATATATATATTATATATATATATAGTAGTAGTAGTAGTAGTAGTAGTAGTAGTAGTAGTAGTAGTAGTAGTAGTAATAGTAGTAGTAATAGTAGTAGTAGTAAGTAGTAGTAGTAGTAGTAGTAGTAGTAGTAGTAGTAGTAGTAGTAGTAGTAGTAGTAGTAGTCACATTAGAGCAATAGCATTTGCATTGGCATTAGCATTGCCTAGCCCTACTTTGCAGTTATGTTTTTTTGTTTTTTTTATTACAGCCGCAGGATCATCTGGTAATTTCTCCAAAAGAAGTTGAATTTCCATTATTGTAAAAATAACCATGACACTGTGATCAGAAAAATTAAAAATGTGCATATTGTTATCTACAAGATAATCACTTCCTTACTACACATTTTTGGTTGATATTCTGCATGTTAATAATATAATAATAATAAATATATATATATATATTTTTTTTTTCAGGAGACTCAGAGATGCTTTACAAAACAAATACTAAAACAGTCAAAAGAGCAACAGACAAATAATACAGTAAAGAAGAAAAAACAGTGAATCATATATAGAGAAAAAAAATGAAACATTAAAACCTAGCACCCACCTGTGTTTTTGGGAGCCTCCCCATACATTGGTCCTGGTGGTGGTCCCCCTTGCCAGTATTGCGGTTGTCCTGGGTAGGGCTGGTACGGCGGTTGACCAGTGGCTGGGTACCCTTGTGGGGGGAAACCCTGTGGGGGGTATTCCTGTGGTGGGTACCCTTGTGGCGGGTAGCCCTGTGGAGGAGGTGGGCCCTGGGGTGGATATCCTGGAGCGGTGGCGCCACTGTACGGAGGGGGCTGCTCAAAATTCATCTCTGCGGTAAGCGATGACCTAAGACATAAAAATGAACAGGGTTTTATTATAATGTCGAGTAAACACAATTACAAAGTCTATGCAGGCGCCTGTGTATTCATCATTGTCAGTTTGCGAAGGAAAACGCATTTGCCATTTCCTATGTCCACGGTTTAATATCGCTCCACGGCGGATCCAAACAAGAGAAAGTAATAATGCCCCAACTATATCTAACAATACCAGGCTGCAGTTAATCATCATATTTGAACAATAACATTATAGCAAGGAAACATGGAAAGCAAACACCGCTGAAAAATGTGGATCTGTCACCTGTTATTGTAATTAAAAAACGCAATTAGATTTGAATAAGTTATGAGTGCTGGTGGTCTAAGGAGAGTGAGGTTTCTCAAACTGTGGTACAAGGCCCACTAGTGCTACACAAGCTCATTCAGGATGTACGCAGGTTCCTCTACAGTTCTTGTCTTTATCCACTTTTTTGTCCTCATTTGGGTTAGTTAGTTATTTAGTTCTTATAGTCCTGATTTATACGTGGTGGTATTTGGAAAGCCAAATATTTCAATTGGTGTGTGAGAGGTTTCAGTCACTTTACTAAAATAAATAGTTTAGTTTACTACTCAAAAGGAAGCCCTACAATGCAAGTAGATAAATACAAATGCTTCTGTCATTGTGGTACAGCAGCCAATAATCAAAACTGATAACTGATACTAACCCACACCTCTACTTTGAACTACAACGAATGAGACACGTTTGAGTCTGACATCGCTTGCATTTTTGAGGGTTCAGGAGCTGTCAAACCTCGCCTGCATCCTGTTTGTTTGCAGAGTGATGAGTAAAAGAATGAAGGTAGATTTGCATGTGTTTAGAAGTCTGGGATGAAGAGGAGGTGCTTATGTGTTAGGGCTTATAGGGCTCCAGGCTGACGCTCTTGGCTGTGTGTTGGAGTGTATCAAGTGTACACAAAAAACCCTCTGGAGTCGCATTAGAGCAGAAATCCTCTGTGTCTCACCACAACACAACAATGCAGACTGGGCTCAGGGGATGCAACCACTTCTCAGTACAGGCCACAGCAGACACAGGCATCTACTGTGGATGTCTTTCATTGTCTCCTATGTAGGCCTAATATAATAATTTCTATAACAACTTATCGTTCAAATCTGGAACTATATTTTTGGGGCTCAATGTCTGTCATGTGTATGTGTGGGGAATATCTGGTTATTATATATTTTTTTGTATTATTACTACTATTATATGATTTGAGCAGTAGAGCGTAGAGTAAATTATGGATGGATTTATTATAGATGAGATTATAGATACTAAATAAGTACCCGAAGAAAGAAGCCTGTCATGATATAGTGCTACATTGAAATATTGATATAAACGATGATATTGAAACTACTTTAAGCCACTGACACAAAGCAGGATAATCCCAGTAAACCAATTTTTAAACAGAAAGTATCATTAAAACTCTTAGCTGCAACAGATAAATGGCAAAATGAACTGATAATTGGCCACAGCAATTATTTATTCTACCCTCTACAGCCAAAATCTTACTGCATTACATAAAAAATTGCTAGAATCTCCTTACTACTGCAAAGAAAAAGTACCCATAATAAATGTTGAGCCCCAAAATATATTGTTTGAGCATTTATATATTGAACGATAACTGGATAAAGTACATATTGTGAATACATTTATAAACAGGCAGTAGGATAATTTAGCTTTAGAGTTGCCAGTTTCAATGTTTCAATGTTCAATGTTCAATGTTCAATTTATTGTGTTATTGGACAAATGTAGTATTTATTAGCAAAAGATTAAAATTTTCCCTATTGGATCTGCATCGTAATACAAAACCCAGAATTCATGTTTCAGATTATATTTTAAATTTGGACATTTTTCAGTTTGAGAGACAGATTGCTGGTGTTCTATGGATAAAAAATCTAGATCTAATCAATAACAGTGATTTGTTCTATCTTTAATGGATTTTCTGTTATTTCTTAAACAAAATGTAAACAACATAGAAGTCCTCTACACATTTGCAAGTGTTGATCTTGTAAACTTGATACAGTTAGGCAGAAAAATTATAATAATATATAGAGATTTCTTTCAATTTTAATTTTTTTTTCATGTCATAAAGTAACATCTGTCTTGCCCTAGTATATATTTTATGACATCAGATCAGAGACTGTATGCTTTCTGTATGCAATTATAGATCTTAAATTCTTAAATGCTTGTTAACTTTACTGTGATGGTACACTCCGCTCCGGTAAAGTTGTGAAAAGCAGCTCGGAATGCATAAGGTAAATGAGGAATTGGACCATCACAGTTTAAAATCACATTTTTAAGACAGTACACACCTTCCACCAATACACTACAACTGAGCAGGTTCAACATCGCAGTATTTTAATTTTGCGGTTATGAAACTGCCCCCAAAATCTACATAATAATCTGCACACAGCTGCTGCCTTCTGTCCCATTGTGAGTGTGAAATCATCATATTGCACAAAATGAAAAGCGGAGCATGAGTTCGCAACATCAAGCAAAATGACTCAGGTTTCAATCATAGCAGGATCGAGTCTGGAAGTGATAACATAGATTACGTTGGTGTGTTTTTAAACCAGATATCGGGCTGTGTCATGCTACAGGCGAGGCTAAGCAAATGAAGTCATATATTACTAAAACACTTAGAGCAAACTGACTTCTGTGCATGTCTGATATTTAGCAAACATTTTAGCTTTCTACAGGAGGTTTGAAAGCATGTTTGCATGACACGTGGACTCTTAAGGGCATTTGTTTCACACGAGAGGAGCATTCAAAGCAAACAAGCTCTAATGGATTCTGATGTGGTAATTAAACTCCATTAGCTCAGTACAAGAGGATAAGAAGAAAAGGAAGTGAAGGAGAGTGAGGATTTAGGTTTCCACTTTGTGTTCACTATAAACAGACAACAAACTATGAGTACAAACTATGAGACAGAGCAAGGAGAAACTCAAGGGTGTGTGAGATATTATAGGTCCTATTATGTAAAAATTGACTCTTGTAAGCTTTAAGCCATGTTGGAATGTTGTTATCTCATCAAAAACATGTGTTTCATTCACCCATGTTTAAGAAAGCCTTTATTATTAGTGTGTCTACATCTCCAAAGCTCAAAATGCTCTGTTCCAACTTGTGATGTCATGAAGCGGTAGTTTTCATGTTAACAACCACCTTTTACATTTTGTTCAACAGAGATTGGCAATTTCAGGGCTGAAATCATTCAAACAATTCTAGTGAAAGTTTATGGAGTTTAAAAAACACAGTGGAGCACTTCCTGTATTACTACATGACATCACAAGGTGGAACAGTGTTTTCTGTTTGAGAGAAGAACATAGCCTTGTCCTGCATTTGCAGTTTTCATCATCCCCCTGTCTCTGCCTACGGCTGTGTTATTTGTGAATATTAAAAACACATGTGAGTGGGTCATAGGCAGGGTTTATAAATGCTGTGAGGGGGCAGTGTCTATTAGTTTTACAGGTTTGAGCCATAAGCCAGTGGTTTCTGTTATTAAACTCTCAGTCAATCAATATTGCCATTTAAAATGAACACCATTTATATATGTATGTTCTATTATATCATAAAATATTACTCTTTCATTTATTAAAATTATTTTTTACATTAATAGTATTCCTATTAGTTGAGCAAAAATCTGTATGTCCGCACATGAATATGTGCTCACTAATTTGATCATTCCTTCTTTCCTGTATTTTTCTGTGTTTCTGTGTTCTCTTTCATTGTGTTAATTAGAATTGTGGAAAGTAATGGTTTTCATCTTTCTTATTTCATGTATTTATTTGTTATAAATATTTCCAGGTTCACATCACATAAATATGAAGAAAGTCATATTTTTATCACATCTTAGACAATCACGTCCTTATCTTTAACTCGACTGTTTTAGCTCTAAAGGAAAATACACACTCTATTATTTGGTTCAAGGTGTGTGTAGACAATTCACACTGACCCTACTGTTATTGATCAGTTACATAAGGACGCAGGTGTTAGCCTTGGAAAGAAGAAAAAAGGTATTAATTTATTTTAATAATAATGATTCCTTGTACTTGTCATGAGCACTACAGGCCTGCTGAAGCCTCTCAAAGCACTACACTAGAGTTATTATTCATTCTCTCCATATATTCAATCATCTGTGTAGCCTCAGCTGCCCTAGGGCAGACTGACAGACACGAGGGTGCTATTCTGTTGCTCTGTCCCCCACCAATCACCCCATATTTATACCAGGAGATGGAACTTGGAGTTGGGAGTCAGTGCTCTAACCACTGAGCCACTGTTGCCTCAAGCTTAATTCTGTTTTGAACATTATTGTTTTGGGACTAGTGTCCTCAAACTTACTCTGTTGTGTCCGAGGGTCATGTCTGCATGCATAAAACAACACATACACACGTGCTTATGAAGATGCTTTTTGAAGCCATTGCTGAAATTGTTATAAATTGTAAATGCACTCTGCACTGTGACTTCTTGTAACTCCATGTCATCAATTGTTTAGCACATCCATAACCCATCAACCTAAAGAGGCTCTTGTCTGACAGATGGCTGGGTCCCTCGGTATCTATAGTAACCACGGTCCAATGGGAAAACAACAATCCCTGTTGTATTGATTCCACCTAAAGCCTGGGGATGCTGTAATGTAACCCAATTAACACTCACTCCCCTATCTGTACCAGTTCAACTGAGACATTTCAGTCGCACCCTGGTCTTTGCACCCTTCACACCAACTGTGATGGCTAGCATTACTGATAGAGACTGAGTAAGGCTTGTTTCAATGGCCTTTTCAATAGTGAGTAATCCGAGAGCGATAAGGACGGTCAAAGCATCACCTTGAGCTAAGTGTACCAGTGGTTTCGATTACACTTTGAGAAGAACCCGTTCACAAGTCACAGAGAAGTCACAGAGCAGTGCTAGGAAAACTGATTTACATATGGAGTGTGTTACTGTTAGCAGCGGCAGCAGCTAGACCATGTTTTCACATCAGACAGTGGTAGTATCAGGGAGAAACCAGCACAAGAAACAAGTCCCTTAAAACAGTACACTACTATCAACCGTTACTGCAATATTTTGGATGATACCAAAAATGTAGTTAATTAAGATAAGTATTTTTTCTAGTACTTACTACTTTTAGTACACATTACTTGGCTACTACTTCAGTTAAGTGTCCTGTCATGTTATCTTACTAACATATAGTGTGTGATGTCATTCACCATTGACCGATCTTTGTATTGATCTTGGATAAAACTCAAAATTAAATAATGAAGTATTATAAAGATAACTAGATAATTGTGGTCCTTAGAATAAAATACAGATGCTTGTTGTGTGAAATAGAAAAGAGCCATTGTGTGACTATACCCAATTAATAGGGCAAGCAGCTTAGGTGATAGGTCTATACAGAACAAATTGTTCAAATTGTTGCTGGCTGCAGATACATTTACACTCACGCGTTATTGTTATGTTGTTATGAATTGTTATTTGCATTGGAGTTTCCATTACACAAATTTGGTCTGACTTTACTTTGCTGTCTTTGCATAGGCTTGACCTGACTAAACCACAAACAAAAATACACTTAAAACATCAGAGGAAATAGCAGGTGAAAATGGTTACGGAAAAACTGAAGAAGAAAGAGGTAACCCAGGCCACAATTTCTCACCATCTTACTACATCACATAACATTTCCCTCAATAAGATGGGTTACAATTAAGCTTTTTACAGTGCAATAATACTGTAACTGCTATTATGAGCGAGTGAGAATGCTATGTTAAGGTTAGTAAAGTTAGTATTATTATTTGTTAGCCAAATAAGCCGTATTTTGTCATATTACGATTTACTATTTATGATGAAGTAGCACCTGCTTGAAGGCCACAACCCACTCCTCAGTTTTTACCCTGAGTTCACAAACAACATGTAAAATCCGTTAATACAAATTGATCGCACTTACCTTCAATTAGAAATGCAATCCGACGCCTTGCTAATGTTATCAAACGTCGCAAAAATAAATACGCGTGTGTCGTTTTTGGCGTATCACTCTATTCAACCGCTGCGTGCAACTCGATGCTCAGTGAAAACTCAGCAGCCCACACCATCACTGTGACGGGGAGGGACCGCGTCAGGAAACAAAGACTCTGATTGGCTTTCAGAGCTGTCAGTCGTTACTTCAGCCAATAGAGTGTGAGTTTAGGGGGAAATGGGGCGTGAGTGGGAAAATCGTTGACTTCACGATCAGGTGACTTGAGTGTGTGATAAAATAGACCAACATCACTGGGTTAACAATGACGCGACTATTACGAGTGGAAACACTGCCGTACAACAGACAATAGAGTAGTAATTTACAACTGGCCACTAGACAAAGTCATACGGGAATTATTAACTAACCAGGACAGGGTGGCAGATCAATCTTTTTAATTCTTGCATGCATTCTTGCATTATACTAAATTGTCAGTTGCTTATATGGCCAAACTGCCTTCAATATAGTTTGCATGTGACCATTCATAACGCTTATCTGTCTGCGCACCATGCTGCGCACTAACTATTGTCATGCAATACAGCTGTTTGTCCAGCAGATGCCACCCTACTACCAGTCTAGCACCATCTAGTAAGCACTAGAAATTCCTGGAACTGCTTTGTGGACATTTTGTGACTTTAATTAGACCCTCGTGGGTTATATTTGGTTGTTAGGACTGAATGTAAAGAACGCTTGTAGTGCAACTACACCTACTATGAATGCCTCTGAGAATAATAGGCAGTTATACATAGACGTCATGTCTTATAATTCTTGTTGTTTATAATCTAATATAATATGTATCTATCTCTATCTATTTATCTATATCTATCTATCTATCTATCTCTATATATATATCTATATCTCTATATCTATATCTATATATATATATATATATATATAGAGAGAGAGAGAGAGAGAGAGAGAGAGAGAGAGAGAGAGAGAGAGAGAGAGAGAGAGAGAGATAAAATCCTTGTCCTACTAATGTAATTGTAATAGTAGCATTATCATATTATTTTATATATAAAAGAGTGACCATTTACCATTTTATTATAGGGCAAAAATGTAAAATGTTTCACCCATAGGTGGTAGAAAAGCTATGAAACTAAACGTCTCAATAGGAATGTTAGCAGCTCGAAGTCTTAAACTATGACTTTTTAGCATGGTTGTTAAGAGATCACCAGACTTAAAGGTGCACTATGTGACTTATTGGTGGAGGATCTGCTACCTACTTGTTTCTATGGAGCTGTTATTGTTTGTCTAGATGTTCCATGGCAATAAACTAGGCCAGGCTACAGATCAGATCCATGGAGAGGCACCACACTGCGAGTAAGGATGCATGCATCAAGCAATATAAACACAGTAAATTAAATTGAAGATAATGTGTTTAATGCCTTACTGTGGAGCATTAAAGTTAAAGCAATACAGCCTCTGTGGAGACAAGAAAAACACATAGTGCACCTTTAACATCAGTTATATGACTTTGTTGATGGAGATTCTTCCTGTTACTTATTCTGTTATGACAACATTTACTGCTTGACTCAGAGCTCATGTGGACACACCACTGGCCTATATCTAACTCTGTCAATATGTTAACTATTTTATATGACGCCACCTAACCCAAGTAAATAGTTTATAAACACTACTACTTGCAAATGAACAAAGGGAATAGTCGTGCATCCACCCTCAACAGAGCACAAAAAGTTCCTGTACTGTCCCTGTACTGGTGCATATGTGCCTGATATTCAAGAGGTGATGAGATTATGAAACATCATAGCCTATGGTGTGAATGAATATAGTAGTATAACCAGACTGCAGCTTCCACTCGTTTGATTCTTTAGGGGTGCGCTGTGTAACTTTGCTCCCGGGGAGTTGCTACACACTTGTCTCCCTAGAGATGTTATTGCTTTGCCTTGTAAGTCCCTCCCTTACAGAATTAAACATATTTATCTTTTTATCTTGCATCTATTCAATTACATATGTTTTCGAAAGCTAAAAAAGGGTCACCTGTTTAGACCAATTTAATGCCATACTAAAGAACATTCTAGGACCCTCTTTCAGAAAAGTTACATGGTTTTAGAAATAGTGTTAGGAGATTATGCTTAAGGAGTGTAGTGGAAGGACTGGATGAGTGGGTTGAAAATGGTGTCATGTCACTGTGCTGACATATGCACAATGTTTACAACAGCAGGGATATGTAAAGGTCCTATATTAAACCAAATGGATTCTTAAGAACATTTAAGCCATGCTACCTCCTCAAAAACATACCTAGAGCTGTGTTTTGTTTTATACATAGATGTTTGAGTAATCCAAGTTTATTAGTCTCCAAAGCTCAAAACTGTCTGTTTCTCCTTGTAATGTCATGTAGTGGTAGTTTTCAAGTTAACAGCTACCTTTTATTTTTAGTTCAGTCGACAGTAGTAGGCAATTCCAGGGCTGAATGATTCTAGTGAAGGTGTATGTAGTTTAAAAACAGAGGGGAGCACTTCCTGTATTACCATCTGACATCACAAGGTGGAACAGAGTGTGTTAAATGTGTTTGAATGAAACAAAACACAACTCCATGCACGTTTGTGATGAGGAAACAGTATTATAACATAGATTAGAAAATAGCATAATATGGGCCCTTTAAACTGATAAGGGGTGGACTATTTCCACAGATGTAAAGCCTGAGACATTTTATTATAGTTCTATGGCCCAAGGAAGCAGTTATTATTGGCTAATGATAATATAGAAAGGTGTTCGATGGTATATACAAATTATGTAATTAACAGATTAGCAAGGTTTATTACAGGTTAAATCCAGGCTATCGATTTACTGCAGTGCAAGAACAGATTATGGGACATCTAGGGTCAAAGTGTTTAAGGCAAAGAAATGTGTTTTGAGTTTTGGTATTGTATTCACATTTTCTTTAAGCTGCATTTGTTTTCTTTCTATCTTAGTTATTGCAATGGCCTTGTTCACATGCACAGCAAAATCTGATTATAATCTGATTTCTGGACAGGAAGGATATTGAAATGACATGCAAACTGCAGAGACTGATGTGAGCATTAGAGGGATCATGATCAGAAAGAAATCTGGAGATTTTGTTTTTTATATTTCATTTAAATAATCTTATAACTACCAAAATCTCATGTTATTATCATACCAAATTTTGAGGGTGAAACCGCAGTCCATGAATAAATGTATTGTTTTAGACTACTTATTACTGTATGGATATGGATATGGCAATGGCAATGCACAAAGATAGGTTTAAGTTAAGTTTTAGTTTTAAAATTATTTATAGGTGAAGGATTACGATTACACACACAATCAAACATCTCATTATTTACAGATTTCAAGTTGTCCGATTATTCAGATTACATATAAACAGCAAATCTGTTTTGATGATAGTCCCTCAGATTCCACAGTTTTTTTAAGATATTAATTCAAACCTAGAGGTGACGACTTAAGTACTAATTTATTTTAAAGTCTGTTTTATCATACACTCTGTATTCAAAAGCACTGTAACTACGCAAGTCCCTAGACAATATGAAACTTGATTAAGATTATTTTCCTGTAAGACAAACCAAAGTGAATATGAGTATTTTGCTCGTTGTTCCCCTCCCCGCAGTGATGGATGTGACCAGACTGGTCCATGTGTTTGAGGGTCTGTTTACAGTGTCACCCAGGAAATTCAGCCCCCACCACTGCCACTAACTACTGCAGGCACAGAAATAGACTTTGGTCCAACTCCACCCTGCCCCCTGCCTGCCAGACGAAAGGGCGACAGGGGCAAAAAGGGTGCAGGGGGTGGGTAGAGAGGGGTATTTTTTCTTGAGGGAAAGGCCAGTGGGTAGGTCACTGAAGGAGAGGCTGGTCATCTGACTGAATGTTGTTTACAGAGAGAGAAACTTTCCACAATAACATATGTAAATAACAACATAGCACAACATGTTTTCTAGTGCATAGGAAGAGGTATTTCTTTGCTTTACATTATGATTATTAAGGTAACTACTGCCATCATTCATTACTACTACTAATAGCCTAAAAACAGAAGAAAGTATTTGGGAAGAATAACTACAATGATGGCAATTGTGTAAGAAGTACAATACACAATACACAAGTCTAAACGTCTTTAAAAGCCCCCTATGGACAACTGTTGAAAAGTAACACATGAAACAATGCATCTGGTTTATTCCAATGTAATTGCTATGTCCATATTAAATAAATAAAGATAAAATAAATACACTCCTATAAGATCAATATTCAATCATTAATTAGAAGTTAGTTTTTCAGTCAACAGGGAGAAGATATTTTACTTTTTTGTATGTGTTTAATGGCAATAATTAAAGGTTTTTCTTCTTTGTGTTCAGGAACCTATAAGAAAATTATATTCTGGAGAACAATAATGAGTAAAAAAAGAAATATAGGCAGAAAAAGGGGGGGAAAGCTTTAGCATGCATTTTGGTTATGGATCAAGATTAGAAGCCATTTTTATTTTTGATGAGACAAAATAAAAATAGATAATTGTGAGTTCCTTTTGTTACTACTTCCAACTTTGGTACAAGGTGATGAATATTAATAAGCAGTAATCATAATTTACATTCTCACCTTACACCAAAGGCAAAATGGTGTCTTTTACACTTTGAAAATATAATATTGAGCCCAAAGGAACAGACATGAACACATAAATGTTTTGCCTGTAAAACATTACATGACCTTGGGGCAAAGGCAGCCCTTGTGACTGGGTTTTCCATCCCACATGGTCAAGTGATTTTTTTTTTTTTTAATTGACACTTAAAATATCATGGAATTTAAAGGGCCCATATTGCACTATTTTCTGATCTAGGTTATAATGTTGTTTCCTCATCTTAAACATACCTGGAGTTCTGTTTTGTTTCATTAACACATGTTTAACACACAAACCACGCATAATTGGGCTGAGTTGTTCTCTCAAACAGAAAACACTCTGTCCCACCTTGTGGTGTCATGTGGTGATAAAGGAAGTGCTTCACTGTGTTTTTTAAACTCCATATATCTTTGCTAGAATAATTTGGATCATTTCAACCCTGGATTTGCCAGCCTCTACTGAACAAAAGGTAAAAGGTAGCTGTTAACTTGAAAACTATCATTATGTGACATCATAAGGTGGAGCAGAGCATTTTGAGCCGTGGCGATGAAGACAGACTAATAGGACTAAAGGATTAATTTAACATGTGTGAATGAAATAAAACACAACTCCAAGTATGTTTTTGAGGAGTTAACAACATTATAACATGGCTTAAAGCTCAAAGTCAACTTTGCACAATATGAGGCTTTTAAACATTTACATTTTATTGCACATGTTCCTTCTTTACTTTAAGTAATGGACATGCTTCAAACCTGCACATAGGAGCACAAGTGCCAGCCTGCTTTGGATTTCCTGACCCATTTAACAGCCATTTGTTATCTTAAAACTGTGTCAGTCATAAGTGTGTCAGAAGAAGCCCCGCTACAAAAGACTCAACTCTCAAAGAACACAGGGCTGGGAGCTATGGCATGTACAGGCCTACAGTGTACACACAGGAGAGGCTGCAGCAGACTCAGTGAACTGTTGAGAGGGATCACACCTCAAGAAATCTACAACATCAATCTAGAATCTAGAAGAAACTATATTCTAGAAAACAATAATGGCTAAAAAAAATGTAAAAATAAATAAATAAATAGGCAGAAAAGAGAAAAATAGCTTTAGCATGCATTTTGATTGTGGATCAATTCATTATTAAGTTAAGTATTAAGTAATAGTGTTCTATGTTGTTTTAAAGGTGCACTACACAACTTTTCAGGGTGGGGGTCAGTTACCATGGAGATGGTATTGCTTTACTTGTAATATGGTAGTAAACTTATATAAGTTGAATTTATTCAATTATGGTGCTTTTATTGCACAAAAGTGCTTTTAAAAACATGCACTTGTTTCTATGGAGATTGATAAGTTTATTGCCATACTTTGGAACACTGCAGGCAAAACAATAATGTCTTTGTGGAAACATAACGCACCTTTAACCCAATTTTAATCACTACCTGAATGTCTGAACAGAATATCAAATGTAATAATAATAATAATAATAATAATAATAATAATAATAATAATATGTTTTATTGTTGTATATATGCATGAAATAATGGGGTGGGGAGGTTGCTGTTTTTTAATATTGTAATTTTTTTTCTGTTGCATGTGAAGCACTTTGTGCTACATTTCAAATGTATGAAAAGTGCTATACAAATAAAGTTTGATTGATTGATTGATTGATATAATCACTTGCACATGTATTATGTATTTGATGGTAACCAAGTGTATTTAAAGTAACAGCATTTAAAAGACCTTAGTGCACCCAAAAAACAAATATTAAATCAAAGTCAGAATAACCTCTTCCTCCTCATCAAAGTGTGAGTCTGAGCCAGTTTAAATATGACGCGTCAGATTCTGCTCACTGATCGATACTGACTCAGAAACAGGCACGTGACTCCTCGGGCACATCACTCCTCAGGAAACCCACAACAGTACCCAGTGCGTTCACCTGCCAGTGTTTTCTCATGTGAACTGGCCCTGTTTGAACAGGTCATCTATGTCAGCCTCCATGGTATCAGCAGCATGTTTTACTCAGAAATGTGTCAATACACTGTTCAAATAGGCCTATGCTGATAATATGTGCAGGGATGTTGGCCAAAAGGTATAAGATGTACTAAACAGTGTGAGAGTCTACAAATAACAGCCCAGTACTTTCAATATAGAGTGATTATAATTGAAAACTGTTAAAGGTGCGCTGTGTAACATTGCTGGTAGAGGGCCCGCCACTTGCCATGTAATGTTATTATTTGCCTGGAATGCTCCACAGTATGACATTAAGCTTATCTATCTCCATGCAGGCAAACATGCGATGCCAGCAAGCCAAGTTATAGGTCAAATCTGAGGATTTTCAAGTTTTTAAAAGTGTTTGGGAGAAAAAAAAAATCATCTGTAATTGACAGATAAATTTAATGCCATACTGTGGAACATTCCAAAGCAAAACAATTTTTAAGAAGGCAAGCAGATGGTGGACTCTCCATCTGAAAGTTACACAATGAACTTTTAAGTTACCTATATGTTCAGCTTTTGATTAATAAAACTGAACTAGAGCAATTAGTTAAATTTTACTTATAACATTGTTGGTTTATTCATTTCACAATTACACATTTACACTATCTGATAGTGCTCCATTGAAATGACAGCTAAATATATAGATCAAATTGTGTCTGTTACAACTATAAGGCACGTTCAGACTTGTCCTGGGTTGGTCCTGGTTTGGGCCCAGTTTGAGTCCTTATTTGGTTTAGTCCTGTTATAGTCTTGGTTTAGATCCAGGTTCAGTCCCATGCAGTTTAGTCAACTTAATGTGGTCATTGTACAAGTGTGAAGTGAACGCACCCTAAAGACAATTGTGATTTTTGATATTAGAAAATGACTTTATTATTTTTGGTGTAAGAGAGTAACTAATTAAAACATATTAAAAATTATCTTACCTCTGGAATTTTGTAGATAAAGCATAACAAGACACCATGTTCTTCACACAATACAAATACCTTACAGTTACCTTACATGCATAATCATTCCCACTCAGGTGTATGGGCCCTGAACAGCTGAGCTGACTGACCTATATCACACTCAACACATTTTGACCTGCTTAAAACTCCCATAATCCCACACGGCAGACATGCTTTTCTGTACGAGGTTTCACAATACAGGTTTAAGTTGTCAGTAAAGAGAAACTATAAGCCCAAGTAATGCACAAAGCTTTATAAATTTACTATGCATGAGTGGGGTAAGCTATTGGATTCAAGTGGAGCAGGTGTCAAGCCCAACCCACATAGTTTAAACTGGCGAAGTGTCTGGCCTCAAGCAGCAGCTGTCCTCCTTTCTCATCACATTGGCCTGTCTGGATTGAGCTCAGTATGGGCCACAGAATATAGTGTTTAAATTGTTAAATTAAGTTACATAAATTGTCAAAAATTTGAATATAATCTCCTTTAATTTTACTATTTGTTCTTACATGATTTCTGATATCAAGACCCCTCTAAAACTCACCAGGAAAGATCCAACAACCATTTTTTTTGTGTTGATACCTCATTTAGAATAGTTTTGATGCTGGTTTAGTATCAATAGTATCTGGATCCCCTCTTTTTACAACTCTAATATGAACTATATACTTAAATTTACCAAAAAATACTAGTATATTCAGTAACGTTAATGAAAGAAGTGCCACAATAATCCAGGCACATCTATGGAAAGTGTGTTTACACATTGTGCATACATAGTACATACTTGTTAGGTCCAAAACTGCCACTTTCTTTACTACTAATTTTATCAGAGGCAGAAGCAATGTGAAGAATGTGTGTGGTTGGTAATAGGTCCAATCAAATCAGACTTCATAGCTCCATATAACTCAGGAATAGGAATAGGAACAGGAATAGCTAAAAGTATGCCGTTTTGTGTTGTGTTTTTTACAAACTTAACTGAGCATAATGTAATGAAATATTATGATACATCATGTACAGCTATAAGCTTAATATTTTGAATCAAGTCTATGAGCCTGTTCCTGCCTGTATCAGCTTCGTCTCCTGTGCCAACTGAGTATGCCAGTGTCTCTATGTTCTCTTAATGCACAAAACACACCTTAGATGCTTATGCAACTAATTTACAGCACTGAGTCTCTGTGGCCACATGCCTTTCTGTTACACAAGGTGCTAGAAGCAAAGATGATAAAGCTCCTGATAGAAATGAAGCCAATGTGCAAGCTATTTCATGAATACAGTATATCAGCTAAAAGGCAAATTACCTCATTATCACTACAGACAAACATCACAACATGACACAGTCAATGGCTGAATAATCTTTATTTGAAATTATTCACATCCAACAAAACAAACCATTGACAACAGCAGAGCTGGTTTTCTGCTGACCCTGAACCCCAAACAGCCAGAGACTGTTACCTTCCACAGCGAGCATTCCCTCTGAGGGAAATCAAACTAAACATGCCTTGCATTCTAATGCAATTTCCCCCACATCCCAACTTAAAAAACAGGTTATAACAATTTCACTATTTACAAAAGATAAAAAAAAATAAATCAAAATGGATTTTTCCCAAATCCTGCAACACTGAAGTAAGTGAGCAACCAATCAACTTAGTTAATGCAATTTATTTGCTAAATACACCTTAGGGTCCAAAACACCCCAAGTTTTATAAATTTGGTTCCTCACAAAGCTTTTTATTAAAAAAGTGAAAAAGCTTTACATGTAATGCATAATGGTCAAAATGACCAAGGAGGTGTTTGTGTGACTCTCCACAGGAGGTAATACTGAAGCTCAGATGTCCATCTCGAACTGGCTGTCATCTGAAAAGAACAGAGATAGGAGAGACAGTTAGACACTCCCTCTCAATGTTCAGACAGAGGAACAACGTGAGGGCATTCTCTAACTGTAACATGTTTACCAAGTTCAGCCAGTAAAGCATGGCTGTCACCAGTCAGCATGTGACTATGAGCCTATTGTTGTCACTACGGCCTATTCAACACCTGCCTCACTGATCTAGAGGTCCAGGGTGATGGAAGACTTTAAAACTAATATTTCTCTACAATGACCACGAGTAACTTAAGCCAATGGACACATATGAGAGCCTTTTGGAAGCTTTGAGTTTTAGTTCAGGTTTGTCAATCTACTTTGAATCTAAACTACAGTGATTTCTGCCCCACAGCGCTCAGCCACAGTGCAGAGAAAGAGTAAACCAACATATGGAGTAAGCGCACATGTCCTGAACTCCACACTGAACAACTGCTGCTGCAGTCGTATGTCAGCAGATCAGAGTAGCCCTCTGCACCTGCTGCATTAGCACAAGCTGAACAAAAGGGACGCAAATACACGGGGGCACCATCAGGTCACAAAAATCACGTGTGCTTGTACATATAAACCACCAATAATAACTGATTTAGGTTAAATGTTTTTTGATGCAACCTAAGGTACTAGACATAAATATTACTAGGCCTTTTGATACTTCTATGAGTGCAAAAAAATCTATAAAATTATTATTAAAATGCTTTGTGGTGTGGTTGGATGGGTCATCATATATATTTTTTTTTTTTTTTTTTTTTTGACATTTGCTAAACTGAAACAGCCTAATATTGACCTGCAATCTCTTTTTCTTCCTCGTCTTCTTCTTTGAGCTCCTGCAGTTTGCCCAGAGGGTGTGTGGCTGGTACCGTGACCCCCGGGATCTGGGGCAGACAGCACGGAGGGGTCCGGGCGATGGGTGAATTTCTACAGTCCAACAGAAACTTCCTGTCGTAGATGATACGGGTACCTGAAGAGTTAAAAATGCATATATTTAGTGGGCTGACAAATGGACTATATTACAAGCCGTGTCAAAATACATAAGAGTTGATTTTGTTTTTACAATTTGCTTGACATTTGAATGACTTGACTTTTTTTTTAAGAATAGGCTGAAAAACTATGGACTGCGGAGTTAGACTGCTCCTCAATTCGGTTTATAATAATCCTGAAACCTCAACTGACAATAATTTCCTGCAGGTTTTTGGCAATACTTTTTGACGCAAATAAGTCTGCCCACTCTAATTACAACTAGAGCCCGACAGATATATCGGCTGGCTGATATTACTGGCCGATATGGGCACCTGGATACATATTGGCTATCGGCCGATATGCTTGCTGATATGGGCCGATATTTCACGTGGGCATGTTATACCTCGTTATAAATCTTAGACTCTCTATATTATGTTCATTTAATCCAATTTACAGACAGATAAATGTCCTAATATGTGGCTCCGCATCAGTATTTATCTGCGGTGTAATTTGTCTGTGTCTGTGTCCATACTGTCCCTGAACACACCACAGAGTCACGTCACTTCACTCACGTGCGTTTGTTTACACCCACAGCGGTGCGCAACACTGAGATTATATTCTTTTTACGGACAATCGGTTTGAGTCTGGATTAAAAGGACTTTTATTAGTGCAGACTTGTGATGTGAGGAGGAGCCTGTGTGAGCGGTGACTGTTGGAAATACATCGACTTTGAAGCTAGTTTTGGCTATTTGTTATTAGCGATTAGCTGCTGTAGCTCCCGCACATAAACAGGCTGTTTTCTATTGGCCTATTGTAAAGTAACTATATTGGCCGTATATTTGTTACTGGACCAGTATTGATATGTAAATGAACTGTGAATAGACGTGTGAATGATCCACATTTATGCATATAATTAATTACCGCGGTGCGCACGTTTTTACGGCTAAAGGCTAATAGCGGTAGTTTCTTTACTAGCTAGGAGTTATGGGTCGGTCGCGATCGAAGCGGCTCTTTGCAGCGAACAACGGGAGCCTGCTTCTTATTGGGAGCCGTGTTTTCTCTTTTTCTCACTTTTTCTCTTCAAGCCGCTTGTAGACCCGTAGTTTGACAGCAGCAGCGGTTGAAAACGAAACTTTCAGAAATCTGCGTGTGCATAGGATAATTTTTTTTTTTTTTTAAAGCGCATATTTGGCTGCAGTTCAGCATAAAATGAATAAACCAGGACTAATCTTGGGCTCAAGTGAGGGAGAGACCGAGTCCCGACACTCAGTCCTGGTTCAGTTCTGGTTTAGTCCTGTTTTACACATGGTTTAAATCTGTTTTAGTCCTGGTTTAGTCCTTTTTCAGTCCTGGTTCAGTTTTGGTTTAGTCCTGCTTGCAACAAAACAATCCCAAGAGTCGCTTGGGAGCCGAAAGAGTCAGCTGCTTTGGTGAGCCAAACCAAAAGAGCCGGTTCTCCAAAAAAAAAAAAAAACTGGAATACCCATCACTAGCAGCTAGAATGTGATGCAAAAATGCCATTAGGCCAATCTACTGTATGTAAATATGAAGTAAAGAGTCAGAAGAACAATAAATGTTGCCTAAATAAACCCAATTTAGAATCCACTAGAGCCAAACCTAAGTTTTTTAAACAATTCAAGATTTACTGTGAATTTTTACATCACTAAATATATCGGCGATTATATCGGCTATCGGCAGCTTCAACTCCCATTATACCGGTTTCATATCGGCCACAACAAAATCCATATCGGTCGGGCTCTAATTACAACAGATGAAGTAAAAACCCTTTTGTCTCTGATCTCAGCATGGTTCCTTTTCCTAGGGAGTCTAGTGTATTTACAGTCTATGGCACAAGAACGTCTATGGGCTGGGGTGAAGAGAGGAGGGAGGTGGTGCTGCAAAGACTTCTTGGAAATCAGAGGACAGAGCAATCCCTTTTTGAATGCTAGCAGCAGATTGAAGCCACATGTTTGGGTTCTTCGAAAGCAGGGCTACTGTAACGTAGATCTAAACAGTTTCGCAATAATATCTATTACTGAATTTAATTCTCAAATGTTTAACGTGTCTAGAGGCATGAATATATGAGAGAAACTGATATAAGCAGGTAAACTAACCTAACAAATGTTCTGATTTGCTAATTGCAGCCAGTGACTAGTCAAGTTGCAGTTTTCATTTCAGTGTAATAAATCTTGTACATCCACAAGTTAATAGCACATTTTAGGTTATCATAAATTACTCTAATTTTAGCATAATTTCTGTAATCTTTAAAGAACATGTGCTTGAGCCTGCTATATAGTTATGAACTATGATCTATAAGACCAGTGGATTACTATGTTAAAATGTACACATTTTAATCTAAATATACATTTAACTTAATCTGACTTCCGTGTTAGAAAACTGTGGTGCCCAATAGGAGCAGACGTTGCAATGAACATCACCACAACAAAGAGTCAGCAACTCCAATAGATAGCTACACATCATGTTAGCAAGCTGTGGATTTTTTTTTTCATGTGTACCAAAGCAACTACATGCTGCTGAATCCTACGCATCAACGATAAAGAAAATAAAGCAGATTTAGTACAGAATAGTGGGAGTGTGCTGGTGGCGATGAAAATGGGGACTGATCTGTAAAATGGTGTGTTGAAGCTAACTATACGCGATTATTAAAGATTACTCAAACATGGATGAATCACTCCAAATACAACTCTGAGAGGGTAAATGAGAAGGGGAAACAACTAACATCGTTCTGAAACATCAATTTTGCATAACAGGTCCACTTTAAAGCAGCAGCTGCCTTTGTTGTTATATTATACGTCCAAAGCCTATAATCATTTGGAATAACCACATCAAATATCAGCTCTGTGCTACTTGTCATTAACTGAACCCAGCCTCATAAACACTGCTGTGATAACACAGGACATCGCCGCTGTAGGGAGCGGTTTGCCCCACTTCTTAAAGGTGAAGTTTGAACCGTGTTGCCAAATGAAAAACACGTTATGTAATGTCCCAGAGCAGCGTATCCTGGACAAAGGGGTGTGAGCGAGGGAGGAGACAGGGGGGAAGTGGGGCATGGAAAGGGGGCTGGAATGCAAGTGTAAGCTGCTTCAGAAGGTGTCAAGCCTGTAAAGTATGTACAACCTATTCATGGGGTTCAGTTTACTGTTATTAGGGGCCATTTTGAGGACTTCTGACTTTTCAAAAAGGTATCCAGATACATGTTGCCAATGCAATAATTCTTTATTTCATGATTATTGCAAATGCATTTACTTAGATTTAACACATTTTCTTCCATTTCCATTTTTATCATTACTCATTCTTATACATTCTAAACTATTCATAGTTTCAGTTTACCATTTTGAGGTCTTTTTAAAGGAATCCCAATAGTCCCAATCTTCTATTTGAAACCTAGGATTGCAAACGCATTGACTTACTTACTTTAACACACATTTTATATCATCATTTATTCTCATATATTTGCTCTTTGTTATAATAGTTGTTTTATATTGTATTTTGAGCTACTGTGTCATTCCCCTTGTCACTTAATAAAGTTGAAGTTGAAGTCTGAATCTGATGCAACCCTGTTTACAAATCCAATTTTGCCTCATCAGCAAATTTGTGCAAAACACTTCCTTACTTCCCTATGTTCTGTAAGTGTCAGTCCATAACTCGTACATAATGTTCTGCCCAGTTCTGAACTCAGCAAAAAGCTCTGCCATTATTGGACAGTTTACGTCTGCCTGAGTCCTCCACCGACCAATCAGATTACAGTAGGGGCAGGTTGCCTCATCCGCTCTCAGCAAAACTCATGTCACGAGATCACACTTTTGTTGTTGATAAATTAAAGGGTTATTGCATCATATGTGTCCAGGAAGTTATGATGCGTTTGATGTTGGTACATTCTTTAATCATAGGCCATTTGTTGAATATACTTACATAAGCCATTGTGTTATGAAAGATAAATGCAATGTAATAACATATTGCATCATGTGGTCCAGTAAGTTTAGATGCTTTTAACTTAGGTCTATATTGTTTCATAAGCCACTTGGTCATGAAAAATAAAGGCAATGTACACACCTATTTAGCCTTTTTTTTAGATAATCTAAAGCTGCATATTGTTAGTTTAACAAAAGTTGAGAGGGCTGCACAATTATAGAAGAAAATTGCATTGTATTTTTTCTGAGTGATATTCTGAGCACTGTGATTGTGATTAGATAAGAGTTTAAAACTGTAAAAATAGGATTCTGTTGAGAGTGCACATTGTAATCAACTCAAGGGGTATTAAGATTTGAGAGAAGTCTGAAATAAGAACCGAAACCAATTCAAGAATGCAACACATTTCAGAACCTGCATGTAGAGGTGGACTAAAAACAGAAACGTTAATGGTTTTGTTTTTTTCAACAAAAGAACATACTGCTTACAGTGGATATTCTATTATGCAAATTACTGTCTTTGCTTTTGTGAATTGTTAGACCGATTTTATTACAATACACTGTGCAGCCTAACTTTGCAGACAGGCTCCCAAATGTTGTTGACAACATGAGGCCTGCAGCAAACAACTATGTGCATTAGATTTTGAGTTTGCAAGACATGCATTCAATTAAGCCAATCAGTGCAGACTTTTAGCATATTTGGTATACTGGTATTTCATTGGGAAGGTAAATTGAATAACTATGGAAACTGTTAAAAAGCAATAAAGTCCAGAGTACAACTTTTTTTTGAAACTGTTGTTGTCAGAAGTTAAAGGCTACCCTGATGTTGAAAAGTAGTCTAGTCCTCTATATTTACAAACCCTGGGGATTTCCATTTGAAGTTTTTGACAGTAGGTTTATAATTTGCAGCTACAGGCAGTTGCCATTTAGCATAATCACATCAATTAAAACCGTGCATGTTGTCTGGTGAGATTTCCAGCTCTCTTACCTCCAGGCGTGGTGGAGAAGAGTGTCCCCCCGGGTGTCTGGCTGTAGCAGTCGGGCAGCTGGGACCAGTCTTTGAGGGTGAGCACTCGGGTCGGGATGGGGACGCTCTTCACTTGGTTCCCGGCTGAGGACATGGCGGTGGTCGGGTAAAGCTGTGCAGCACGAACAAGCACGAAGCACGAGGAGGAGATGTGGGGAAATGGTGGTCTTCCTTTTCCAAACTGGGTCTATCTATGGATGGCTGGTCAGATGGGGATTAGCGCAAAGACTAATGACTTATGACACGCTAACTACCGTGAACTGTTTTATAACTTCGTCTTAAGATGAGCGCCAGATCTTGGGTCGAGTGCAGCTACGGGCTCGCCACCATGTGCTGCAGTTTTTGTAGCAGCTCGCGATGTTTTTGTGCCTTGGTGAGAGACACGTGGGGCAGCAGAGAGGAGTGCAGCCGGTGTGATAGTTTTGTTCCAATGGGGCTTCTGCACGGGCGGTGTTTAAATCTGAGTCACCTCCTCCACCTGAAAACTCATTTAGCAGAGGCTTAAGCTAAACAAAACGAGCGCAACTACCGAGCTGTTTTAATATTGCTGCAACAACGCCCCCTGCAGGCTTCAGAACAATCGGCATCTTGCACGTTTCGCACGCGCATTTAGAGTTCAGCGATTACTGATTTTATTATTATTATTATTATTATTATTATTATTATTATTATTATTATTATTATTATTATTATTATTTGGGTTATTTAAATGAGTGTTCGTTACATCAAGGACATTCTGTGATTTTAAAATGTGAATGTCTTGAATGACAGCATATTTATACTTTACAAGCCATAGAGGACACGTTCAGGGAAATGGGTCTGTAATTTTTTGTATTTGTAAATTCTATTCAAAGAGTCTAGGGTATAAATTAGTAGTAATCATTAATAAAAATGATAAGGATTTCATTTACTAATGTGCATTTTTTTTTAATGAAAATTACACAGCTATGGATGTACACGTTTTTTATTCCATAGATGATTTACATATACGTAAATTAACCATAAAGACAGAAGGGACAATACAGGACTGCAACAAAAATAAATTATTACAGGATGTACACAACTCGGCTCAAACGATCTGTGTGTCTGGGTGTTCTGTGCTGCCACCATTTGGAAAATTTAAGCTACTACCCATTGCAGGTGTAAGGCGCTAACATGGACATTAGCCAATTCTGAACTGTAAAGCGCTTTGGGTATCTTGAAAGGCGCTATATAAATGCAATCAATCAATCAATCAATCAATCAATCAGTTCTACTTTATTGTAAATAATTAATAATAATAAACATACTCACCTTGTTGTGTAAGAGTTTTTATTGATCAATTAAATAAGTAGGGCATTAGGGAGATAGATTTGCTTAAATAGCCTACATTTCCACACTAAAGTCCCCCACCTCAAATTATGATACAAATCTAATCTAATTGTACCCTGACAAAATATGAGTGTACTGTGACTGAAGGACATCATATTGGCTAGAATTCAGAAATACATTTTTCAGATGGTTTCAGATAATAACATTCAGTAGACTAGAGGCCTATTAGCAGAGATGGCAGACGACATTACTGTTAATATGCTGAATGTTGTGAGTTGTGTATTAAAAACAAAACAAAAAACTCCACCGTGATTCAGACCACATGCAGGGACATACAGAGTACTTTTGGTAACTGCTAGTCTTAGTTATGTATTAACAAAGGGGAAAAAATCTATGCCTAAACACTCTTACAGGAGCACTATAACTTTTCTGGTAAAAGGTTCATCACCTTGTCTCCATAGAGATGCTTTAGAATCTTTAGAATGTTTCACAGTATGCCATTATCTACAGTCCCTGACAAAAGTCTTGTCGCTTATCCATTTTGTAGAAACAAAAGCTTATAACCTGACTTTAAATTAATCGATTGGTTTTAGAAATGTCTCATATGAAAGCTAAAACCCTCCCAAATTATGCTCAATATACTAAAATAAATTTGCTTCACTGAAAAAAGATTGATCATTTAATGAACACAGAAAGGTCAGATTTTTTTGCAAGACAAAAGTCTTGTCACCTTGTTATATGATGCACCCAATCCTAGATTACAGCCTCACCTGTGGTCAGTTACTGATCAATCAGTTAGTGGGTGTGTATAAAAAGACCCCCAGCACACCAGACCTTCACATCAGCTGCAACTTGACCTCTGACAACATGCCTAAGATCCACCCTGAGACCAAAGCATTAATTATCAAGAGGCTGAAGACCAGATCCACTGCTGAGGTGGCTGACACCTTCAATGTGTCTCAGCGTCAAGTACAAAGAATAAGAAAAAGATCTGAAATGACTGGAGATGTTTTTGACAAGCCCAGGTCCAGCAGACCCCGCGAGACAACTGCTCGGGAGGACCGTTTGTTGATTCGAAAATCCACGGCCAGCCCCTTTTCCACTGCAGCAGACTCCACCAGGCCTGGTCACCTCAAGTCCCTGTGTCAACCTGAACAGTTTGTAGAATTCTGTCTCGAAATGGCCTCCATGGTCGAATCAGTGCACAGAAACCAGCACTAAACAAAAGGCAATTAAAAAAACGTGTGGCATTTGCCAAGGCCCACAACCTGCTAAAAGGATGGACACTGGAAAAGTGGCAGAAGGTGGATTTCTCAGATGAATCCTCGATTGAATTACATCACAGCTGCCACAAATATTGCAGGAGACCTACTGGAGCCTACTGGAGCCTACATGGATCCAAGATTCACCCAGAAAACAGTTAAGTTTGGTGGCGGAAAAATCATGGCCTGGGGTTACATCCAGTATGGGGGTGTGCGAGACATTTGCAGGGTGGAAGGCAATATCAATAACCTAAAATATCAAGACATATTAGCTACCTCTTACATTCCCAACCATAAAAGGGGTAAAATTTGCAGCAGGATGGTGCTCCATCGCATAATTCTATCTCGACATCAAAGTTTCTCAAGGTGAAGAAGATCAAGGTGCTCCAGGACTGGCCAGCCCAGTCACCAGACATGAACATCATTGAGCATGTCTGGGGTAGAATGAAAGAGGAAGCATGGAAGGCAAAACCAAAGAATCTTGATGAACTCTGGGAGGCATGTAAGACGCTTTCTTTGCTATTCCTGATGACTTCATCAACAAATTGTATGAATCATTGTTGAACCGCATGGATGCAGTCCTTGAAGCTCATGGAAATCATACAAGATATTAAATATGGATCTCACAGCACCACTACTTAATTCACTGACGTTATGCAACATATTTTTGTATTTGAAGTAAATTATTTGTTCAATTTTCTGTAGGCGACAAAATGTTTGTCTTGCCAAAATCTGACCTTTCTGTGTTCATTAAATGATCAATCTTTTTTCAGTGAAGCAAATTTATTTTAGTTTATTGAGCATAATTTGGGAGGGTTTTAGCTTTCATATGAGACATTTCTAAAACCAATCGATTAATTTAAAGTCAAGTTATAAGCTTTTGTTTCTACAAAATGGATAAGCGACAAGACTTTTGTCAGGGACTGTATATCTATGGAGACAAACAAGGAATGCGACAGGCAAGTTACAGGTTGTTATTGATTTATTTATTGTAATAAAACACCTGTACCTTACTGTTTTAAGTTTAATGTCATAATATGGAAAATTGTAGGCAAAGCAATAAATCCATGGGGGAAGGGCTGTCAAGCAGTAAAGTCCTTTAAAGAAGCTTAAAAGGCCCACAGTTTATAAACAAGAATGGGCTAAATATAGGTCTACAACATGCACAAACAAACACTGGGACCTATGACTAATACGGTAGGCTTGTTTTTTGTATTTTATATTACGTGTCAAAATTATTTCTAAATTACTTTGGCTTTATTTTAGTCCAGCATACTAATGAGTAACTAATGATTTCATTATTTTCTTTTCTTCCCTTTATATGGGCTGGCTTTTACTCTTTCGGGAAAAACCTGCCCTCCTCAAGTCCTTGAGCCAGCCTGACCTCATAGCTCACTGGACCGTTGCAGGTGTCACTGATGTGCAATTAAGGTTTTTTAGTTTCTAGGTTTTTAGGCTAAAAAAATCTAACCCATGAGTACTTATTCGTGTTACGTTTTAGTATGCCTCTGGCTCTGCGTGATGCTTCTGTTGATTGTATAATGCGATGTACTCACAGGCCTGTTTGTTGTTAGAAGAAATAAAAGACATGACAGACGTAAGCAGACGTAAGGGAAAATAGGGCAGATCCGGCGCGGATTCTGATTGGCCTAGAAATATGGAATCAGATGACGTGATAGTTCCGGGTTCGCTGTATTCAGCGGCGGAGGGGCGGAGGTTACTGTCGGTCATTCTCAGCGCCGCCGACACTGGGGCACACTGACCGGGATTTCTGCGCTCAAGCCAAGGTAGGAAAGCCTGCTGTGTAGGTGCCAGTTAAGGCTGGGTATCACTTACTAGAGGCCGCGGTAAGCACATTATTATTAACTTGAGATGTTTGTTGACGTGAGCGCCCGGTGTTGTCTCGCGTCCTTTAACGGCAGATGTGGACATGTTGCCGCTCGGTGATGCCATCATGAGCATGTGTGTGCGCTGGGGCTTTTGTCATATAGCGCCATTCGTTGTGAGGAACGCGCCATAAAATCTTATATGTGAGAATAAAAACGATTCGCTTCAATAAACATATATACATAATATAAATATAAATTAACCATTTAATGGTACATAGCGATATTGCGTTATAGCTAGCGAATTAGAACGATGTTTAGTTTCACAACAAAACTTCCATCAGATCAGACTCGACTTGCTGCAATTCCGCAATTAGATTTAATCATTCAATTCAACGTGAATAGTCGCTATGTAATTAATGTAGTCCATGATAAATCCTTTTAAAATCTGGATGATTTTGACAGGTGACGCAGCCGAGTGTGATTCACAATTATGAATCATTTTGTACCGGATGCCTTTTATGCAAGATCTTTACGTTACTTGTACTTGTCCAGTACGTGTATTTCGATAGGAGTATGTGTCACATTTCTTGCAACATCAAAGTAAGTGGTCGTAACAATCTCACGTGATTGCTACTGACTGCATCATTCTTCAGTCACTTGATTAGCGCACAGACATGTCTCTGTGTACCTTTGCTGATTTGAAATGGTTTTATCACAAGGGTGTAATTAGGTAAAATGGTGGAAAATCGGGAACAGGGTAGTGCTTGATTCAATCACCATTATTTTAGATTCACGTCATTGTGAGGGAGGATGTTGGTGGGTTCAGTTTGACCTAGAGTGGCCTTTTAGCCGGCCGCACTGTGGGGTGAGCTCCAGTGTTGTCATTGGTTGACAGAGTCGAGATCCTCTTCTCTTGCAGGGCTGTGGCCATTGGCTGATGGACAGTCTCACCATAGGACACAGTTTTGTTGACATTGCTCTGTTAATCCTTGAAGAGATCCACATAACATCTTTGTCAATTTATTGTTTAAGAACAAACTGTTTTGGCAGAGGATCTTTAGTTAAAAAAACGGTAAGTCCAATCTAAAATGTAAAAAACATGGCAGAATTTCACAGTACTCCAAATGTGATACTGGTGTTAATTGTTTTTAGAAATTTTCTGGCTCAGCTATTTTTGCACAGAAACCAAACTAGTCTTACTCACTTCCTCATGTACTTTTGTTTTCATTCCATGCTTGTATCACTCCATGCATTTTTTTTCTGTGTTTTGTGTGATTTTAGGTGTACCATCCGAACGGCTGTGGAGCAGTTTTCCTTTTTCGTCACAGATTCTAAAGTTGATGACTCAGAGGGGGCGTTTCCTGTTTGTCATAAAGTTTCCCAATTTGCACACTCTCTCCAAACACCTCAAAGACCTTCAAGACTTAAACCCCACCTCGCACTACTTGCCTGAGCTCTCTTCCACACCATCATTAAAATTATGGGTCTCAAGCCAGACTCCGGTTTACAATACTTACTGTTGCTCCCCATCTACCTCATTATTTGGCTTTGGTCAGTCATCTCCTTCTTGCCCTGGTACTACATCACCGGCGCGGGGCAGAAGAAGATCCAATCTTGCCGGACCAAGGCCAAGTCTACCACAGGACTGACAGAGGGTCCCTATCGAAGTGTTGATCATTTTGAGTCCCTGGCCAAAGAGGACTTCGCAGGCAAAGATACACTCGATAAGCTTTTTAACCATGCTGTGGAGAGATTTGGGTCCTCGTTCTGCCTTGGTACCAGAGATGTACTCAGTGAGGAGAATGAAGTGCAACCTAGTGGAAAGGTATTTAAAAAGGTAAGCAAACTCTTTTAATAAAATATTGCTTGCTTTGGCATAATTTGCTTTACATTACCTTTTTGTGAACTATTCAACAATAGAGAATCAGACAGTAACAGACTATAATAATTAAGATACATTGTGACTTTATAGTATGTTGTTTATGAAGTTAATTTCTAAAACCTCATTTTTAACATGGCATAAAGTTAATCTTTTATCCAAAGTTAATGTGTTAACTTAAATGTAGGAAAATGGGAAAAGAAATGAGTTTGACAAGGGATAATTTCAGGTCAGTATTGACCAGAATTGGTTGAAAGAAGAGAACTTAGCAAACCAATGACAGCAGGTCCATACTGTCCCATATAACAGACACCTTTCTGTAGTACAAATCACTGAAGAATATAATGCTGGTTCTGGTTCTTTACAAATGTATTTTATTTGTAGAACTTTGTATGTAAGTTATTATATTGACCCTGTAGCTGCAGCAACTAAAGTATAGTAATTTTGTTTTAATGTGTAATCACACACCTTTTCAAAATTAAGACTAGACTGGAACTAATCTAGGTCTAAACTAGTACCAACTATTATTAACTAGAACCAAACCAGAACCACTTCGAACATGCCAAAATCTTGTAGGTGGAATAGCAGATTTACTGATTCTTATTTATTGATCCACATTACTGATAAACGTGACGGTCTGTATATATCCCATAACATACTTCTCTTGCTTGTAGTTGATCCTTGGAGACTATAAATGGCTTTCCTATAATGAAGTGGACACGATTGCGACTGAGTTCGGCAGTGGACTGGCAGCTCTCGGACAAAAGCCCAAAAGCAGCATTGCCATCTTCTGTGAGACCCGTGCCGAATGGATGATCACCGCCCAGACGTGCTTCAGGCGAAACTTTCCCCGTAAGTTCAATAGAAATACTAAATACATGTCAGTAAAAGCATCACATGTTTTAAGTGACTTAGTTATTTCTGATGCACTGTGAAGAAAATAGAAGGATTTAAGACTAAAGAATACGAACATTGTAACCTGTATTAAAGGTACACAAGGTAGTATTTTGGTGGAGGGAAGGACCCCCTTGAAAAAGACATGATACATCTCAAGAGGCTATCCAAAATAAATACATAAATAAATTGAAATGTAGTTTCTTTTTGGGGATGTTGTTTTGTGTTCCACTATATGCTTTAAATGTAAGAATGCATGTTCTTTGCACTTATTATTAAACCAATAAGAGTGTTAATACTGTCAAACCTTTCAAGCAGTCTGCATCCCCAGTTGAAAAGTTCATAGTGCACGTTTAACATTTTTATATTTGGTGAATACAGAATCAGTAAAACATTCCTGGATGTTCAAAAAGTAGACATACAAATGATTTGTTTAAAAAGCATGTTAACAGGGTAAACCTTGTGTCTTCCTGAAATTTAAACTGTTGACAGAATTTTTACAGAGTTTATACAAAGTTACAGAATTCTTTTAGATCATTTGTTTTAAGGTCAGATAAGATTTACTAAACCTCACATTTGCTTAGTACAGTACAGTAACGGTAAACAAGTGCTTATAATCTTTGTTTTAGTGGTCACTTTCTATGCCACTTTGGGAGAGGATGCCATCGCCTTTGGACTGAATGAGACCGGCGTTACTCATCTCATCACCAGTGTAGAGCTGTTGGAGACTCGACTCAAAGTACGCTCATCAAAACACTGATAACGTGTGTGGGGAACAAAAGTTTGTTTGTTTAGATGCGTGCAGTTATCTATAGTGAGTTCCTTTGAACATTATCAAAAGAGTTATCTTTGCATACACAGTGTCACATTGTGCTCTTGATTTGACATGCAAACATTACTTTGCCCAAAAGTGCAAATGGGCATTATTTTACTACATATTATTAGTGTAGTATAAAAATATATAATACATTTCCCAGTAATGGAAAGAAAATGTGCACATGATAAATATTGACCCCCCCAAAATAATTTTAATGCATTGTCATTTCCTATTCTAAATATAGAGATTTGTGTCACTAAGGTGTTTAGTAAAAATTCCATATGAAATCAATATGCTTTTCACTGAATCACTGAATAAATCAACATATATCAATTCTAATCTGTCAATTTCTTGTTTCAGAATGTCCTCCCTCAAATCCCTAAACTGAAACATGTGATTTACGTCGACCAAAAGAAAATGAACACAGACGGATACCCAGCAGGACTCTCCATTCACAGCATGCAGTCTGTCAGAGATCTGGGAACGCTGCCTGAAAACCGTGTGTATTGTCCTATTTACATGGATTTTCTTTAGAAGTGTGACAACACTGGGAATTGGATAAAGCACGTTTATAAAACAGTGTCTACTTTGTTACAAATAAACAGGCATAATATGCTTTGGATTAATGGACTAAACATAGATTACAATTCCTTTTTTTAAATTCTGATTTCTTTTATGTATTTTTTATAATTTAATTACATTTTACAATAGTGTTATTATAATAGTGTTGCTTGTTGCAAAAAGAAGAGCATCTGACAAACTTACCTATTACCTTTGCAGTGGAGAGGCCCATAGTGAAGCCTCAGCCCTCAGACCTGGCTGTGGTGATGTACACGAGCGGGTCCACGGGGCGCCCCAAAGGAGTCATGATCATTCACAGTAACTTGATCGCTGGGATGACAGGACAGTGCGAGCGCATCCCTGAACTTGGGTGAGTACATGACAAATATATTACACTTATATGACTTTTGTTTAAAATCCATAACACAGGTAAATGATTACCAAATGAACTTCATTTTTGAAAAAGTTACTATTTTTATGGTAAATTACTGCATTATAAACATATGTGATAAATACATTTATTGACAAATTAGTTTTCTTCATTTCAAGGCATGAACCTCATTGTTAAGATTCACACATCTTAAAATAATCAAGCTTTAAAATTTGATACCTGTTTATCCTTAAATACATCACAAAAAGTTATTTTGATGCCTCAACCATAACATTTATGTACCACATAATTGTCTTTGTTTATTGTAATCAGGATAATCCACCAAAAGTGTAAAATCTTTAAGTTTTGTTGATACCCCTACTATATTGCAAATGTCTGGGTTGGATTTAAATGGAAATAAAAATGCCATGTATGGCTCTTGCTAAAGAAATGTACACAGACAATTATTTACACATGATTCTAGTGAAACGTGAACTGAAAATGCTGAGGTGAAAATCGTAGGGCTTGTTTCTAAGTAGTGGTGTGTTTCGACAGGCCTAAAGACACATACATTGCCTATCTGCCCCTGGCTCATGTCCTGGAGATGACTGCTGAAATCTCCTGTGTTACATATGGATGTCGAATCGGATATTCCTCCCCTCAAACTCTGTCAGACCAGGTACAAATAATGGAAAATATTTTGTATCTTACTAATCACACTTACACTCAAGTCACAGTGTTTGATTTAATTTTCTGTTATTGATAAGATAAAGATTACTGGAAATGTTAACAGGCCTATTACAAATCAATCGGGGAAGATGAGCGTAACAAAATTGCTCAATATCATTTGAAAAGAGTAAGACCTAAAATAATCCACCAGTCCAATCAGATCCTGTATATGTGTTAAGGGTTATGCCAGTCAAAGCCTGTACTGTGTCATATTGTTTTAACTTTTATTTCACAATACAGTTCTATCTTATTCAGGAAGTTGCCATGAGTGCTGCAACTACTGTATGTGTGGCTGTTTTTCCAGTTGTGATTTTTGTGGAGGACTGCTGATTTCAACAGCAGATAAATTATATACAGAGTCATTTTGCAGTGTTGACATGCTAGTGCACCTGAACATTGAATAAATAAACCTGTTTCATATGAAATTAATGAAATTCCTACTTAAGAATAGAAGTGTGGGTTGGTGGCAATCAGAAGTAAATAAAGGGCAGGTGAAATCAGTTGAATAATTTCTGGGGGAATAAATAGTAGGTACATTATCAGAAATTATTAGTTTTAAAAGCATTATGTAACTTATAAGGTGGATGGACGGCTACACGCTTGTCTCCATGTATATGTTCTTTCTTTGCATGAGATGTTCCACAGTAAGGTATTAAAACGTATCGGCCTTGTGTTTACTCAATTGCAGATGTTGTACAGCTCAAAAATACTTTGAGAAACATTAATTCTTACCATGTGCAGGCTTGCTTCTCCATAGATAGTTAATGATCAGCATTAAATTGTGTCCATTGTGATTATCAAATTTATTTTCATTGTGGGATAATCAAGGCAAAACAGTAATATCTCCATGGAGACAAGCCGGTGGCAGTCCCTCCACAAGAAAGGTTGAACAGTGCACCTTTAAAGTAAATGTGTTTCAGTCTCAGCAAAGTATCTATTGTTAATGGAATAGAAAAAGCTGGATTGTGCATATTTTTAATAATATTACTAAATTAGCAATCTATACACGAGACTGAAACACATTTACTTTAAAAAGGTGCTAACGGAATAGAAAAAGATGACTATCTATGCCAAATTGCACTGATGTGTGAATATTGAGTACAATTTACTCAAAAAAGTTATGTATGTTAACACACAAACACATGAGGCACAATCATCATAGCATTTGCTAAGCATTTCTCTTCCTGTTTCAGTCGACAAAGATCAAGAAAGGAAGCAAAGGAGACTGCAGTGTCCTCCGGCCCACCCTGATGGCAGCTGTGCCTGTAAGAGCCCCTTTCCCCGTCACATCAAATCTAATCTTCGTTATAGTTTTAATTGAGTTATTCACATGTTGATTAGACATCTGAACTTGAATGAAATTACCTAATCCTATTGACCCTGTTTTCTTTTAGGAAATAATGGACCGTATAAACAAAAATGTTATGAGTAAGGTGCAGGAAATGAGCTACGTTCAGAAGACACTGTTCACACTGGGGTATAAGTACAAGCTGGAGCAGATCAAGAGAGGATATGACGCACCTCTTTGTAATGCGTAAGTGACTGTTCGATAATTGGGGTCACAGTGCACTTATTGATCCATGTAGGAAAGTTAGCACTCTACATTTGAGCCATCTGTCAATGCTGCCAAGGCAACATGTAGAGGGCAGTACACAGCTGTACACAGCTACAAATGTCAATATTGTTTTGCATCTCATATTGAATCACACTGGCAAGATCTATAAAAGTGCTTATTGATTTCAGAAAGGGTTCTATCGAAGGTTTCAGAATGACAAGACATTTGCACCGTTGCCATAGTGATTAACAATCCAAAATAATAGATATTTTTTGAATGGGGGAAAAAGTCCTCCAAACTGTGTATATACGGTAACAAAATGCTGAAACCCATGGATACAAACATCGTTGCATTCTTGCCAAAAATATTGTGCAGCAAACTCATAGGAGTGCCTTGTTTTCTCTAAATGTCTAGGGCCCATTTCATGTATTTTTCTTATAACTATTTCTCTTGTTCTTGTATGCAGTCTGCTATTCCGTAAAGTGAAGAAGCTTTTGGGGGGAGAGGTGCGAATGATGCTGTCTGGAGGTGCCCCTCTGTCTCCTGCCACTCAGAGGTTCATGAACGTGTGCTTCTGTTGCCCTGTGGGACAGGGCTATGGCCTCACCGAGACCTGTGGAGCGGGCACCATCACTGAAGGTAATCGAGAGGTTGAATCAAGTAAAAGTACGGATACTGCAAAGAATGGTCACTTGTTTAGAATGGAATAGTACTGATTGTAAGTTTTTCTGGGAATTTGCATAATACATTTGTTTATTTTCCATTGCTAATACTGCTACACCTACTACTAGTGTACTACAAGTAACACTACTAGGATTAGGACTACCACAGCTAGTATTTCACTTCCATACCAAACCTCTTATTTCCTACAGCTTCTTCCTAAAAAGTCACTGAGTGTGTATTCTGGATATGGTGTTTACATGCGCTCAGAAAAAATAGGATACCGTCTTTTCTGCACTATTAGGCGCTCTGGATTATAAGGCGCACTGTCATAGAATCAAATAACCACAACTGGGATACTCAAGCGCATATATACGCACTCATGAAGCGATTTTTTTTTAAAAAAGTTAAATGCAGTGTAAAAATGTTCTCCAAAATGAATGAAATTATGAAGAAAGCTTGTTTTTTCACTACTTGAATAGTTTTTAAAACAATTTTTATTCTTTTTAATATTTGCTAATAATTTGCTAATATTCATTATGTTCCAGTTGCTGACATCAGCACCGGTCGCGTTGGGGCTCCTCTTATTTGCTGTGAAATCCAGCTCCGGGACTGGGCAGAAGGTGTGGCTTATAAACCCTCTAGAACACACTGTACTATAATACACTCCCACAGGAATGTTGTAATCACAGATCTAGTACAGGTCTAATGCTGTCCCCCTCCCCCCTCCATTTCCCCTTTTAGGAGGCTACACCAGCAATGACAAGCCGAACCCCAGAGGCGAGGTCCTAATCGGGGGCCCCAACGTAACACAAGGTTATTATAGACACGAAAACAATGATGATGACTTCTTTGTGGATGAGAAAGGACAGAGATGGTTCTGCACTGGAGACATTGGAGAGTTTCACCCTGATGGCTGTCTGCAGATAGTAGGTATGTATGATGTGTTGAATCCACTGTGGATGTGTTAAAAGATGCACTGTGTAACTTCCAAAATGGTCTGCTTGTCTCCACGGAGATCTTATTTCTTTGCCTGGAATGTTCCACAGTAGGGCATTAAACATATCTCCTTTGTATTTGTTCAATTGCAGGTGCTGTACGGCTCATAAATACTTAAAAACTTGCATTCTTACCCTGAGCAGGGTTGCTTCTCCATAGCTCTGATCATTAACCTGTCTCCATTGTGATGACCAAGTTTATTTCCATACTGTGAAATAATCAAGATAAAATGTTAATATCTCCATGGAGATGAGCAGGTGGTGGACCCTCCACCAGAAAAGTTACACAGTGCACATTTAAGTCACTTGAAAAATTGGCAAGCATGACGGATTTGAGCAAGCTCGGCAAACTGCTCTAACCAATCTGAATTTCATAAGCTTTTATGTATAACCTGACATACTTCTATTTTCTAGATCGTAAAAAGGACTTGGTGAAGCTCCAGGCGGGAGAGTATGTTTCTCTGGGGAAAGTGGAGTCTGGTCTAAAGAACTGCGCTCTTATAGACAACATTTGTGCGTATGCAAACAGGTGAGACATATGACACAATAATAATTACACAAAGAAATTAAGGCACACCCTTAACACATTAAACACCACACAAAGTCAGAACAAATATGCAAACAAAGAATCCTGAGAAGGGTGTGTGGATCCCACACTAATGATAATAAACATATACTTTCTCACATTAGTTATTTCAAGGACATTCACTTAAAAAAAAATTTTTTTTTTTTTTCACCTATTATTCTTCATAAAATATTAACTGTTTTCTTAAAATGTGCACAGATGGCAATGCAACCATTGATTTTACTGTGTACATAGCCAAGTGAACATATTAATATAATGATAATGAAATAATTACAGTAATTACATAATTACAATTTTGTTGATTGGGGGAAAATATGTGTACATTTTAATTTTACTCTTTCCTGACAGTGACCAGAACTACGTGATAAGCTTTGTGGTGCCAAATCAGAAAAAGCTGATGGAGTTGGCTAAACAAAGAGGAATAACAGGGACCTTTGAAGAAATCTGCACACACCCCGAAATGGAGAGAGAAGTTCTGAAGCAAATCAAGGAAGTCGCTGTTAACAGTAAGTACTTGATTTACCAAATATATGCACATTGCAGATGACATACTCAAAGTATTTTGGCTTTGACTATCAAAATTTGTTGTAATGTCCTCTGCAGTTCAAATTGGCCTTTTTTTCCTCTGCTTGGCTTCAGTTCTTGTTAAGAAATACTTTGGTTTAGTCTTATTTCAGACCTAGTTAAGCCCTGATGTTCACTAGTGATTCTCTGAAAGCGAAATGTTTGTTGTACTTGGTGTTAATGAAGCCTATAAATAATTTTTTAAACATTGTTATATGGTGTCATTTTGAGAGTGGTTAAAAAGATATATTTAGTTTTGAATAGTTAATTGTTATGGCAACAGTCTTAAAGTTCATAATCTGAAATACAATTTTACCTAATTTTGAGTATTCCTTTCCTTTCTAGTCAAACTGCAAAGGTTTGAAATTCCTGTCAAGGTCCATCTTAGTCCAGAACCGTGGACCCCTGAAACTGGTTTAGTCACAGACGCGTTCAAGCTGAAGAGGAAAGAGCTGAAGAACCACTATCTTCACCACATTGAGCGAATGTATGGAGGAAAATGACTCAATGCAATGTCTCCATGACAACCAATACCACTGTAAAAAAAAAAAAAAAAAATCAGTGATATCAAGTTAAAATGCTGTTTGTGTACTGTACATAGACTCCAGAAGTTCAGTGGAGAAGAAATAATAGGATATCATTAGCTGCTTTGTTTGAAATGGGGCTGCATGATATAATTTTTGCTTATGGTTGTGCCATTGAATTCCAGTCACTGCTCACAAATGGTTTCATTCACTGATCAAAACTTGGTCAAAAATCAATGGCTAAACAGGTGTTTATTGAAAAGCTAGAATCACATCTGCTTCCATTAGTAAAATAATTTTTTTTTAAACTAAACAATCTGTTTTAATCTGTAAGGTCTATTAAAGGTGCACTATGTAACTTCTAGTGGAAAGCCTGCCACCAGTGCAATATTTCTTTTGTCTGGTATGTTTTTTGACATTCTGTTATTTTATACCTCCATAGGAACAAGTAGGTAGAGGATCCTCCACCAGAAATGCTATGCAGTGCATCTTTAATAATTATGAATTTTGTGTAAATACCAACATTTTGCAATATATTGTGCAGCCCCACTTTGTACATTGTTATGTTATTGTGTGTAGCATGTATACATAATGGCTTTGAATGTGAAGAGATGCCCAAATCTCTTACTGAAGAGGGATATATTGAGACCATTTCCAGCACTAGACTGCCATACTGCCACATCTGGTGAACTAGGTTTGTAGGTCAATAGAAGTACCCTAGCACTCCTTATGTAGGTCAAGATTATTATTGGTCTTTGTAATTTAAAGCTTTGGTGTTACTTCAATTGAATATTTACAAAATGTAGTTCATGTCAAAGAATGTGTGCAGTGTTTTTTGTAAAATTTCTCAGCGTTACTGTGCCTTCCATCTGCTGTGCTTTGTGTAATAAAGCAGAGTTAAGTGGCAAACTAAGGAAAGGACATTGTTTACATAAATGTTACAAATGTGGCTTAAATGTCTTGCTAATATGAGGTTATTGGAAGAAAAATATTTATTTCAATTGGCATGTTTGTAAAGGAAAATGTCTATTCTACTCTTGTACATTGGTCATTTATATATTTATTGCTGAGTGACACCAAACCGTGTATATGACTCAGGAAGGTTAAGCAAATGTATTTATATGAGGTTGTAAGTTGGTTATGTGTGTAAAAAAAAAAAAAAAACTGCTTCAAACTTATATGTAAATATTATTGCTACAGTAAATTATTTGCTGGTATGTAGGGTCAATCTGTGCACAAAACCTCAGCTGACAGTTGGTCATTTTAAGAAGAAAATCACCAGGAACTTTTGTATTTTTTAAATGTCATGGATGATTTGCTTCTGTCATCTCACAGCTGCTCATTCCTTAAATCACTTGTAATTATTGCTCCATCTACATGCGCTTTGTTCAAGTTTTTTCAAAAAATAAAAGTGTTCTCTTATGTTTTTTTTTATTATATATATTTATATAAAAAAAAAACAATAAAAATGCATACAAAGAACAATTATGGAGAATTGGAATGGAATTGATTTGTTCAATTCAGCTATTCCAGTCCTGAAATCTGAAGCAGTCACTGGCGATCTTCCACACTGGTTGGTCGTTGTTGGGTGAAGCTTGCGCCGTTAAAAGAAAATTCTGGTTGAAATAACGTTGCTTGTTTCCTTCAAACTTGACAAGGCCACACGTTACCACGAGCATTGTAGTCTGGCCTTGTGTCGCTTGTTCTAAAAATATACAAATTTATCATTAAGATCAATCTACTTGTTAGTGTAATCAAACACAGCAACTACCAGGATGTGACTGCAAGAATACTAGTCAGTTTAATTAGAGTGTTGAAAGAAAAGTAAGGAATTGGTTAGTTTATTCATTTCTAATTAGCTCTTAATTTTAATTATTCCAGTCTATGCAACATGAGTAATATCACTGTCAATACATCTAGGTACTGCAACATTAACCATATTTATCACTACAATACTGAAAACAAGTTCAGCTACCCAAAGCTAAAAAAAAAAAAAAAAAAAAATCTAGGAATTTTAAAAGAAAATTATTGTTTTTTGTAGCAGGAGTACTGATATCCAAAAAAAACAGATCAGTACTGTAAGGAATGTAAAGATAGGCATCTAACCATGACAGTCACTAAGAAAAAAAACATTTTGTACAATATATAATAATATACAAACACAAAAACCCAGGGTTAACAAAAGATTCCCTGTCAATCACCGAAAGGTTGCATGAACCAAAATACTGCAAGATGTACTGATGCATAGTTTTTTCAACCAAATCATGGGCCTCTAGATTATAATCTATATTGTAATCTGGATGGACTGTGTGAACCACAATGAATATTTAATTCTGACATAACTAATGAATTTAACTAGACTGGACTAGATGTTTGGATTTGGATCGTCAAAACCCATACCCAACCAAGTCTGAAAAATGTCAGCACTAACCGTGAACTGGCTGGCAATCTGATGTGAGAACTTGAAATTCACTGGAGGGAAGAGACTCAAAAAACTCAGCGAGAGCCTCCTGTCCGGACACTGCGTTTCCATTCCACACCAGAGTGGCTTTGTCCAGGTATAGTCGAGTCAAATTCTGCAACAAGAAATAGTTATTTAAATGAATACAGTACAGACTGTCTTTGTTAATCACAGTGCAGGCGCTGCATTTTTGTCCTGCCCTAACCCGACTCTAGTGAGAGTGGTAGAAATATTAACTGAAATTGTGGACTAATTGAGGTATGGTCAAAGTAAGCCATACACAAAATGAATTTATAGTCTGCCAATAACTAGATGAAACGCACAAAAACTTTGTCTGTGTAATAATCTGGCAACCCACCACCTACAATAATGGCTTTCTCATTTCTTTCATTCAACTTTCATCTTAACTCACCCTTCTCTTCTTGTCCATGCAATCATAGTAAATGTTGACAAATTCCTCAGAATATCGGCACGACTGGTCAACGTGGGTCCTGAAATCCTAAACAGAACACAATATTGTGTTTTTATGAGGCCAAATTTTCATTCAATTCTAGTCAGAAGAAGCTTTAAGCACCGCTCTTACCAGTGTACTCGCCATGACCACCTTAATAGCAGATCAAATATTAAATCCTTCGGTTAGATGACTTCTGCTGGACTTTTGAATTGTTTAACTGTTTATTTTAATGACCAACACTAGCAATGATGCTACAAACCTAAATTCATGCTAAAAGCATGAAGCCATTTTGAAACATATATTACGTCCGCTGGACTAAGATTATACACTTTAAAATAAAACTTAACTTGATTATTTTTTTGACATATTAACAAAATATGTAATTATTTTTAGAGGATTATGTAGTAAATGAAAAGTTATATACCGTTAGAAAGTAATAAGATGAATACTGTGGATCATAAAACAAACAAAGTAATAACATCAGTTTTATTTTGAAGGCTGAGTTTCATCGTTTTCGTCAAAATGCGGAAGTAGAAATCTTCAATTCCTGAGTCATCGCGGTTCAAAATCAGAAGTCTGAACCAAATTACTATTATCATCCAATATTTCTGTCTTAAATTATCTTCTGGGATTAACTTCAATGGAGGGCTCTGTATCAAATGTAGAGATATGCAATTTCGCATACACAGGGCAATTTGACAAATTAAGGCAATGCATTTTGTCAGATAAAAGACTCGCTTCTAAAACGGATCAGGTATGAATGCGTATGCGTGACACAGCAAAATCTATAAACTTGTAAATATTACTGCTATTATACAAATATGCAACTAGCTGCATTAAAATAACCTGGAGGAAAAGCACAACACTAAAATTGTGATGTGTTTAGGACCACAGAACTGCGCTGCATTGGGCTTGCTCCGCTGGTCACACCGCTATTGTTGAGTTTTTGCTAGACATGGGGGCTGATGTCAATCTCCAAGATGATGTAAGTCTTGCGTCTCTCATCCTTTTGTCTGTTCCCTTTCACTAGGATGAACCATATGATCTGCCTAACTACATCTAATCACATCCTCTGAATCATCTTCTCTCATCCTTCTCTCATTACAGAAATCTCACTGGCTCTCTTACTCTAACCTTAGCATCCTTGGGCTATATTTTTACTTACCCTCCCGTTGCACATATTGGATTTATCTGTACTTTGTAAAACAAGATGGACCTTTTAACAAAACCATCCACAAAGAAAACCATGCATTGTGTTTCTCAAAAAACAAACAAAAAAACTGAAAGATATATGTCAATGGATACAAATCACTTTACTGGTACTCTTTGAAAAAATTTATACAGTTGGTTCCCAAAATAGTTCTTATTGCTTTTCACTCTGTACACTTGTGATCCAAAAACAATTTCCTTACAAAGTGAAAAATTTATGAAATAAAGTAAGTTTTTCTATTAGGCTTCATGGACCCCTCTCCACATCGCTGCTTCAGCAGGCAGAGAAGACATAGTGCGCTCTCTGATCTCCAAAGGTGCTCAACTTAACTCTGTCAATCAAAATGGCTGCACGCCTCTTCACTACGCAGCATCAAAAGACAGATACGAGGTACATGATTCATGATTCATGACTGTTAAAATCTTGCATTTTTTTATACATAATAAACACTTCAACTGTTTTTGTAGATAGCTCGGATTTTACTAGAAAACGGAGCAGACCCCAACGCCACAGACAAATTGGACTCTACTCCACTTCACCGAGCAGCTGCCAAAGGAAACTACCGCCTCATCCAGCTGTTGCTCAAACAGAGTGCATCCACCAACATACAGGACTCCCAGGGCAACACACCACTGTAAGTCTCCTTGGCTCTGTCAATGTGGTGTTAATGGAGCACTGTATAACTTTCTAACTACTTGTGTCCATGAAGATGTTATTGCGTAGCCTGCAGTGTTCCACAGTATGCCACAAACATGTGACACTGTTAGGCTATGTTAAATGCCAGATCTGTGAAGAGGTGTCCCTGCTCACATTGAGAATGGTTGAAACTGAATAAATGCTAGGTATATAACTTTAATGCAATACTTTGGAACATTCTGGGCAATAACATCTCTATGGAGACTCTACCCCAGAAAAATGACATAGAGCACATTTAACTATAATAAACATCTTGTTTTCATTAGTCACCTGGCCTGCGATGAGGAGCGTGTGGAGGCGGCCAAACTGCTGGTGGAGCATGGAGCCAGTATTTATATTGAGAACAAAGAGGAGAAGACCCCTGTGCAGATTGCTAAAGGGGCACTGGGGAACATACTGCAGCGGATTGTGGAGGGATGATGCTTTTCTGTGTGCTTGTAAAAGGAGTCACTGTTAACAAGATACTGAGAGAGGATCTTTCTGATACTTAGCAGAGAGGATATACTTTACAATGACAGAGACATAACAATGTGATGTTCGCTCAGAACATGTAACAAGAGATGCCAGATTTTTGAAGATGGTTTTCTGCACTATGCACAGTGTTTACCACAGCCATTCATACTACAGTACATGATGTCTAGATGGCTGTAATATTTAATAAAAAAAAAATCATTCTGCTTATTTTGTTTATTAATTTTCAATCAATACATACAATCAATATGTAGAAGTACAATACAGAGATTAGTGATAATATCTGGATTGTATTTACGTTGCACAACCATTTGTGTTTATTGCCAGGTTACCAAGGCATGACTGTCTGCAAACTGCCAATTTATCACATTTAAGTGGTCACAGTTCTCAAATTTATGGAACCTCCTCTAAAGCTTGAAGCTTTGATGCGACTCTGAATTAGGATTGACTAATAATCAATACTCTGATTAGGAGTGTGCAAAAATATTGAAATATCGATATATCGTATTGTTTAATGTGATGATACGGTATCGATATTGTGGGCAGCTGTATTGATAAGAGTATTTTTTTCTTGGTATATTTTACTAAATTATTTTGTTATAGCGCTACAGTTTTGTTGCTTGGTCAGAGGATGGAAACTCATTTATGCAACACATTTCACATTTTCAGTCTTTTGATTGTTAAAATGGGTGTGTTTCATATTAACTAAATAATAAGTAGTTTAACAAAGATTTTTTTGTATCACAGCCATGTTTTAGCCTTTTTTTTTATTGAACTGTATCAAATCGATTTGATATATATATATATATATCATATTGAATCGCACTGAATCGACAGCTATGTCTATGTCTACTGTATTGAGATATGTATCGTATCATGGCCTATGTTTTGAGGTATGTATCGTATCGGCAACTTCTGAATGATACCTAGTCCTAACTGATAATACTAGATACTAGTTGGGACAGAAAATCTTAGTAAAAACGTTTTACTTCTCTAAGTTTTTACTTAGTTAATTAATTGGAAAAAAAACATAAAAAAGACACAAGTAGCCCTTATAGGCTCAGTATATTTTTTAACTGGATCAGAAGAATTAGTAATGCCACATTGTAAACAATTCTTTAGTATTGGAAACTGCACTGTTTTGTCTTACTATTGTCTTACTAATGATGTGTGTTATCAAATATTAAGTATTAAGCCTTTAGAACTAAATTTGAAATGTGTATTGTAACAACAAACACTCGTACTAAGAGCCAATCAATAGTAAAATTGAAAGGAAACGGTCTAAACTAAAGTAAAAAGTGAAAGTAATGATTAAACACACGTCCAGTTTTGCTATGAGGAACAAATTTCTCCAAATCAAAGTATCCCCTTACGTAAACTATAGCCATGATGTATGGGTGTGTAGTTTCAAATACGTAAAGAGGAAATCCACTGTCACACGCGCAATAGTCATGAGGAATTTCACCTGCCCTTCACCATAGTTGGCTGATAGCACAGCACATGGACCTGTGAACCAAACCTCTTTGTATTGGGACAGGATGCAATGGCATTTAATTTACAACTGTGATTTAATTGTTCTTCTAGGTGATTTATCACAAATGGAATTTTGCCAAAAACAAATTCCTGTATTTTGAACATTTTATTCTGCAGTAGGCAGCAGTTATCTGATATCAACGTAGTCACGTGGTCAGCCTTTTAGTTAGTCAACGATTAGTTCATTGGTTTATTTTAACCTTTGTACACTTTATTGATTTGGTTGGTTTCATTGGCTGAAAACGGTTTCTGCATCTGGCAACCACCACCGCGGACGCATTTAGAGTGGGGCCCTTCCTGGTTACAAGGACAAATTAAGTTCTTTCGATTTTAATGAGGATTTTATTTCGGATTTAACTTTTGAAGGATCCTCCATTTTAACCTACTCGATATTTTTGAAGGTAAGTGTTAGCTGATTGTGTTTACAATTTAGTTTTCTTAACGTTGTCGACAAACAAAGTGAAAGCTAGCTAAGCTAGTAAAAGCCCTGAACAGGCGTTATCTTTCTTGTCCGTATGTCGTATGTCTTCGTGTAGCAACTGGGGAGTGACTCTAGTCTAAAGTCCAGTGTCACTAGTTATAATATTCCGTGGTTATTATGTATTTTATGTCTTTAGGTGCTCTTATAATGCACGTTTGCTTTGTTTTTAGCCCAATGGTAGCTGTCATTTCCCAGCCTCCTCCCTCAGCTGTGGGACCTGGATGTCTGTCTTTTCTGACGCTTAGCGACCCACATTGTCGAACATGCATAATCGTGTTATGTTTTAAGTTTGGTGGTTTCCTTTTTTGATACTAAATTAAAACCCACAGACATAATAACTCCATGATATATAGTTATAATTAGTGAAAGTTCTATGGAATACTGATGTAGACCGACTCGTACATCACAAAAAGTTATTTCTAATATCTTCAAAAAGAACAGTGCATGGCATGACTGTGTACAAGTTTAAACAGATCTTGAGGATGCAGTGTAATGTTCCAGTCACACATATTTACTGAGGAACACCAGTCACGTTACGCCCATGCTACCTAACGACAAAATATTTCACAAGTGAGTGGTGTTATCCATTACTAAATTATTGCGCAGTGTGTTTTATAATATATTCTAATTGTCATATGAAACTGTCTATATGTCACTATGAAACTAGTGTAGGTTTCTCAATGATGTTGTTTGATAAGAAGTGCCTTTTTGTTAATGTTGGGGGTACTTTCCGAGCAAATAGTTTCTCTTTCTCTGGAATAGTAGAAAATGCCCACACACCTTCATGGCCCCGCAGTTTTGTGAGAACTTTTGTGTTGCTTTCTGCTCACATGGAAAACCTTCATGAGCATGTACTGGTGCCTGCCTGCCATAAAGCCACAGTACCCATTTTATTATATCAAATCAAGTTTATTAATAAAACACACTTAGAACAGCCAAAGCTTACCAAAGTGATGAACAACAACAAAACAGAAAAACTCAAATTATTATGCGTTTGGTGATGTAAAAACAGTTGACTACTGCAAGTTAAAATATAATCATAAGAATTTAATGCTAAATGCAATATATACTATCTTGTAGTTGGGACTGTTGTGGCACTGGTTTCCTTATACTTTATTTGAATTTGCTTTTATTTTGAGGGTAAATCTGCCCTCAATAGTTAGCCTATTTCTTAGAGCTTTTTGCATTTTATGACAATGTAAGAATATATATACCCTTATTTTAGCAGCTACATTTGTCCAGCTTTTACATATTTTTATATTTTTTGTTCTGTGTTAATTTTAACATCGGTATCCTACTCACTGTTGTCTTTCTTTTAATTGCCACTGTTGTCTTAGATCCATGTTCAACTTCACTTCATAATGTCTGACCTGGAGACGGACAACGCTGGGTTCATGGATTTTTCTTCGTTTCCATGTCGCCTGCACTCATTTCGTGGGTCCCCTTTGGCAGAGCAGGTGCCTCCAGAGAGGCTGGCTCGTGCTGGGTTCTACTTGATGGGAGACAAAGTTCAGTGCTTCAGCTGCAAGAAGACCCTAGACAACTGGAGCAAGGGAGACCTACCTGTGGTGAGACATAAAGAGGTAAGTCCACAAACATACAGAAATGTAGGTATGTCAGTGGGATTGTTAGTTAATAATGGTGATTATTAAGGTGGCAATATAATTGAAACAAAAAAGGATAATAATTAGAAGCAGGCCTTGGGAGGCATTGATAAGCCTATACTGTGCTCTTCAAGTGAAAAGCTTTATAAAGATTATTTTCAAGGAGGCCAGATTGGCAAATGTCAGAAATCATTTCCTATGATCACCTGTGCTGGTGAGGCATGTCTAGACGGCCGCGAACTGTCAAGGTACACCCTAGTCATCCATCACTGTGGACACACGCAATAAATGTGTCTTTTTAACAATTTATATACTCTAAAATAAACAAATGAAAGATGCAAAATCAATATTGTAATCAGTTGTTAATCACATTTGTTAGCAAGCTATTGTATTTTTTTTTCCACCAATGCCATTTTTTTTGTAAAATCTGAAATATTTGAAACCAATTTTTAATGATAAATTGCCTTATTGCTGCAGATTTCTCCGGGATGTACGTTCATTCGCTGCGTCTACCCTGACAGTTCCCTTCCATCCAATGGAGAGTACAATGAAGAAAAGGAGGACCTTGAGTATCGCTTGAGGACAGGGCAGGTGGTGGATCAGACGACTTACCCAAAAGTGCCCCACATGAGGAGTGAACAGGCCCGGCTCCAGACCTTCACACAGTGGCCCTCCACTTGCCCCGTCAGCCCCCCTGATCTGGCCCAAGCCGGTTTCTTCTATATCATGAGTAATGATCACGTACAGTGCTTCTGCTGCGGTGGTAGGATCGGGGGCTGGGAGCCTGGAGACACCGCATGGGGAGAGCATGAAAGGCATTACCCAAACTGCTTCTTCATTCTGGGGCATGATGTTGGCAACATACCCCTTCAGAGTGGTTCTCAGGAGAGAACAGAAAACAGAAACCACGTCTTTATGGGCACATTTGAGGACAGGCTTAAGAGCTTTCACGGCATCCAGCATGTCATCAGCCACGAGCGTCTGGCCCAGGCTGGCCTTTACAGCACAGGTACGACATGGGCAATGGTGTGAAGACTTATCTTTATAAAGCTGTGAAGTATAACAATTATAAGACAAATATAAATACAGTCTGTGGTTCTCACAGACATTGATGTCACAATAATTGTTACACTACACTACAATTATTGTCAGAAACATCACAACTTTACATTTTGCCATGTCTCCTAATTGTGAATAAATGTAAATTTTACTTTTACCTATTTATAATCTAATGTGATGTTTGTAGTATGTGACCAGCTTCATAAAGTCTAACCTTCTGAATGATAAAATAAAAGGTTAATGTGACATACAGCCAGATAAAAAGTATTTTACCTTAAAGGCACATTGTGCAACTTTTCTGGTGATTTATTTTTCCTTAAAAACAATCCTATATACCTTTTTTATAATCATAACAATCTTGACATCCTTAATTTTACTATATGAAAAAAAGCAATATCTGTTTTTCCCGTGGAGCCTAAAATAAAAGTGTATTGTGACAAAATATATTTAAGTATCTTATGTTTTACATATTTTATCATTTATATTACTAATAAATAAAGCTTTTCTTTTGTCTTTTTTTGAACATTATAACATACTGTGCCTAGTTGTATATTGTACTTTTTAACTAGAATAGTATAGAAATGTTCGTAAAATGTTGAAAAGTGTTTGCAAATGACTGCTTTGGGTGAACGTTGTTAAACCATTAATCTGGAATGTTTTCTTGTAGGCACAGGAGACGATGTGATGTGTTTTTCCTGCAAAGGGGGTCTGAGAGGATGGCAACCTGAAGAAGACCCGTGGGAAGAGCATGCCAAACACTTTCCAGGGTAAAATTAAAATCTATCATATAACTACTGTCTTTACTTTCTATATCAATTTATTATTATTTTTATACAGATGCCGCTTCTTGTTGACAGAAAAGGGTCAAGAATTTATCAACAGCATTCAGTTACAAGGCACAGCTGTGAGTTTAAAATATTAACTCTATGATATTATTTTACTAATATTTGGATAACATATTTTGGGGGAGTTAATATTCTCTCTAACACTTGTTCAGGCAACAAGTCACCAGAATGGATTTTCGAAAAATGACGGTAATTATTCACATTTCTGTGATTACGCCATTAAAATCAATGCAAATGGCAGGGAATTAAACATATTTTGTTAATTTTTACAGAGGATAACCCAACAGAGAGTACCACAGAAGGTAATGGCTTTTTTTTTTTTTTAACATTGAATTCCTACCAAAATGATCCTGTTTATTAAAATATTAGCAATTTATTTGTTAATAATGTTAATGTTTTGATACTTTTACATGTGTACAATTGATACTAGCTTCAGTGTTCTTCAGTGAGAGTAATGGAGTAATGGATAGACTTTCTGAATAAAAATACACATAAAAATATTAAAAGTTTGAAAGCTCTATGTGGTAACTAATGTCCTCAAGATGTTATTTAAAATCTAAAATTTGCCAGTTTGTGTGTTTTTAAATGTGTTTTTGCCCTGAAAACAACCATATTACCATTAGTTACCACATTACTCTGTGTGTGTGTGCGTGCGTGTGTGTTTTGTTCTAATTGCTTTAAGCTCCATAGAGAGAAACTGGGACTTTTTCTGCACCTTATGATGAATTACGGAACAGAAACTCCACACTGAAGTATATCAGTGTGTGGAACTATTTTTCAAATGAAATTGTTTTATCATTTTTGTTTTTAGGCCCAAGTTATAGTGGGAAAAAATGAACTCTTGAGGTAAATCAGAGTACACAAATCCCTTTTGTGCAGTTTTAAATTTTAAAACTCTAGAGCAGATTAAAATCACTAACATGCTATCATAGTGGATTGGATGGGGTTCAAATTCCATTGGACCTGAAAGTAGCTAGAGTGATGACATCACTTAACCCACAAGTGTCAAACATGCGGCCCAGGGGCCAGATCCGGCCCTCCAAAACCTTTAATCTGGCCCTTAGCTGATTTTCTACTAAAATATTTTAATGATATTTTCTATTAAAATCTTGTTAATTTTCTGTGGTGTTTATCACAGCAGCATCTCCAGCGTCTCTGTACGTGGCCCCTCCCACCAGAGTAGCACAAATGAAGACTTGTCTCTTTCCAAATGCTCTTAAAGGACGATCGTTTTGACTGTTGACCGTGACACCCTCATCAGCAAAATGTCCAACATGAGAAAAGTGGAGCTGAGTGCAGGATTTTCCTAGAAAAATTTACTTATTCCTATTTGCATACAAGTTAATGTTAAAACATTGTGTTGAAATTGCTTTTTTTTTTTTTTAAGTTTCAGGTTGTTCATAATATTATAATATTTTGTAAAAGAAAGAGTTCATCAATTAAAAAAAGATTTCTGTAATAGATTTGCGTTTCTCTACACAAATATTTGAACGTATTGTTATTTTTGGGGTTTATATGCCATGAGTTCTCTGATCCGGCCCCTTTGGGATCAAAGTAGGTTGGATATGGCCCTCGGACCAAAATGAGTTTGACACCCCTGACTTAACCATTCCACATAGGGAAAAATTAACATTGGCAGGCTTCCAATTTTGTGAATGGAGTATGACATACTCACCATGTTAACAAGGGCTTAAACTGCACAATAGTTAAGATTAGACTAATAGAAATAACTGGCAACACCTCTATTTTGTTAAAGCAATGTTTAATCAATCGCAAATTGTGTTCCTGGCATGAAAATGGATGGATGTAGATGGAATTTTTGGTGTTGATAACGTATAGTTATTTAATTTTTGAAGTCACATCGTTCCTGGCTGTTTGTATTATTATGTAGTAACAAACCCTTTTCTTCCAGATGAGGACCCCCTGAAAAAGCTGGAGAAGCTGCAGAAGGAGAAACAGTGTAAGATCTGCATGGACCGGGATATTTCTATTGTGTTCATCCCATGTGGTCACCTGGTCGCCTGCCAGCAGTGTGCCGGAGTGCTCAACAAGTGTCCCATCTGCTGCGGCGCCATAACACAAAAAGTCAAGACCTATATTGCTTAAAGAGTCCATATTATGCTTTTCTGATCAATGTTATCATGTTTTTTTCTCATCAAGAACATACCTGAAGTTTTGTGTTGCTTAATTCACACATGTTTAACACATAAACCTTGCATATTTAGGACACTTCTTCGCTCATGCAGAAAACACTTTGTTGTACCTTGTAATGTCATGTGGTAATACAGGAAGTGCTCTACTGTTTTTAAACTCCATACACATTCACTAGAATCATTTGGATAATTTCAGCCCTGGAATTGTCAATCTCTACTGAACAAAAGGTAAAAGATAGCTGTTAACTTGAAAACTACCACTACATGATATCACAAGAACAGAGCATTTTGAGCTTTGGAGATATGGCCAGACGAATATTGTAGCACTGCTCAAATATGTGTGAATTAAAACACAACTCCAGGTATGTTTTGATGAGGTATCAACATTTATAACATGACTTTAAGATGAAAAGAGTCCATTTTGCAAAATATAGGACCTTTTAAGCAAATAACAATCCTTGCACTTTATTGCTGCTTTGTTATAATTTTAATGGGGTATATTTTCAAGTAATTGTAGATGGACTGTAATATATTTAAATATACTTATTTGATGTAGAATAATCAGGTGTAAAAATAAGAAAAAACACTATTTTTACAGTCAATGATACACTAAATGTGTGTTAATTTTGAGTTAATGTAAATAGCAAAAATCGATGAATGAGGTCTTTTATAACAACTGTAAATGTGCCCATGTCCCTTCTATGTTCAGCAAGCCATAGGTGCCTTTGGTTTTTATTTAGCTCAATATAAATAATTTGAAACACAGTGTACATTCTATGTGTTGCTTTTTATTTTCTCCTGTGTGTTCATAAGCATGTACTAATACTTGGTGTAGGGAGTGCAAACTTTCATTGTAGTCACTAACAAAAGTCAAGGGACATTCCACTTTACAAAGTTATGATTTTATTTTATCAATAAAAGTAACTGTGTCACAAATTTATGTGTGAGAATGGTGTTAATTATTCACATAGGCACATGCTGCAGACATGAGGAGCAGCCATGCATCCATATTAATCCATTTTATTCTAGTTTCAAGTTTTAAATGTACATTTCGGTGGGTGGTCTGCTGGTTGCTTGATGCCATGCTGTTGGTTCTTTGCCTGGAATGTTCCACAGTATTGCACTGAACAAATCTATCTTGCATTTATTACATTACACTACATAACATTACATTGCTCATAAATACCTTGAAAAACATGCATTTTTACTGGAAGTGTGCTCATTTTTCCACAGATCTGACCTGTAATTTGGCATGGTAGTCTCCATGGATCTATGTAGATTTATGAAAGACACAGCATTTATGGCAGAGAATTATTTTGCACACTAATAGGTGTAGTTTTTTCCCCCAAAAGCTGTCAGTGTGCTAAATAATTAGCTGCCATAATTGTTGTGTCTTTCATGTACATTCATTTTTGTCTTGGCTTCATTGTGTTGTTTGTGTCAGTGTGCATCAGAGGGAGTTACTAATTGTAATTCCATAGTTTGTTTTCTCATTCAATGATGATAAAGGAATTAATCAATCAATTAATCAGATATATAAGTTTAATGCCATATTGTGAATCATTTCAGGCAAAGCAATATCTCCACGGAGACAAGCAGGTGATGAGTCTCAAACCACATCAGTTACACAGTGCACAATAAAATGTGTCAAAAAAAGTATTTTAAAGATCCATACTTATGTGGTTGAAAGTTGCCATTTTGCATGTTGTCACATCAGCAGCCTGCAGTGTGAGTCAGAGGAGCTGAGTGGATCTTTTGGGTTCCGCTGTGGGGGCAGTATTCCCGATGTAGTACTCAGATGTGTCCTGTAGGTGTCAGATTATTCGCGGTGATCTCCTCTTTCTGCTGCTGGCTGCCTATGGCTGGCCGCTAGGTGGTAGCTCTGCACCAGGATTTCCTCCTCTGAGGTCGTCGAAACAACAAACCGAACTACGGAGCAGCGGGGCGACAGACCGTCCGAAACCGCCTCTGACCGCGACTTTTAAACTCTTTTTGGTGATTTTAGCGGGATTTTAAGCAAGATCGGAAAAGACAATTATAAGTTAGGACTCTACCACTGCTGTATTTTTCAACAAGGTAAGTTAGCTGTAAAATGGCGGAGAGCTATCTGGAAGTTAGTTGAATTGTATTTTGCTAGCCGTGATGCTAACCGCGCTAGCTGTGGAGGGGCTCAGAGCGCGGCGTCTGCCTCCGTCAGAGCGGTACGAGGCTACTTCGGTAGTTAGCAGGCCAATAAACTGCATTTTGACTGTAGTTGCGCGTAATGACTTCACTCGCAACATAAATACACCACTTAATAGTTTAAATCAGGTTAAAACACTTTATATATTTGTAAACAAAGTGTTTATTGCTTATGCAATACGCTGCTGGAACTCCCGAGGCAAGATGGAGGACGCAAGGACGTGATGTTTTTTTAGGCGACGTTAGCATTAGCTGGAGCAGGGCTAGTGATCTAGCCATCGATCTTTTCACTACAACACGGTTGCCAATATATTATTCGTTTACTGTAAGCGGAATTGCAAATGCGGTTCATCCAAGCGTTATCGTTCGTGTAGACAAGCTATAAGTTGGCCATACAATGGAGCCTTGTTACTGGGTTAGCTGCGCTAATACTGCTGCTGGGGCTTGCGTTGTTTTGTTATTATTGAGTCCCAACTATGATAGCTTCAGTTAGTTTTCGTGTTTCTGTTTCCCTGATACGCGTATGTGTCTATAGAACGTACTTTTTAATCGAGCGTTATTTTTTGCACTCATTACCACGTTTCCATCACATGGATCTATTTTCCTTTTAAGGCAAATGATAAAGTTTCAGTGGCTAGTGGCGCTAGCATCCGTAGCGCACCGGTGTCAATTTTGACAGAAGCCGGGGAAGAGCGCAGCTGTGTCGGCGTTTTTGGAGGGAACAGAGGCGCTAGATTTAGGCGCTGTTGAGTCCAAGTTATAGCCAGGATGGGGTTCATTCCCTCGTTTTGGACAACAGCGACAACAATCGATCCACAACAATGAGTTTATGAGGTACACTTAACGATTTGGCGCCACTTTTAGCCTACACCCATACAACGCGACATCACACAAATCGCCCAAAATGCAATGGTGTAGTCTAGAAAGACTTGAAGCACACTTTTTTCCCCCCTCAAACGTGACTTTCCAGCGTATGCTACTTGACAGAATTAAGTTTATTCACTTGGTGCATTGACTATATTGAAAGTTTCTGGTGCTTGTTCAGAAACTTGATATGATGGCATGAAGTTTAGTCGTTTGTCCTGATGGTAAAAGCGGTGCGTGTATTATTTGCTCACCATAAAGAGTGATAGCCACTCTTCCCAATTAATCCCTCCGTTCTTGTTCGACATGTATACATTCGCAGTGTCTTTTGCTTGTGAACTAGCCCAGACTTGTTCAATACCTATAGCCCCTTACCATCCAATGTTGCTTGCATGTTTTTATCGCACCAGTTATTTTAATGACGGGAGCAAAGTTAGCGGTCCGTATGCTCTTCCCTATCTGCCTATTCAAAGTAGCGCACAGATCAAAGCGATGCAATGCTCTGTGGCCTGCAGTATCTTGTTGATGTTGATACCGGCATTTCATTGGCTGAGTAGACAGTGGGGCGGATTGGACTGTGCCATATTTGGCCACAGAGGAAGACACTCTTCTACTGTGTATGACGTTGTGCGTAAACCCAGGGAAGCGGAGAAAGAAAGGAAGCCAATAAGGCGAAGTCTGCGTATGACTGAGGTAGTAGTGCCCGCCCCCGTTACCATGTGAAATGCTTTTTTTTTCTTTTTAATTGGTTGGCATTAAAAAAAAACAAACGCCTGGCTTGTGTTAGAAGATGGAATTGTCCATGTCCGCTTTTGAACTCAACGTTTCTGCAATTTGTACTAATATTTCTGTGTTTCTTTTTCTGTATCTTTTGTGTTTTTCAGTTTCCCATCTCAAGTCGCATGCAACGTGTCCAGTTGTGTATATACTGAAAATCGCAAATCAATCATAAGTTGAAGTTATCCAGAAGATGTTACAGAAATGATAGCAGCACCAGAAATACCGCCAGAGTTCGCCTATCCTCAGTAAGTGCACACGTTTACTTAGCTATTCAAGTATAAAAGTCATAAATTATATTAAAATTCCAATTTATATATCTCTGTTTTCTCTTCCAGGGACACAGACACACGATTCTCCTCAGACACAGACTTCTCAGAGGATATCGATGGAAGAAGTACAAGTTCGAAAGGAAAGGTATTTAAATGGATTGCAGTTCACATATCCTGGGTCACACTAACCAGGTCAATTAAACTGCCACCCAATTCTGTTTCCTCTTTTTCTAAGTCTTGTTTTATTTTCGCCAGGGGGGTAAGAAGGGCAAGAAAGCAGCAGGGGAGAAAGGCAAAGGAGGAAAGGGGGCGGGCCGACTAAACGGCCACCACCAGGAGAATGGCATGGAAAACGTGATGCTGTTCGAAGTGGTGCGGCTGGGCAGGAGTGCAATGCAGGTGAGCAGCGCATCTACACCATAGAATATGTGCATATAAAATAAACTGAAAAATAATACTGTGTTGTTCTTCTAGTGTGTTGTAGATGACTGGATAGAGTCTTATAAGCATGACCGAGATGTTGCGCTATTAGACCTCATAAATTTCTTCATCCAGTGCTCAGGATGCAAAGGTATGGATATTTCTAAAAGTTTTTTCTTCTTGGTTTTTGTGCTTCTTTTTCTGAACATTGTATCCCCTTGTTTTTCAGGTGTTGTCACCGGTGAAATGTTTCGTAACATGCAGAACTCAGAGATCATTCGACGAATGACAGAAGAGTTTGACGAGGTATTCCATTGTCCTTTAGTAACATAAACTTCTTTAGTGTCTTGTGATTCGTTTTCTGATAAATATTTGTTTTGTGTCCCTGCAGGACAGCGGTGACTACCCTCTAACTATAGCAGGGCCTCAGTGGAAAAAGTTTAAATCCAGTTTTTGTGAATTTATTTCGGTGCTGGTTCGTCAGTGTCAATATAGTATCATCTATGATGAGTACATGATGGACACGGTCATCTCTCTCCTCACCGGACTATCAGACTCCCAAGTCAGAGCCTTCAGACACACCTCAACACTGGCAGGTGAGAAAGCAGCAACGAGCCACTGCTGTGTAATCTGAATGTTGTTACATCTCATGAGGTTTATAGATATCTTCATGTGGAGTTATAGATAGCATTATTTATGCAATATTTTGTAGAAGTAAAGCAACAGCCCAATGCTTATTCAAATATTCAAATCAATACATAAAGCAGAGAAGCAAGACTGTCTTTCCTCTCCTTAGCCTTCCTCTTTTTCATGATATAAATGAAATCAGTATAAATCTGACATGAGTTTAAAAATGTGTAAGTGATTAAAATATTGATGGTAATGTACTTCATTCAAATTTACTGTCCTTATACCAAGTCATCTTTCTGTAGCCTTTCTGTTTCTTACCTGTTTACGTTATGCTAATACCTATCCTTTTGTGCCTTATTCGAATTGAACAGCGATGAAGCTGATGACGGCCCTGGTGAATGTAGCTCTCAATCTGAGCATCAACATGGACAACACCCAGCGGCAGTACGAGGCCGAGAGGAATAAGATGGTGGCCAAACGAGCCAACGATAGACTGGAGCTGCTCCTACAGAAACGCAAAGAGGTATGATCCGGATATGCATGCAACTGATGTGTTAAAAACTCAACCTTAGATCTACTTTGCATGTTACTGTAGGCAGCTATATGTTAATGAAGCAAGAAATTGTGTATGCTATTGCTACGCTTGCATGACAAAAAGATGAAAGTAGTGTTGTTTGTGTGAATGTGTACGTCCTGAATCTCAGAACATTCATATCTTATGCTGCAATCTTAATTCTTAAAAATCATAGTGTAAGGTTAGAGTAAAATGCTGTGTGATTTTGCTAAATTATTCTATGTGCAAAATTACATTATTATTATTATTATTATTATTGTTACAAAAAAATAAAAAAACAATGGTCAAACATGGAGATTAACATTAGATTACTAGAATATGTAGTGAAGCTATCAGTTTTCTTCTGGACAGTTTTTGCAATCAAGATGTTTCGGCTCCCACTCAGAAGCCATTTTCAATTGATGGTACTGTTTTGAGACCCAATAGACAAAAGCAAATCAAAATATTGCTAGAAAAAGGTTAATTGACATCGTCTAATCTTCATTAAAATGTGCATGTGAAATTTCAAAGCCCAGTTCACATATTGGAAATCTGTTATACTCAAACTGTATTTAAATGTTTTCTTATTTCATATTTTTATTGGTATTTATTTATTAAGGGGATAATGCATATTAAAAGGCAATATAATACTAAAGAAAAAAAACATACCTGTAAATGGGCAGGATTGTAGCCAAAGGTAATTTCCATCCTTATTTTCTCTTATCTGATGTGTACTATGTGCTTCTGTAAGAATAGCAAAATGTTAATCAAATGAATTAAAAAATGCCTTCCTGTTATACACCTATAAATGCATATATTTAAGAATGAACTTGGTGTATGCTGGTGCAAATTTCCAACAATTATCCCATGTGTATTGTGCAGTTGGAAAGGCATGGCTCCTGTAGGCTGTGGGCCCTACGGTGTCTGTGCTTGTGCGGAGCATTAGTCACACATAATTGTCACTTGATTGGGTTATGTAACCGTGGGACCCACTGGGCATCCATCTGCTTGTCCGCTGTGCTGCCTCCGTCTGCATGGTGCCACATTTGGCTGTCACACACGTCTTGTTACATTGACAATGGCTTCTAGTCATGTCCTGTTTAGACAATAGGCTGGTCCAGTGCTGACTGCTTAACTGATTTGTAGATATATGAAATTTTCAACTTTTTTTTTTTCTCATCTCAATGGCATTTTCAGCATAAAATCATTGTTGCTTCATTGTGGTCTTATACTATCATTAACAGTAATATAGTAGATCAAATGCATTCTATAACTATCCTTCAGAAAAACTCTAATTAGAAAAATAGGTTAATTTAAAATATTTCTTTACCAGTAACATCTCAAATCAGTCTTGATACTTGATGGTACCAAATTGTTTTTTTTGTTTGTTTGTTTGTTTGTTTGTTTTTGCTGCTTAAAAAATTATGTTTTTATTTTTCTTCCAGCTCCAAGAAAATCAGGATGAGATTGAAAACATGATGAATGCAATTTTCAAAGGAGTGTTTGTCCACAGATATCGGTACGGTCTTAATGTGATATCAATTTATTAATATCTGTTTTATTATTTTTAACTAAGTTTGTTGCTTTTGCAGTGATGCGATAGCAGAAATCAGGGCAATCTGTATAGAAGAGATTGGGGTGTGGATGAAACTTTATAGCGATGCCTTCCTCAATGACAGCTATTTGAAGTATGTGGGGTGGACAATGCATGATAAGGTGAGTGACCAGATCATTTCAAAATGTGTCTTTTGTATTTTTCTTGGTTAAATTTTAATGTGTAACTTTCATGGTATTTTCTGTCACAGCAAGGAGAGGTACGCCTGAAGTGTCTGACAGCTCTGCAGGGACTCTACTACAACAGAGAACTCAATGCAAGGCTGGAGCTGTTCACCAGTCGCTTTAAGGTGAGCTCCACCTGCTGGACAAATCATGCACTGCAGTCAAAGCAGTGTTCATTCATTCAGTACCAACACTGAGGCCAGCATTATTTCCCTATTGTTGTCAGTTTTCAAATTAAAATTGAAATACACACTTATATGAATATTATTATTTAATAATGTTTTTTTTTGTTTCATTCAGGACCGAATCGTGTCCATGACTCTAGACAAAGAGTATGATGTTGCAGTGCAGGCAATTAAACTGCTCACTCTTGTTTTGAAGTAAGAACCTTATTTGTCTATTTGTTTGTATTAGTCTGCTGTTGTAGCTGTCTAGACCGTTGCTCCATTGGATGTGACTTGTGTTTGTGGAACAAGGGGGCAGGGATAATTTAGTCTGGAAAAACATATGCTTTCAAACTATTTAAAGCTCATTTATTACCCACAAGGCCAATCATCTTGCTTGAGATGATTAACGCTTGTGCTGGGCTATAGACATTTTCTAGCTTGTTCTACTGGGTATTCGAGTAAAAGAGGACATTTTTCTGTTTTTCATCCTTAGTTAATAACGTGTAGGCAGAGTGCAAAGTTTGGTTTAAAGTCAATATGCATCACAAGTCTAAAATGGTGGACTCTTCAGAAATAGTTAGTGTGTTGCCTCTGACATGTTTTGTGCTGTTTGTCCCTGCAGTAGCACAGAGGAAGTGCTGACCCCAGAGGACTGTGAGAGCGTCTATCACTTGGTCTACTCAGCTCACAGGCCCGTGGCTGTCGCAGCGGGAGAATTTCTCTATAAGAAGTACGTCGGTCTACACAGTCTGCTTGCTATCCATGGGTTAAAAAAAGAGAACATTGTTACTATAGAAATGATCAATTCAGAACAAAATATTATATCTTTTGAATGCTGAAATTTCCTCAAAATGCCTTTTATGTATTATGACAGCTCCTATTATACTTTCCTAATGATAAGTCCTTGTTATAAAGTAAATTGCAGTCTTTTTTAGAAATAGAAATTAAGTGTCAATTCTTTGCCAAAAAACTTTTTGATGTTTATATATCTACTCAATTTGTAATCATGGCTTTTCTGTGTGTAGATTGTTCAGTCAGCGAGAGCCAGAGGAAGAAGGCGCCCCCAAAAGGAGAGGACGACAAAGCCCAAATGCCAATCTTATTAAAACGACAGTCTTTTTCTTCCTGGAGAGTGAGGTATGAAGTTTTTACAGCTGCTCATAGTTCTAGTTTGCTGGCTGCCAAATGCTAACCAATGCTTCCATTGTTTTAATCTTCATAGCTCCATGAACATGCGGCCTACCTGGTGGACTCTTTGTGGGAATGCGGTCCTGAGCTGCTGAAGGACTGGGAGTGTATGATCAGCTTATTGTTAGACGATCCATTACCGGGAGAAGAGCGTACGTTACCTAATCTGTTACAAGACAATTTATTCTTGAATTAAATGTCTGTAAGGACCATATTAAATTATTTTTGTATTACCAGCTCTCAACGACCGACAAGAAACTGCATTGATTGAAATAATGCTGTGCACCGTACGGCAAGCTGCTGAATGCCACCCACCGGTCGGTCGAGGTTCAGGAAAGAGGGTAAACCTCCACTATACACTTTACTAAATATACTTTTGAAGACTTTTATTTTTATTTATTTCAATTTGTTTTCATATTGTTACAAATGTATTTCATTTATTTTCAGGTAATGACTGCAAAGGAGAAAAAGACACAGCTAGATGACAAAACTAGAATGACAGAGTTGTTTGCTGTAGCATTACCCCCTCTATTGGCCAAGGTAGGATATAACATTTATTTTAGTCACAATTCAGTTTTATATAAAATTATGCGTTCAGCTAATTTGATCTTTATTTGTTTGCAGTATGCTGTAGACGCTGAGAAAGTCACAAACTTGTTGCAGTTGCCTCAGTTTTTCGACTTGGAAATCTACACAACGGGGCGTCTGGAGAAGGTTGGTGTTTGGACATAACTTAAAATACTAAATAAATATCATATTTTCCAGACTATTGAGCGCACCTGAACAAAGGATCTGTTCATATATTAGCCACATTGTTTTATTAGCCGCAGTTGTCAAAGTGTGAGAAGAAAGTAGCGGCTTATAGTCCGGAATTGTAATGTAAAATATGAATATATCATTTCAGTTGGCTGCTTTTAACTGCATGACATTTTAAAGGGGTGGAGGAGTCAGTTTTCCCTGTATTAATTGAACGTGAAAATCTTTTTTTACAAATGACAAAGCTGGTCAAATATATTGTCTGTTACCAATTACAACTAGGGATATTAGAATAGTGTTGTGACATTAATAACAACTCCTATGAACAAAAAAAAATATAATTATCACAAATTTAGAATCAAAATTAAGTGACTGTGAATTCAATCAAACAGAAAAATATAAACCTAATTAATAATAATGAGGTTTTTGTTAGCGGCCCGTTTATGTCATATTAACTTTGTCATTCAGAAAGTTTGATTTCATAGAGCTGCCTCATACTAGTGAAGTGGATACTCTAGAAAATAGAGAAGGGTGTGTGGTTAAGTTACGTTTGTTTATGAAGGCTCTACATCCGCCACATATTTGTCTCCATGGATATTTTGTTGCATTGCATGGAATGTTTCTCAGTATGGCATTAAACCTATCTATCTTGTTTTTATTATATTACAGGTATTTTTATTGCTCAAAAATACCCAAATAATGAAGTGCTTGTTCGCTGTTTGTTTATGTCACATTATCTTTATCATTAAGAAAGCTTGATTTCATAGAGCTGGTCCCATATTAGGAAACAAGAATCTGAAGAAATACTACTTTTTGATATTCCTTTTCTCAATAATTGTAACTTTTTAAAATTCATAAAATTGTACATTTTAAACAATGACATCTCTAATTACTACAGACCCTTAACAGACAGATTATTGTGTTGAAATCTTAAAACCGAGTAATACAGCTTTCTGGTTAACTTATTTCAACATGTTTCTCCTCTATCTCTCCTCAGCACCTGGAGTCCCTTCTGCGTCAGATCAAGGAGATAGTGGAAAAGCACACGGACACTGAAGTCTTGGAGACCTGCTCGAAGACGTACCATGCCCTCTGCAATGAGGAGTTCACAATCTTTAACCGAGTGGATATCGCCCGCTCACAGCTGCTGGACGAACTGGTGGACAAGTTTAACAGGCTACTGGAAGATTTCCTACAAGAGGTACAGACACATCAGGCTCTCATTAAAAAGTTTCTCTGACAAAGTTTTTATCGCATGAGTTAAGTTCACGTCCATTTACCTGGTTTCAGTGAAGTCAGGGTTTTTGAAACCTAGAAAATAGTACACTGTTAAGTAAAGCATTGTTTTATTTGTCTGCCAAATGTTTGTCTCCATGGAGATGCTCTTGCATTGCATGGAAAGTTTCTCTGTCAATCCAACTATAACTATATCTATCTTGCTTTACAAGACAATAAGTTACAAGTGTTTTTATTACTCTAAAATAACTTAAGTTGCATTCACATGGATATGGATAATGTTTAATGCCATACCGTGGAACTTTCCTTTTGAAGAAAAGTTTTATTTAAACCCACAAATGTAATAGTTATTACTTTCTGTATGAAGAAGTACCTGGAATCACAATATTTATTCTCTAATTTCATATTAGGGAGAAGACGCAGACGAGGACGATGCGTATCAGGTTTTGTCGACTCTAAAGAGAATCACAGCATTTCACAAGTAAGATTTTCTTCATTCTTGAACATCTGTTGATTTCATTTGTATGCCACTAATTTTTATATTTGTTTCCATAGCGCACATGACTTATCTGGCTGGGACCTTTTCACCAGTAATTTCAAGCTCCTAAATACAGGCATAGAAAATGGAGACATGCCAGAGCAGGTTTGTAAATGCATAAAGTTTGAACTGTAATGTTTTATTATGATTTTTCTGTCATTTATAATGTATTATATTCTCTGTGAGCAGATAGTCATCCATTCACTTCAATGCACCCACTATGTCATTTTGTGGAACCTGGCGAAATCTTCTGAGGGTAGTGCAAGAAAGGTGAGACCTACAGTGTTTTGCTGTCAAGAGATAATTTGGATGTTTGTTGTTTGGTATTTTTTGGCAGATTTTAAGTAGTTAATGAGATTTATGAATTTTAATCAAGATAGAGATTCAGGCTTCTCAAATTGTCAGTGACACTCAAGAGTCACTTTAATCAAGAAGCTCACAGCCAATCCTCTGTCAGGGAAAGCATGTGTTTTGGAACAGATTTCATACCTTGGAAGAAGACATTTGATTATTTTGTTTCTAAAATAGCAATTATTAATAGTCAGTCTTGTTTATGTTCAAGAAATTCATATGGAAAGCCTATTTTTTTTTTGTCATGTTGCCCAGCTTTATTTTGAACTTAATATTTTGTACTTTTAAGCTATCATCAAATCCGTTACATCTTGTTGATATTATTTCGATAAATTGTTACTAAATACTGCTATATTTCAGGACGATCTGGTGACCTTGAGGAAGCAGATGAGAGCGTTCTGTATGATGTGCCAGCGCTACCTCACCAACGTCAACACGGCCGTCAAAGAACAGGTAATGACAGGATGCCCCAGAATCTATATGCATGCTTTCGGGGACACTTTACTCTTTCTTTCTGGACACTACTTTTGATATAAACTAGCAGTGAAAAGTAGCCAAGGGATTTCGTAAAATGTAGCAAAAACAAAACCTGAGTGCTGCTTTCCCTTTTGGTTGAAATTGTAAGCAAGGAAACCATGTGCTTGAAGATTACATTGTATTTATGAGTTGGATAAGGGTGCTATGTTCCAAAACATTATTCATGGTCATATTTTATCTCGATTTCAGTAAATATTTTATTATCTAGTAATATCTTAGCAAAATTAGTTTAGTTAGTTTCAACAGTTACATTTTTGCATCTATTACAAGAAAAGTTGAGAATGGATACTATATGTGCTAACAGTTATATTTTGTTAACACAATAATTACTGTCAGCATCAAATGATTATAGATTAAATATTGACCCCTATAATATATAGGTTAATGTGTTTACTCTGCTGTAGAAGGTTAAATTGCATGTAAATGTAAATGACTAAATACTGCTATTTATTTTTTTATTTTATTATCCTGCTTGATTATTATTGTGTACAAAGTAGTTTATATGTTACTGTTTATTGAGTGATATTTCTGTAGCAATATATTGTACTTCAAAATTCGGTGTGACAGGCCTACTTAGACTTATTGATTCATCATAGAAGGCTCTTTAATGTTTGTGTCTTCTCCCCATAGGCCTTCACCATCCTGTGCGACCTGCTGCTGATCTTCAGTCATCAGATGGTGTCAGGGGGCCGGGAGCACCTGGAGCCTCTGGTGTACTCCCCTGAGGACTCGCTTCAGTCTGAGCTCCTCTCCTTCATCCTCAATCATGTCTTCATCGACCAGGATGACGACTCCAACAGCACAGGTAATGTTGGTAGGTTTAAAATGACATCACAGCATTTTATATGCAGGTAAAATCAATATTGTTAATTTATTTTATTTTTTTTTTTTTTATTTACACATTTATTTTGGGCAAGTAAAGTTTTACATTCATATACAATGGAACATATAACATAAGTGAAATCATAATAGAAATGAAAATAACAAAAATGTACTATTATTATTATTTTGCCCAAAAAGGAGTGGGAAGAAGAAAACTTATTTAATCCCACCCCTACTCTTCATAATCTAACACAATGAGCTTCTTTTGCGTTTTTCAGACATTTTGATTTAAATTATATGAACTGTTTACAAGTGCAGACAAAGAGTCACTCTTACAGCTTTGTAGTATAACATAAGTGTACCAACAATGGTAAAGTTAAGGATACAGACAATGGTAAGAAACAACAAATACAAGTAATGTAACGGATAGCACATACCAGCAGTGGTAAGAAATGTAATGTAACGGACAGCACATACCAGCAGTGGTAAGAAAACAACAAACATAAACCAGCGCTACAGAGGCAGTATTGTTCTAATATTATGACCCACTCTCCATACACTGTGACCAGACCATACGTTTATATAACAACTTCAATTAGGTTCCAATACAGTAAGTTCTTGGGTTTAGTCAGTAATTGAAAATACCAGGTACAGCAATAGTGAATTCACCAATATTGGTAGTTTTCAAATGATAAAATGCAATGTCATGCTTCCCAATGGGTATTAAGAGACAGCTTTTCCTATTTATTACCTTGTATTTTTTTCATGAAATTTTGGAAAGGTAAATGTCCCCAAATGCCCATCTGTATTAAATGTTACTGGCCTATAGATTATTGTGAAGTCATTTGAAACCCAGCAATAGTCAATGAAAAGCACTTTAAAATAATTTGTGTACAAAGTGTAAAAAGTCTACTTATATCTGGTATAGTTACAATACTGTTTCAGACAGTTTCATCTTCTAAAAATATAGTTATTGTTAAACATTTTTATGTTGATTGTGGCTTATTCTGACTTTTTATTGGTGATGAACAGACCTGCAAACCCTATTGTCCTTTTGGGATTGATTGAAGCTATTTGAATGATTGATACTGGCAATCTAGTGTTTTTATAATATCTAAAGTATCACAAATTTGAACATTTTCCTGTATAAAAATGTCAGCTTTGCATCTTTCATTCATTGGCATGGCTAAAAAATAAAATTAAAACGTATGTTAAGCTCTTTAAGATGGCTTACTTTGTTTCCACGAAGCCAACATCAACAAATCGCTGTCAACACCAGTATTTAAGTTACATTCTTGTTCGCACTGAAGGTGTTGGTTTGGCTATTACAAAGCTTAAAATAATAAGTAAAATTCTGTGTGTGTCCTCAGATGGCCAGCAGGACGATGAAGCAGTGAAGATTGAGGCTCTGCACAAGAGGAGAAACCTGCTGGCTGCCTACTGTAAACTCATAATTTACTGTGTGGTCGAGATGAAGACTGGAGCAGACATCTTCAAACAGTACATGAGGGTAAGAACATTTTGAATGAAACAAAGAAAACTTTAATTAAAATCCTTGACAGTAACAATGCTAATGTCACTGGTCTCATTGGACTATTTCAAATTCTTCAAAAATGTATTACATATATACACATACATAATAATTAATTCTAAATCAGTGTTGTGTGTATTTCTCAACAGTATTACAATGACTACGGCGACATCATCAAAGAGACCATGAGTAAGACCAGACAAATCGACAAGATCCAGTGTGCCAAGACCCTCATCCTCAGTTTGCAGCAGGTCAGTGGAAAATGGTTGTAAAACCAATAACCCCAGGGATAACCTAGTATACAATTTAAAAATGCATTCCCTAATATATAAATATATAAATATATATCAATTTGTATTTTATGTTTTCTTTTCCATTGAACAAATAGAAAATGCTAACTTAACTCCCTCCAAAAACGCGTTTCAGTAGATTCAACCTTAACCAAGAAACTACTGCGATAAACGATTATATTGACATTTTGAAACCATTTTCAAATAATATAATGACAATGGAATAAAAATGCAAATACACCCTTTCAAAGATCAATAAACTTTCTAAAGAACATTTAACACAGGAACTGCAAGACAACCAAAAACAACAGGCCTAAATAAAATAGACTTGTTAACATAAGAATAGCCTAAAGTAGTCTGGCTTACAGCAAGGACTTGTTAAAAAAATGCACTTGAATAAACCATTGTTGAACCAAACACAACCAAACCAATAAATAAAATGGATTATTAAGTCTCTGTAACAAAATTGCCCTTAAAAGTGATTTTGGTCATTGACTTAACATTGGAATATTGTGGGCCCTCTCTCTGTGGCTGCTGCTGTGAGCCTCGTCTTGGTCTTGAAGTGTTTGTATTAACCCGCGACACAGGATCCTCTTTGGCTGTGAGGGAGCCGCTGTCCTGTCTGGTATCGTGTTTGTGTCTGTGTCTTGTGGGATGTCAGTGGATTTCAGGCTCTCCTGGGGGCTCGGCTAGCTGTGTCAATCAGGTATGGGTTAATGACGGGTGCTGGGGTTTGAGCCATTTATTCTCGTCGTTTGCGCGCTCGCTGCATTGACGCATGTGGCCGTTGAGATGTGTCCTACTCACTCGTGTTGATGTGGCATCATGATTTGTTTTGTCACACGGCGGCGATGAACTGTTTTGGTGATCTGACGGCGGTGCTAGCTTGTGTTGTGGCTTCATGTTAACCGCACAGACAGCGGTGCTTTCTGCACTCAGGCTGCGCGCGCATCTGCTGTGTTGATAAACATATAATCTGTCTATAGTTTACGCTCACACATTTGTTCAAGCTTCATTACAATAAGGAGTCAGTACAGAGCGATGGAAGCCTTTTTGACATTCAGTCTCTTTCGTAGAGAGCGATATAGACGAGGAAAACAGACAAGCATGTAAATAGAAACTATTGCGGCCAGAAAAGTTATCGGGCTAAAAAGTTATTGTATGATTAATTGATTTATTGATTATAGTTACAAGGCCAAACCATTACTTGAAAAATATTAGTATGTTTTATAATTTTAGCATATTTTTTTCTTTTTCGTTCTTCAATGTATGTTGTGAAAAACTCTTCTGTACATTTGGCCTTCTTTTTTTTTCTTCAATTGTTCTGGTCATTATTACGTACCCAATATGTAATGATGAACTGTCAAAAGATTTTTGAAATGTCATGTAAATGGTTACAGCTATCTGTAACAAGCTGTACAAGTGCTGACAAGGAATATTGTGCAACTAATGTGGCAAAGACAAAAATGACACAATTACATAAAAACAACAAAAAACAAAAACATTGTCTTTAAGTGACACATGTCATCAGGTGGTTTTAAAAGTCCTATATTACACAATGGATTCTGGTGAGCTTTACGTCATTATAATGCTGTTAACTCCTGAGAAAAGTACCTGGGGTTGTGTTGTTTCATTCACAAATGTTTGTGTAACCCTTTATTATCAATTTACATCCCCAAAGATCAAAATGTTCTTCCACCTTGTGATGCCATGTAATGGTAGTTTTCAAGTTCACAGCTACCTTTTACCTTTAGTTCAGTAGAGATTGACAATTCCAGGTTTGAATTTATCCAATTGATTCTAGTGAATGGAGTTTAAAAACACAGTGGAACACCTCCTGTATCACCATATGACATCACAAGGTGGAACAGAGCATTTTTTGTTTGTGAGAAGAACTGCAGAGTTTGTGTGTTAAACGTGAATGGAAACTCCGGGTATGTTTTTGATGAGGGATATGATATGTTTATAACACAGATCAGAAAAAAAACATAATATAGGCCATTAATGGTGCATGTGACCATGCATCAGGTCTCACTATTTGGTTATCTGCTTATTCTAGTCATCTGATTTTCCTTACCGTGTAAGTCACTGTCTTTCCATTTTCTAGCTGTTTAATGAGATGCTGTCAGAGCTGGGTCACGGGTTTGACCGCTCATCGTCGGCGTTCTGTGGCATCAAAGAGCTGGCGCGTCGCTTCTCTCTCACCTTCGGTCTGGATCAGGTCAAAACCAGAGATGCCATTGCCATGCTTCACAAGTAAGACCTCCATCTCCGCCACTGCCTTTCTGTTATAACTTGGACCTGTATTCTGGATCTGTCGAGGGAGACAAATGACTTGTTCAGAAATGCATGTACCCCTGCCATATTACATCTGCCCCCAATCTGAGCTGAGATGAGCAGACTTTAGTGAATGTGCCCTCTCTATTTTTGTATCTCATTATTTATTAAAGGGGTCAAGCTTATCAGTGGCACAATATGACAAGAGAAAGATATACGCTAAAGAGATTTCCATGTTATTCTTTACATTTCAGTCTTTCAGAGGATTTGATGGGATAATGATAATGACTTTAATCATAAATGTATCAGATAAGACATGGGTAGACTTTCTACAAATTGTTAAAGCTCTTAAAATGTACACAGCATTCATGCATAACTTGGTCTCTTATTAATAAATCTAAATCATTTCTTATGTCATGCTATTTAAAAAAAAAAAAAAAAAAAAATGGTGGCACCTTTAGTTAACCTTTCCAACATTTATTGCAACTTTCTGGAGGTGGCACGGCAACTGCATAATTCCATGGAAATAGAAAGTTAGAATCAAATTTTTATGCCAACTATGATTATAAGCAAAGGAATTACATTTCCATGAAAATGCAAGCCCACCCACAGTAAGGACATGTTTTTCTATGCTTGTCGGCATCTAAAAAAGAAAAGTATATTTTTTATGGCTAAAAAGTTACACAATAGGGCTTTTAAAACACAATGAACATTGCTTGATTTGTTTTACAGTAATATTGGTGTGAAACATTTTTTGATGAATTTGAACTAACTGTGCTAATCTGTCTCCCCTCTCTGCAGAGACGGCATAGAGTTTGCTTTCAAAGAGCCCAGTCCTCAGGGAGAAGGGGGTCCGCCTCTGAACCTGGCGTTTTTGGACATCCTCTGTGAGTTCTCCTCCAAACTCATGAGACAAGACAAGAGGACTGTGTAAGTATTTCCTGTCTCGAACTTCACTCACTTTGACACATTTTAACAGATGTTTTCACAACTGGTGCATCTGTTCTTCTGGCACAGATGTGGTGGTTTTGTGCTCTCATTTTACACACCATCACAACAGCACAGCTCATTGAATTGTGTAGTTTGTTAATTTTCTCGTCTCCGTGACCTTCCATGCTGCGGTCCCCAGGCACATGTACTTGGAGCGGTTCATGACGTTCCAGATGGCACTGCAGCGTGAGGACTGCTGGCTGCCCCTCATCTCGTACAGAAACTCCCTACAGGCAGGGGGCGATGATGACACCATGTCCGTGATGAGTGGCCACTCCAGCAGGGGATCGTCGGTGCGCTCCAAGAAAACCAAGCCCCCTGTCGTCACAGCTGGACCCTCTGTCGCCAAACGGAAACTACCAGAAGGTAAACTACATGCACTGTTTATAACATGGTGTCTATAATATCTATGGCTGAGACAAGAGCTCACATAATATAATTGCCTCAACTTTGTGCACACATGAGGAAACTTCTTAAATAAATCTGCACTTTTTTATTTATCTGTTCTTTTTTTGGACAATACTTATACTTCAACTAAGGCATTTATAGGCATGTTTTGCAAGTTCTTTATAAACTGCAAATGTATGTTTGTTTTTTTTTATCAAAATTTTAAAAAATTATTTATTTTTTTTACATATCCCCCACCCCATTCAGGTGTTTTTGTGCTCAACAGTGCAGATTATAGTTTGAGTTTGACTTGTTACAGAGGCAGTGTAGGAGCCCAGATTAACCCAGATGCACGATCTCGTCTTGAGCTCTGAGCTGGTGGAGCAGATTAAACAGCAGATGGCACAGTCACTTAAAGCATACTCCGTGTTTGATCCCTTCTCTTTGTGCATTATTACTAATATCACGATTACATTGTTCAGTCAAAGTAGCTGCTACATGTGCCCAGGTTATTCTCATACCTTGCATAGAAAACACTGCCATTAGCTGCTCCATTGAAGCTTAAAATAGGCTATTAAAAATAAAAAATATTCACGCCGTCAAATATAAAAAGTATATTCAGCCTTCTCAAACTCATTTTAGCTTGCCTAATTTGAGTAAAATAAAGGCCTCAGATATGAAGATGATTTCTGAATTGGGAACCAAATAATTTGAATGAAAATTATTATTTTTCAGGATTTTTAGTCCAAAAACAGGGCGATATTTAGTTAAATTTTAGGATCAGGTCTAACTTTTACAATTAAAGGTTGCAGATTTAAATATGTGTGTTTTATGCACCACATAGTTATCCCCAGCTAGTTTTTAAGTCTATGGGAAAAATGAATGGAACTTCAAGAATTGTTGCGTGGGGGGACTTTTGACACAACCCTCAACAGTATCAATGGTTTTCAAAATGGTGAGCAGTTAGGCCATTGCCACAACAGGTTACATTTTAGAACAAAATACTATATCGTGTGAATGGGAAAAGATCCTCAGTGTTGCATAGAACAGTAAAATTAATCCCATGAATTGTAATTGGTACCTAGCAGCAAAATCAAACACCTAAAGGACCATGAACGCTCGTATGGATCACAGACTTTTGAAAATATGTTGTTTAAATCCATTTTGTATTTTTCTCTTTGAGTTTTCAGATCATCTTAAAACTTATTTGGCAGTTTGCTAATGTGTGCATTGTGTCTCCATGGCAACTGTTGAACGTTCTGCCAGTACACATCCGTGTAGAACCCCCTCCAGCATGATGTCACTGCAGAGTACTAGTAAAGTTGTTTATTGTCTGACCTGTTCCATGTCTGGTGTGTTTGCAGAGGAGAGCAGCAGCAGTGACATGTGGCAGCAGACCATGCAGACTCCAGTTATGATGCCCTCCCCCCACCTCACCTCCACCGCCATGAGAGACCCCAAGAGGGCGAGAGAGGACAGCTACATGGGCGTGTACCCCATGACACACGAGCAAACACCCCATCACCCCCCACACCATCAACCCACGCCCCAGCACCACCCTCCGCCCATGGACTACAAGTATGGCTTTTTCGTATTTATCAGTTTAAAAGCATGTATCTCTTATATTGAAACTCTACCTTAGATTTGTTCACTATATTAGCTTGGGCCTTGTTTTGAGTTTCCAGTGACCAAAAGGACTAAAATTTGGCAAATCTGAGCTAATACTGAAAATTGCAACAGAATTACGATCTATTTTCCCTTTTTGATTTTGAAATTAACACATTTGGGTTTGCTATTATGGCTCAGGTGACAGTCAGGTGTTGCTAAAATCTTTTATCTAGAGTTCTCACTGTACAGAAATGCACATGGGCTGAATTAAAATATGTATTATATGACCTAATAATGAACAGTGTATCAGAATCCTTAAATCTGAAATTTTACCTGTAAAATAGACATGTCCTTAAGAATTGCTTCTCAAATGATAATTAAACCATAGCCCCAACACTGGTCATTAAGTGGTCATTGCGTCTGTCTGGCCAATCCTCAAAGATGCACTTTTTAATTACAGACAGCAGTTTATTTCCAATGAGCACGATGTATTACACGTTTGCTTAATGCCTTCTGAAGATTTTAATATACATTTAGGCTTCGGTCCAGATGCATCAGTCCAGTGGATCGCCAGTCTCCTGAAAATGGCATCCGAGGACTTCAGCTTGTGCCAAATTACATTAGATCTGGTCGTGTGTAATTCCCCATTTGAACACTATTAATTTAGAGGGCAAATGGTGGAAAGCGCTTGTACTTAACTCTGCCAAACGCGACTCGTGTCAGGGATAGTTTATTTATCCTGGATGACTTGGGCGGGCAGTGGTCCAGACCTCCAATATGTGGATGTCCATAGAGCTTGTTTTAAACGTGTGTGTGTGGTAGTGTTGTCATGATACAGAAAATTAAATTGCTATTTTAATGCTAGGGAATAGGCTTGAGACTGGGTAACAAAAATTCCATATTTTATTTTATTTTATATGTGCGTTTACTTAAGTTCAGTTGTTGTCATAAATGTGACTGTATGGTATGCTGTACTTTGTTTTGTCTTGAATTTAGTTTTGTCTCTTGTCTGCTAAGAAAACTAAAATCAAAATAGGAAAAAGAATACCACTATATAACCACGTGGTCTTATACTAATTCTATAAATCAGGACCTTAAACTTTACTATACTATTGATACTCAAATGAGTATCTAGTTTGAGCATTGATTAGTATCTGGGCATTTTATTGTTTGGCTTTTTAACATTGTGTAGGCAGTTGGTCATCACATTGTGGAGATTAAAATCAGTAAAAACAGTCTTCAGTATTAGATCAACAACATGGTTCAAAGTTAAGATATGAAAAAGTTAAGGTTAGGCTAGTCTAGAAGTAACTACGACATGTATTCATTTCCTGGAGACCCATCCTAACTTGAACCAATGAACTGTGCTCACATCACATAAAACTCTACCGTGTGCATTTGTGTGTAGTTCCCAGGTGACGTGGATGCTGGCTCAGAGGCAGCAGGAGGAGGCACGGCAGCAGCAGGAACGAGCCATGAACTACGCCAAGCTCAGGTCCAGTCTCCAGCATGCTATGTGAGCAAAAGACACACATACATCTTGTTTATTTATGCTAATGTTTGCCATCTCTTCCTCTGATGCTATATATTGGTTTAGGTGTTGCCACTTCCCATGTTCCTAACTCTAAAGATTGTGGAGTAGGAGTAGTTAATATTTTTGATACTTTGTCTACGTTATATTTCAGTTTGTAAGCTACTGTGTCCAAGTAATTTCCCATGTAGATCATTGCAAGGAATTTTTTCTAATAGTGATCATTTTAACTATCCCCTTGGTTTAAAACTGCAATTTTTTAGGGCAAATAAATAATTTGGACAGATTATTGGTTAAAACATGACTGAGCCTACCCAAATGCTCTTGAAATTCTCTGTATGAGTTTTAACCATTTGAAGATGTTTTAGTTCAAACATTCATTCATTTGAAACCATAAATGTATGTTTTTTTTGTTGTTGTTGTGAATGAAAATAAAATCATACTGATATCTATTGTGTTGCCCCCAGTCGTCGAGGCACTGGTCTGATGGAGGAGGACGAGCAGCCGATCGTGGAGGACGTGATGATGTCATCGGAGGGCCGCATGGACGACCTCAACGAAGGCATGGACTTCGACACCATGGACATCGATCTGGTCAGTCCTCACCACTTTGTGCCCTGTTCAAGATCACTGCAATAAAGCCAATCCATCTGCATCTTCTACTGAGCTGTCCTTTAAAACCATCTTGTACCATTACTTCAAATCACTTAACTAGACATGGGACAAATGAGGATAAGATGGGACTTTATTAAACTTTCAGTGGAGAAATTAAATGGTCTTTGCTGCTCTTAAGTGCAGAACAACTATGCATGATATACTAATACAAAATTGGACTATTTATCAGTAAGAAATGTAAGGTAGAGGTAAAATACATTATCTACCCCATTCATGCCAGATTTCGAAAATGAACAACTTTTCTGTACTCTTAAGATTTCCTATAATTCTTTACTTGATCAATTCCCAATTTGCCTCTCAACTTATTGACAGTAAGAAAGTAAATTATGGTAGAAGTAAAATGCATTATTTTACTTTAATTTTGGAAAATTACTTTGTTTTTTTCACCTATTCAGATTTCTTAAAATCCTTAGGTTAAATAAAAAACAATTGTTCAAAATTTGCCTCTCCCAACCTATCATTATGGCTCAGCACTGCATTACAATCAACCAATTCTGAACTCTTCTCTCTTTTAGTATGCCTCCCCAAATTACTGTAGAGTTTGTATTATTTTCATTTAACAAATGTACAACAATATTTGGGTACACTGTAAGAATGTAGCCTCAAAAACACTTGTATAGTACTTTTCATCACACTCAAAAACGTTTCGCACAGTTCAAGACAGACAGAGCACATATAAGAAACAGGGAAAAAAAGGTTATTTGAAGGCAGTTTTGAACATGTGAGTTTTCAGGGCTTTTTTGAAGATGGTGAGTGTGGATGAGTCGATGTTTTTATCAGCTCCCTGCCCAAACACATCAATGAGCTCAATTATTTTATCAAAATGTTGTGTAACTACCAGTATTCTGAACCCTCTGGCCCAAACTATGAATCATAACTGAATCATTTGCCCATGTGAGGCCCAAGCAACAAATCTGTGTGTAAAATGTCAGGCCAAAAACCCAGAAGTCAAGTTTGGATGTTTGCTCTTGAGTTGAACTTATGAAAATCTCACCAAATGTCATGTTTATTCAGCTAGAAAATAGTGTTTTCTAATTTAGCTATATTCATTACATGTCTGCCTGATAATCTGCACAGTCCACAGCGCAGAAGTGAAAATGTAAACTTTTTCGTCTTTTTCCAGCCTCCATCTAAGAACCGTCGTGAGAGGTCCGAGCTCAAGCCAGATTATTTCGACCCCGCCTCTATCATGGACGAGTCGGTAAGAAACACAAACCGATTTTCAGTTTCATGTATTTTTTATTGATGTGTGAACAAATGTGGGACTGTCATTCAGACCACAAATGTATGCATACCTTTTCATTTTTCTGCAGCAAAAAAACATTCATTAAAAAGGTATAAAAACCACACAAACCTTGAGTAAATAAACAAATACGAATAGCATCACACAATAAATAAGGAGAAAAGATATATCAAATAATAATAACAAAAAAAGGGGGCTGGGGGTTGGTTTAGACAGTTTCAAAAAAGTCAGTAAATGGTTGCCAACACCTCTCTATTTTGTATGGATTTGTAATTTTAGATCATATTTTAGGCTAGAACTGGGCTGAACAGTTTTGGTGAACATTTTAAATATGAAGCATTAACATTTGAACAGAGGCAGACTTATGGGCTGTTTAACTATTACAAAAACTGAATGTTTAAAGTTGTGAACTACAGGGTTGGGAGGTATTATGCAAACTTGGATGCCGTTTGCAACCACTAAAAATGTCAGTTTTATCCATTAGTGTTCCATCGACATTTATTACTACATAATTTTTAAAGGGCACATATGACGCTATTTTAATATTCTATGTCGTTGTTTCCTTATCAGAAACATTCTTGGAGTTGTGCGTTGTTTCACACATGTTTAACACACAAGTCCTGCATATTTAGGGTTCTTGAGTTCTTCTCTCAAACAAAAATGGCTTGATGTGGTAATACAGGAAGTGCTCCAATCTTTAAACACTACACACCTTTACTAAAATCATTTGGATAATTTCAGTCCTAGAATTTGCCATCTCCAGGTAAAAGTAGCTGTTAACTAGGTTGTTAAACAGAAAACTACCACAGCATGACATCGCAAGGTGGAACAGAGCATTTTGAGTTTTGGAGATGTAGACAGACTGATGATAAAGGATTATTGAGATATGTGTGAATGAAACAAAACACAGCTCCAGGTATGTTTGATGAGGTAACAGCATTATAACATGGCTAAAAGCTCATAAAAGTACATTTTGCCTAATATCGAAAGATTATCAGACTACGCCACTTCGCACTCCTTCACATGTCTCCTGCAGAAAGAGCCCGTGTCCTGTCTAGTATCATGTCAGTGTGTTGTAGGATTTCAGCAGATTTCAAGCTCTCCTGGAGGCAAGGCTAGTTGTACCCATCAGGTATGAGTGGATGTCTGCCTACTGAAGTTTGAGACGTTTCTTCTCGTCATTTACGTACTCGCCCGTATTAGCTCATATAGACCATTAAGACGTATCCCACTCACTAAAGTTCATTTAGCATCATGACTTATTTTATCATACGGTGATGAACTGTTTTAGTGCACTGACAACAGCACTAGTTAGTGTTGCAACTTTGTTGACCACAATGGCGACAGCGGCGCTTTCTGCACTCAGGCTGCGCGTGCATCCACTGTGTTGAAAAACAAATAATCCATCCACAGTGTTTCCTTTTAATAAATGCAAATAAATACATTCATGTATTATCATAATTCAGGAAACTGCATTCCAAACCCCACATGCCTATCTAGTATTTCTTGACGTAAAAAACAGAAGATTTTAAAATATTTGCATTCTAAAACTTTTTTTCCTTTTCTTACTAAAAGACAGTTCTAAAAATTATTTGATCATTTGAAAAGAAAAGTACCCTTTTTTCCCTCTAAGACAAAATGTACCTGATTAAATATATACTTTGGATCAAAAGGCACACTCCCTCCTTGTAAAAACACCATTTCACCAGGAGTAAAATAACATTGTAACTTTTAAAGGCTCAGGATTTGTACTCATTCATTTTCAGTTGTCCTTGAGTTAAGTATGCCCCCTGAATACAATTGTAGTAAATCTCTACACAAATTTCTGTAGAAGCCACATCCGTTTGTTTTCAAAATGAATAGACATTTATTGTACCATCAAACTTTAGTACTGTTGAAATGGAGCAGGTCAGGTTAAGGTAACATGCATTATTTTGCTTGTCCTGACTTGCTTCAGTGTGCGTCGCTATATAAACAATCATAATACTTTTGTTGACATTTTAGTTTGTGAAATCTGAAAAGGTCATGTTGAGGTGACTGGAGGAAGCTTTTAAGCTCCTATCCACGTTTGCGAGCACAGACCTGCAGATATGACCTCATCAGGAAGTGCCTCGTTAGCATGCACATGATGCAGAGACATGTCCGGGCTTTATGAAGGCAAAATTTAACTTTAACACTGTGTCCTCCCCTGACTCGCACTTTCAGGGTCACCCAGGCAAAAGTCTACACAGATATTAATAGTGAATCTTGCATTTTATAGTCACATTTTCACTAGTTGAAGAATAATAATTACTATAATAATAACAATATAAAAAGTGGACTTAATTTTGGTTAAAGTACATATAATTAACCAGAATAAGACTTTATATGAAAGGAAGACTAAAACACTAGTGCCACTAACATTACCTTTACAACAAATCTAGAAATGTTGAGCTTCAAAATATCTTACAAACTGCAGTACTTGGAGTTTCGAGTTTTCGGTCAGTATGGAAATGTAACCAATATTTGCCAAATTTATTTTTTAAGCTTCCCTTGGGCTCTCGGTGTGTACCCCTTGTCATTTCCGGTTTGTCCTCAGATTTGTTTTTGTGCATCAGGTTTGTTTTTGTGAACAGACTGAGTAATTGGAAGTAGAAGGCTAAATTAGGCTAAATGTATATGGCTGCGTTTTTCTACCATCATGCTGAACATTATTTCATTGTGTTTTATTGTATTATATATAAATACTTTTAGGTTTTAGTTTTACAGAAGTAAAACAAAAGATTCACATCAGATTGTCTTGAGTACTTATAGTGATGTAAACTTACCTTTTACTTTTAATTTCTTATTTCTTTTACTGTTTACTAATGTACGTATTCTGCTCTCTCTAGGTCCTCGGGGTGTCCATGTTTTAAGCTAATATCCAGATGATTTTGACGCTGGAGAAGAGAGAAGAGGCGCTTTGTATTTAAAGAGAATTTTAGATGCGAAGACCGAAGTGTTTTCTGTTTAAAAATAAAAAAAATCCTAAAAATCGCAAAAAAAACAAAAACTAAATCTGGCTTGTACTCCACGTGGACCAATGACAACCCACACTCAGTGTTGCTTGCTCAGAGAGGACTTTGTTTCAAATATTTACTTTTTATAATCTTGGGTAAGCTCTTCCTGTTTGAGAATAATAGTGTAACAGGCCACTTCCAAAAACCTATTTAGAAACGTGTCTGAAGAAATATCCATAGCTTTTTTTTTTTCTTCCAGATTTTTTTAATGGGGATGAATTGGTGTGTTTTAACTTAAGAAACATTTTTTGTTTTATGTCTAACCCTTTTTACAATTGTAGTAAGTTACCAGGTGTGAAGTAGTAATTTATAAACAGACTGTAGTAGCTTGCTTGTATACTGTGTTAGCCAAGTGGATGGAGGTCTTCAGTTTCTGTGCTCCCCTTTGCTCCTCCCAATCTCTCTCACTTATGTCCCGTGCTGTTGGGTCTTCGTCAAAGTCCCCCCCAAAAAACCACTGTTGGTCCGAAAACGCAAGATCTTGAAAATACTTCCACTTCTTATGCTGTGAAGCTAGAGTCCTTTTCGAACAGAACTCAGTAACTGGTTTTTAACTGACCCATTTTCTACACTTTAGTTTTGATCAACCAACATTTCAGACTGAACGCCATTTTTAAATACTAACAAGTTGAGTTGACTGCTGTATACGGAGTGGCTGAAAGGACATATAAAATGTAATTGTGAGCCGATTCTGCAGTTATGTTAATATGGAAACCTCCACTCAAAATCATGTGAACTTTAAAACATAACACTGAAAAATGGTGGTTTAATTGAATTTGAAAATGTTTATTGGTATATTGCTTAGCCCTACTCTTGTACTATAATACGCTCAGCTTTATTTAGATTTTTTTTGTCTATGTAGCCATACTAAACAAAATTTCTTAACATAACAAATCCTGAGATCTGATCACATTTTTTGATTTTTAGTTCACTTTTTTTTTTTCTCTAGACTTGATGCCATTGGGTCGGCAGCATTCATTCTTTCAAGTATATATATATTTTAAGTGACAACATTAAATAAGACTGGACACTTAAATCACCCTAAAATGTGTACTTTAACTATCACAGACACTGTTTTGTAGAAATGTTACTGAGTTCTGTTTCAACTCTTTATTTTATTTTATTTTTTTAATATTTCCCCAATTTGGACCACTACAGATTTGCCAACGTATAATTAGGATACATTGTTTTTTTCTCACAAGGTCCAGCAGCATAATGTTGAATGGGTATCTCTACATTTTAAATAAAAGTTATATATGGATCGGTGCTGCATTTATATACGTGCTTTTTGTTTCTTATGTTTTAACTTTTCAACTTCAGTCACAAAGTTTGAGAAATGTGTAAGTAACAAAAAAAATGAAAGCATGTGTTGACAGCCATGCGAAAAGGAAGATTTTTAAATTTGTATTTTAATGTTTTTTTTTCCTTTTCGGTCTTGATAATGTCTTCGGATTTCTACCTTTTTTCCTACATGTAAATTAGTTTGGATATCTAATGAAGCAACTTGTGAAAATCAGCTTTAAACAGTTTTTTCTCCTGTCACAAATATGCTTAGATCTGAAATATAACATTACGATATTACAAGGTAGTCACTCAGACAATACTGAAGATTTAAAGAGTTATTCATTACCGCCGTGGCAGCTAGACAAGGCGTAGATTTTGGCATATAAGTGTCACTCGAATTTATTGAACTGTTTTGTCTACTGACGTTTCTTTTGTAGTCATTCCATGCTTAAGCCTTAAACATGCTCGCGGAGGTCACCTATCGCAGTAATCTTCCTTGTCTGAGACCCTCATGTTTTAAGGCGGTTTGAGAATTTGGCTTTTTTTTTAGGACATACATAGGTTGCGTTCATGGCATTTTGTCAATTTGGTGTGATTTCAGATGGAGGGCAGGGGCCTGTATAATGCTATGGAGAATCTAACCAAAATTTCACATTTTTTGTATAGTTTTTTGTTTGTTTGTTAGGAATTGCGTCCACTAACTTGCCATATTAAGATTGAAGTCTTTTCAACTGACAACAATCATGTCTGAAAAACTAATTTTTTTTATACGCGAACGTCAGTTGTTCTGATAGCAAACCTTAAACCAGGTCAAAACTTCACTTTGTTTTAATAGGCAAATTCTCCCATAGATTTCTGACCTGCCCTCCACCTCAGCGGTAAACTATGGGCAGATTAGAAAGATGCGACGTGACGTGAACCCAATCTATCAAGAGCTGGTCAGATATAATGTGATGGAACAGCTTATATGTGTTTGCCTAATTATTTTATGTAAGTAAAATGAAATTCTTTTAAAGGACAAAAGTACTGTTTATTGTTTGTTACTTACCACTACATTGGTATAAATTCTTATTAGATCATGTGTATATATACAAATTTTAATTTCATTTTTTTCCGTTTTGCCATTTCTGTGTTTTGTTCCTGCACTCTTGCCTACACTCTATAAGTTGATGTCTATTATCCCACCCTCTTTCGGTCACTGTTTCTTCTGCTTTGTACTTGTCTGGAGACAGTAACTTTTGAATAAAAATCAACACATTTCATTTGGCAGTTACACTTTTATGACCACGCTGATTGTAATGTAATTGATGCCAAAGCTAGACTTGCCCAGGCATCAGTTTCATGTTTTATTGCTCGCGGGGCTAATCATTTGAGGTGAGAGGGAGTTCAAGGAGAGGAACCTAATTCTATCACTGCTGTTGTTCACTTACTTGACACCAGGGGGCGAGCAAATCCAAGGAAATAAGCCAAGTTTCCGCTGTACTTGCCTGAACATGTCAACCTCTCCCCTCATCTATGACTCAGAACTAAACTAAGACTGTACATGTGGTTTGTGGGAGATTTAATATGTCCAGACTGTCTAAGACCTAATAGTGTAAAACTAAAAATGTGTTTTGATAACTGCGCTACAAAATGGACTACATGGACAGGCAAATAAGATGCTTTCTTTTCTTTCTTTTTTTTTTGGTATTCCTTTTTATTGATGGGTATTGCAACTAATTTTGTGTAGTTTCTAGACTGAAGTTGAGGAATTGGACTAAATTAGAATAGCCTAACCACAACTACAATCAAAATGCAATATAAAGAATTATTCATGGGTTACCCTGTTACATGCACCATTCCAAGCACCCGTTTTAAATTCAAAAGACTGGCCAATAACAATTTTGTTTCAGATTTTTAATTACTATGGCAACAGTCCTAATTTCATCACTCATGGATAAAATCTTCTGGCTTATCTTTTCCTCAGTCATTCCAACTAATCAGTTTTCATAGTGTCTGATATGCTTAATGACCAGATGCCCTTCCTGGCTCATTTATTAAAGCTTAGAAGCATAGCTGTTTAAGGTACTGGCTTGTTGAAGCAAAGAAAGTAAGGGTCCAATGTTACACACATTATTGATTTTTTTTTCTTGAAAATTATTATCATAAATGTTCCTTTGAATCTGTAATGTTCCAGCAATCCATAGATCAAAACACTTATATAGTCCACCCAAAGCCAAAAGTTGCCAAGACTTCAGTGTGAATAAAGAGCACATCTCTAAAGCTCAAAATGCTCTGTTCCACCTTGAGATGTCATGAAGTGGAGTTTTCAAATTAGAAGACTGTATCTACCGTTTATTTTTTATTCAGCAGAGTGAAGTGAAAGTGTGTGGAGTTTAAAAACACAGTGTAGCACTTGCTGTATTACCACATGACGTCACGAGGTGGAACGGAGCGCTTTCAGTTTGAGAGAAGAACACTGCCTAAATATGCAGGGTTTGTGTGTTAAATGAGGAATGAAGAAACAGTGTTATAACCTAGATCAGAAAATGACATAATATGGCCCCTTTAATAAAAAACAATATAAGTAGGTCACACAGTCCTATGAATATTTATCCATCTCTTGTTATACGACAGCCCTTATGATTAGGCTGCCTATCAAACGCCACTGTTGCACAATGTATCCTGTTTGTGTGAGGACAATACACTCTATTCTCTGCTATGATAAAAGTGCGCACAGAGCCAGCGAGGGATGAAAAGGTGGTAAGTGTTTGGTTAATAATGACACTTTTGAATCAATGCAGACGGTTGGGAGAGCCGCTTCAAGTCTACTCAGTATAAGAAGTGTCATATTGTCGCATACAGAATGAAAGGTAGAAAAGAAGCCTATTTACCTGGACAGTGGAGTCGCTATTGTCTTTTTAAGTTGCCAGATCTTTTGTAACGTGCTAATAGCCTGGTTTATGCAGAATATACAAGCAGATTCAAGTGTACAGCTGCTGTCAGAGCCTTTTTCCGAAACATGAAGTAATGACCATATGGGATGATGGATTAGGATATGGTAAAATGTTTGGCTCTACAAACTGGTCCATGAAATACACCAGTTTACACTTTAAAGAAAACAATTTTATATTTGTGTCTTATTTTTTTTTTCTAACCCTTTTTTATTCCACTGTGCTTTTGTTTGGATCTTTTCCCAGATATTTTCACACAGATTTTGCAGATTGTCAGCAACTGTTGAATGAAAAATTAACGTTGCAAAGTTAATATATAAAATTGCAACCATGTTTGTGGATTTTCAGTTTTCTATCAACAAGAATGCCATTGTCGTTAATTTTGGACATTTATGACTATTACTAAATTATGCCTTTAAAGCTATAAAAAAAAAAAAAAAAAAAAAACATCAATAAACTTGCAGATGGTAGCTTTAATTCCTGATCAGGCAGCCTATAGTTAAACATGCACTGAGTAACTTTTCTGATGGAGGATCTTGCCTTGACTATTCCACAGAATGTAAATAAACTTTGTAATCATAATGGAGGTTAATTGTCAGATCTGTGGAGAAGCAAGCCCTCACATGGTACGACTTAATGTTTTAATAAGGTATTTTTGAGCTATAAAACACCAGAAAAAATGCAAGGGAGATATGTTTAATGCCCTACTGTAGAACATTCTAGGCAAAGAAATACCAAGTCCACGGAGAAAAGCAAAGCAGTGGACCCACCAGAAATTACATATTGCACCCTGGTTAGTTGTGTCCTTAGTTAAATCCTGCTCATCTTTTTGTTTTGCCCTGGTAACTTGTTTTAGCTCCAAGTCCAATATAGTTTTCCAAAGATATTTCAACACAGCAATGTTTCAATATTCTCTCAAGACCAAATTAATAGATACTTGGAACAAAACTACGTTAAGTTATATTTAAGTTGTAATCATTGTTTATACAGAATCCCCTTCTTCTTTATCTGTGTGCGCTGTCTTGTTCCCATGTTTCTGCTGTCAGTGTGGTTAAGTCGTGTTGTGTTTAGGGTCAGGGCCGTGTGTTTGAAATCTCGGCGCTCCTCTGAGGTGCTTTAGGCCTGTGTTTACCCCTGATAACCCCCCGGCCTCCTCTGGACACTATCAGTCCAGCTGGAGCCTGAGTCTGCCCAGGTCAAGAACAGTCACACAGTCCTCACATGTACAGAGGCTCAAATCAATGTTTACAATCTACTAGTAAGTCACAAAGCTACATTTACTTTGAATAAAATGTCGGAGTAGGTTTTCTATTCACTTACACGTATCCTACACATCTTCAATACTCTACACTCCATTTTTAAGATAGTTTTATGCTGCTTTTGACTTGTTTAACATACTATATTTTATGAATAGAAATGTATAAATATGCACAGTCTCTATATCTATTTCATATCTACAAATCACCTATTTATAGTTTTTGCTTTGGTGCCATTTTGAGGACGATTAATCATTTAAAAGATTGAATATGTCGTTTCGAAGTGTTAATTGCTATGGACTGACGATCCTGAAACCCACAGGCACGTTGTCTATGAGATGATGTTACAAAATCTGGAAATGTACTGATAAATTGAAATGCACTGTTTCATTATTGATACTTTGCAACTGCTGTGATCAACATTCCCTGCGGGTGTGAAGCTAACTGTAAACACTACTCTGTCTGAAGCTCTGTTACTCAAATTACACTTAATTTGAGTTTTATTTTAGCACAGTCTGACCAGAACTAGGGATGTAACAATAACCGTGATATCGTATCGTCAGAGGTCTCACAATAATATCGTTTGCTTTGCTTAAATGCATTGTTTTATAGTACTAGTAGCTAATAAACACCGAGAACTACATATCCCATGATTCATTTCAGCGCAGACAATATGAAGAAATGTGTTTTGACTTGAATTCTTGGGATTGTGACTGTAATAATTCACATAAAAATCTATTTTAAAAGGAAAAATGTGTTCTATCTGCAATTATATCAGCCTCTTCAAAATATCGCAATAAATAACTACTGTACTGTACTGTGAAATGCATATCGTGATGATATCATACCGAGAGATTTGGATATCGTTACATCCCTCGTTGGAACTAAATCTGAGATAATTTGTGCTCAACCAAACTCCTAAAGAGGACCATGAACGCTCATTGATCACAGGCTCCTGAAAATGTGTAGTGTAAATCCATTTAGTATTTTTTTCTTTTCTTCAGACTATCATCACCATGGTAACTACTGAACATTCCCGCAATAGAATTATATGTAGCGCACCCCCCAGCATAATATTACTGCAGGGACAATGTACAGATTAATTTATTTTACAGATGGAAAAATACTACTTTCCATTTGCAAATCCCAATTTACATTCCTGTACTAATTTAGCTTCTTATTAACATCTGTAAAAAATAAATAGTAAAAAAATTAGAATATAATCATATCAAACTTATGATGGTTTTCTACTAATACTTGCAACTTTAACTTTTGGGCCAATTCATTTTACAGCAACACTATTTTAACTCCAACGCAATTTCAGCCTCTTCTGGCATCCAAAGGTCTCACGGGGGAGATGATCCAGATCAATCTAAAACTTTAATTCACCGCGTTTATTTTGTGCATGGACATCTTTAGTACATCTTCATTTCCCTCTCTCACGGGCCGTGGGGGTATTTGCTGCCGTAAATCCCCCAGAATTTTAATTCCGTGGATAAATCATTAATGAGCACTTTGGTTGTAATCTGCTCGGCTTCTAAGGGCAACGCAAAGCAGCTGACCCCAGAAAATCATTTACAGGACATGAGCCCGAACCTCCTCTCTGTGTACACCGCCTCTCATGTACTTTAGTGTGCGAGTCATTAGTTAACTTTTCTGGTAGAGGGTCTGTCAAAAGCTTTTCTCCATGGAGATGTTATTGCTTTGTATGAATTGTTTAACAGTATGGTATTAAATCTTTTTAGCTTCATGGAGACCAAACCAGACCAAGTTCCAGGTCAGATCTGTGGAGGATTTTCTTTGAGCAATAAAACCACCTGTAACTGAATATAAGGTAGAGCTGTTGAGTATCACTCTGTGGAACATTCCAGGGCAGAGCAATAACATCTCCACAGAAACAAGCAGGTGACGGACCCTCCACCAGAAAAGTTACACAATGCACGTGATGAATGATGTCCTCTCCTGTCTTTGGGCTTTGCCTCCACCCACCTCAGATCTGCCCATCTGATTACCCTCACCTGACCCGCTTCATCAACGCAAGTATAAAAGCTCGGAGCTGCCATAGGAAGAGTG